CCTCCTTTCCCTCCTTTCCCTCCTTTCCTTTCCCCTCTTTCCCCTCCCCTCCTCCTCCATTCCTCTCCATTCCTCCTCCTCCATTCCTCCTCCATTCCTCCTCCTCCATTCCTCCATTCCTCCTCCATTCCTCCTCCATTCCTCCTCCCCTCCTCCCTTCCTTTCCCCTCTTTCCCCTCTTTCCCCTCTTTCCCCTTTCCCTCCTTTCCCCTCTTTCCCCTCTTTCCCCCCTTTCCCCTTTCCCCTTTCCCCTTTCCCTCCTCTCCCTCCCTTCCTTCCTTTCCATTTTTTCCTCTCCATTCCTCCTCTCCCTCCCTTCCTTCCTTTCCATTTCTTGCATCAGACATTAAATTTCTTCTTGATGGTGTTGATGTCGATGTTGAATCTGTCGCCATGGATTCCATCAAAACACGAATACAGAGACAACCCAAACTTTTGAGAGTTGGGCCAATTATCAATCATTCAACAATGTGGTCAGTATTTTCATCCTTGTTGAATAAAAGGAACACCAAGAAATGAGAGGAACTGGACCGTCGATGGCCACTCCTATAGACAAAGGGTTCTGGCGTGGTCTATAGAAAAAAAAAGAAAAAAAAACATTAACATTAAGTTGGTTCAGTTTTGTGCAGAGATAATAAAACATACATTTGATAATAAAATATTAAAACATAGAAAGAGATAAAAAGACATGAAATATTTGTATGCTTTTGTATGAAAGCAATGTTTTGAAAAAATATATAAAAGTAAATAATATTGTGTCACACTCCACAAGTTCAAGAGGGTGTGAAAAATTTTAAATTATTTAAATTTTTGTTGTTGTCTCTACCTATTTTAACAAACATAAACACAACAAAAAAGAAAGAACATTTTCTCTGTGTTTAGTCGATTCATCAAAAGCAAACGAAGAAAAGAATCATACAGCAAACAAAAAGTAGTAGAACCTCAACAAAACAACAACATCTTCATCATCATCATCATCATCATCATCATCATCATCATCATCATCATCATCATCATCATCATCATCATCATCATAGATAGATCCTCTCTTCCTTTCCTCTTTTGGTCAATATAGATACATAGATACATAGATATAATATAGATAATATACATATATATATAGAATGTTCAAGTTAACATCAAATACAACTACTAGTAGCAGCGGCGGCGGCGGTCAAGCTTCAACACCAGATAGACCTCTTACCGAGGCGTCGCTTCGACAATTGCGATACCAACGTGAACGATACTGGAGTGAAAAGGGCATACAAGCATGGATCGACAGATTATACGAAGAAGCCGATGTATATATAAGGTTACAAAAAGAAAAGGAAGAGGCTGAAGCAGCTGCAAACGCATCTGGCAACATTGAATCATCATCATCAGATACATCGACTACTACCACTACCAATAATAACATTACGACTGAAGATCGCAGTAATATTATCGAATACAATAATACTGACAAAAATGTAAATAGTAAAGCTCATATGGATATTGATAATCAATAATATTAATAGTAGTAATAGTAGTATTGATAGATAGATAGAAATAGTTAATAACAAAACAAAACAAAACAACATCACGTGCGGGGAATTGAAACTTTATAATATACAACTTGGGAAATAATTCAAACAAAACAAATAAACAAATAATAATATTAATTAATAATAATAATAGTAATAGTCACATACAACAACAATAATAAAAAGAAAAAAGAATTTTTAAACTTTGTTGTTGTTGTTGTTGAATGGGTAGACATGTCTACGCAAACAAAACATACAGACAGACAAAAACAAAAAGAATAGCAACAATATACTATTAACAATAATAATACTGGAATTTGATCCATCATCAAATTGTCTGTCAAATTTTTTTACAAGATCAAAATAATTAATTAATGATTAATTATTGATTAAATAAATCACAATAAAAAACAAGTAATTAATTACCTATCTATCTATCTATTTTAAATGATCTTTTTATTATTGTTATTATTATTATTATTATTTCTACCATAGGATTAATCAAGATCCAAGCTATACATTACTTTAAGTAAATACGTGTTTGATTGTGTGTGTGAGTAGTTTGTTTTTAATGATTATTATTAATATTATTAATATTAGATTGAAAGGATGATGCCTCATTTAATGCTATTGATGATAATGCATCCAATGATTTCGATTGTTGAAAATTATTATTATTATTATTATTATTAATATTGTTGTTGATGTTTTCCATATCCAGAGATGAATCATGACTTGATTTTAAAACTTTTTGTTGTGAAAAGTGAGGTGAAATTGAAGATGAATTGTTGTTGTTGTTGGATTGAGAAAAAATATTTTTTACTATAGTCGATGATGATGAACCTTGTTTTCTTTTTAAATTTTGTTGTGGTTGTTGAAGATTATTATTATTATTATTAATAAATGGTGGCAGTGGATTTTGAATATTAGTTGGTTGTTGTGGTTTGAAATTATTATTATTTTGAATTCGGGTTGATTTAAAATTTGCCATACTTGTAGGAGATGGTGGTCTTGATCCTGAAAATTTAATAGATGTAGTAGTTGTTGGATCCATAGTTTGTTTGGTTGTAGTGGTAGGATCAGGAGGAGAGTTTAAAATAGTCGTAGGAGCAATTGAAAAAAACATATCTTCATCCATATTGTCATTGTTGAAAGGTTTGGAATCATTCAATATACAATTGATTGAATTATCTTTTGGTTCAGTTACCATAATCTTTTCCTTGTTTACAATGTTTGCATATCTAATACCACAAGCATTACAAAGAGATTTACAGCCATCAGGACCTCTTCTCCATTGAGATGTTCTAGTTTCACCACAAGCACGACACATTAAAATATCCAAAACGGGAGCTGGTGCTCTTGGTCTTCTCTTTTTCTTTACATTTCCATCATTTGGTTGTTGAACGAGATTCCCAGATGTTGGACTTGTAGATGTTGTAGATGTCATTGCAAAAGAAGAAGAAGAAGAGGAAATCAAAGGAGTTGGTGAGGAATTACCTTGTTGATATCCACCTGGATCAGAATTTTCATCTTCATAATCATCATTAATTGGACTATTATCTTGTTGTTGATGTTGGTCTTGTTGTTGATGATGTTGGATTTTAGAGGATGTAGGGGAAATTGGATTTGATGATTTATTCTCCAATATACTTGTTGGAATAAGAATTGGTTGAACATTATTATATTTAATATTTGGTTGATTTAAAGTTGGATCTGGAAGAGGTTCATTTTTACCAACAATAAATGATGTTGGAACTATTGAACTTTGTGATCGATATATTGGAATTAGATTGGATTTTTGAACAAAGTGTTGAAATGTCAATTGTTGAGGTTAATATCAATAGTTGATTTAATAATTCATGTGACCTATTATTATTATTATTTCAATCGTTTGGGTCATCTGATTTACTAGTATTGGCATATTTTGAAAAAAGTAATTGATGGTTGACTTTTATCGATTTGAATTTTATCAATCAATTGTTGTAATGGAGATTGTTGTTGATTTAAATTTTTAGTTATAAACTCTATCAATAACAACAAGATAAAAGATAATTCAAACAAATCATAAAAGTTTATAGGTTGTTGTTGTTGTATTTGTTTGATTTCAGATAGAATTGAAAATATATCACTGGAACAGCTTCCAGTTGGTATTCTATCCAATATTGATGATATTCCTATATAAATATCCTCGCTGGATAGTTTAATCTAAAAAAATTGATTAAATAAATGTACATTAGTTATATTTTGGAAAAAGTTGAGTTGAGTTGAGAGGTAAAAAAAAAAAAATCCAATTTTGGATCTCCACGCCCATCAAATTTGGAGGTGAACTTTTTCATGAGTATTATTATTGCGATGAGAGAATGATGATGACCACATTGTTTTAAAGGTGTATATACTTGTTCTTCTTACCTTTTTTAGACATGACAAGACATTTGCACCAAGAGTAAGACCAGTTTCATTGGAACTAGCAATATGATGACTTGTTTGTGAAAGAGTTGAGATTGGTAAAATTGGTAGATCTGAAGAGGTGGTCGAGAATGGAGAAAATGATAAAGAAGTAGGGTCTAAGTTTTTAATTCTATTGTCACTGTTGGAAATCCCTTCTTTAGAAAGGGACTCTTTCATCTCCATAATACTTTGTGTTTTATCTACTCTATACTTGTCTTCTCTTTCTCTCTCCCAATCTCTCTATCTCTTAAGCCTTATCTTTTTTTACTTTTTTTTACAAATTTGATCGAGTTGCTATTGAATAATGAAAAGGTTTAAATGAAAAAAAGTCCTCTCTCTCTCTTTAATTTGATTGATTATATAAATTGTTGACTAGTAGTTGATGTTCAAAAACAAAAAGGTGTAAAGAATTAAAAAGATGTGGTTGGGGGTGGTGTCTACATCAAAGGTGTTGAGTTGAGCTTTGTGTGATGGTTTGAGAAAAAAAAAAAATGTTGATAACAATATCTCTCGAATTAACTCTTTTTTTTTTTTTTTTCTTTTATCTAATACGATCTAAATAATGATAATGATGTCAGTGTCTTTGTCAAAGGTTGAAACTTGTTGAAAATATGGTTGGTTGTTGATTTTTTTTTTTAATCTGGTATTTGGAAATCCCTCCTCTTTGAGATGCAGTGAAATATTATATTGTATTTGTTGTTTGCGGTTTGTTGAATCGTTGGTAATGGATGGATGTTCAAAATCTTGTCAACCTTGACCCAAGTTCCACAGACTTTTTGTTTTTTTTTTTGTTGAAATCGCTCGTCGTCAGTTGATGATGATCTTGGCAAGATCAAAGATATAAAAGATAAAAAAAGTGAGGATGGTCAAAAGTGCGGAGAAGACCTAGGTCGTTTGACGACAAAAAGTAGATTGAACAAAGAAAACTGATTTGTCTTTTCAATGTCTTTTTGTTTGTTTCTATCTCTCTTTCTTTCTTTCTTTCTTTCTGTCTCTCTCTTTTAAATAAAGTTTTGTTGTTTGTTGAGTGGAATTGGTTCCCAAATGGTGATTAAACTCAATTCTCGTTCATAGTCTATGTTGTGTTGAGGAGGAACTTGCTATGTTTGTCTATGTACTGTTGTTTTCAAACGTTTCAAAACAAGATGTAAAGTCGAAAATTGAATCTTAATCAAAAAAGTAATAAATCGCCCTGACGCGACAAGGGATTCCATTTGAGAGACAACACTCATTAAGTACGTAAAAGCCATTGCTCACTTGGGCCACACCAATTAAAAGGGGGCCAAAGTCTCTCCCTAATCTCTTTGTAGGACAAAATTGGTACAAGAGGGTGGGTTTTTAAAAGAATATCTGGGTCGACTCAATGTGAGTCAGGGAGGGGCGGGTCCCGGGTTTGTCACGAAAATCGTCGAGAAAAAAAAAAAAAAAACCAAAATTCTTTTGTCGGGGGGTGGTGGTAACCGAAAAGTTGAGGATGTTTGCACCACCCTAAAGGTTGGGGGGGCGTCGGTCTCGAGACATCAAGCGCAAAGGGTTTAGGCTTGGTAACCAACACCCACAAAATGTCGTCAAATTGAATTGCAAAAGGAGATTGCTTAGAAGCAATCTGATATTTTATAGTAAGATAAAGACGAGTCTTGATCCAATATGCACATCATAATTATGTTTTTTGTCGTCGTTGTCGTTGTTGTCGACGGGTTGAACGAAGAAAAGTCAGAGTTTGTAGTGTTTGAAAATGAAAAGGTTAAACCTTTGTCTTGCATTCCAGCAGCAGCAGGGGGTGGTATCAGTGTACCAGCTGCACTGGTCGTTGAGTTGTTGTTGTCGACAACAACAGTACTAGTGATGGTGTCTTGGTGGTGGTATTCAGTGGTGGCTATTGATTTTGGTTTGTGTGGAGCTGGCCCTTTGCGGGCTTCTTTTTCTTGATTGATATTATTGGTAAGCGAGTTTGTGAACGGAACTAGTGCAGCTCCTGTAGTCATCAAGGCCGTCACAAAAGAAAGAGGCAAATAGGAGCACGAAAAACTATTGTTACTGATCGATGTGTGCAATTGGGAGCTTTTATCCCCACCATCACCACTGCGAGTGTCTTTTGGTTTATGAAAAGATTGTACTATTGAGTCAAATCTAGATAAATATTATAAAAAAATTAGATAAAAAAGAATCGATTAGCAGCCAAAGAGTGATCGGTAGAGTCATCGAGAGGTGAACAAAGTCTTTCAAATAAGACGATCATCGTTTTTTTTTTTTGTGAGATGATGGATTGGGAAACGTTCTAGACGATAAACAAATTTCCGACCAAAGACTATTATCCAAAAATAGAAATTTGTCGAGGTAAAGGATGAATGTAATAAATATTTCTTACTTTTCAAAGCTCCAATTCTCTGTTATTAAAAATGGTAATATAATATGTTTATCTTTTTTCTACAAAAAAAAAGAAAAGAGTGTTATAAAAAAGACAATTAAGATTTCTTTAGGTATCGGGTGGTATATTTACATTTTCTAAATCTGTTCCTTTTAAAATTAATATATTATCTTTTTTACTATTACTATTACTATTGTTTATATCTTTATTTTGGTCAAAGGGTAGATGAAAAACTTGAAAATTCAAATCAAACCATTTCTTTACAATCTTGAGATCTACATAGACCTGATAAGCTAAATGAATCTTATCAATTGAACATTCATTATTATATTTCTTTACTAATGATTCTATTGATATAATATCATTACTACTAATATTACTATTATTACTAATGTTACTACTAATACTTATATTATCTACTTGTTTATTCATTTTCTAGTTTTATTTATGATAAAAATAAAAATGACAAAAGGATCGATCATCATAGCTTCTTGTTTATCCCTTCTTCCCAAAAAAGGTAATAAAATATTTTTATTTATTGAAAAAAGTTTTATTTTTATATATAAAATATAAATCATTCATTAGTACTAACAAACAAACACTTAAACCAACTACATATTTTATTTTTATTATAACTATTATTAGTAAACTACAAAATAATATCAAAAATCGAATCGAATCATTTTTTTTTTATTTTTAATTTTTTTTTTTTTTAGTTGTCTTGTTGTCCTCTTGCATTGTCATCTTTGTGAAGAGCTCATTTCTTCTATTTAATTTAAAAAAAAAAACTTGAAAGATGACCTCCTCCTCCTCTTCAAAGTTGAAGAGTTTGATTGGTTCTTCTTCTTCTAGTTATTCTAATTATATAATATTTGTATCATTATTTATTATATGTATTATATCAATCAATATGATGGAAGTAGCCCAAGCAGTAGATGCTAGCAAGTTCAAGACATGTAATGACTTGTCATTCTGTCGTCGTAATAGAAACCTCGACACTGCAGCACACAAATACAGAGTGGTGGACGGCACGTTGACTGTCACAGCCGCCGGTATTGTACAGGGTGACGTTGTCGACCAGTCGACAGTCGATCTCTACCCCGAGCACGTCTTGCGTCTCGAGATTATGGCCGTCAAGGGTTCAAACATTGTACGTATGCGTGTCAATGAAAAGAACCCATTGCCCAACAAAAAGAGATACCAAGTACAAGACGTCCTATTAGAGACGATCGAGTACGAGCCATTCAGCGCATCGTCCATCAAACAAATCCACACTGACAAGCAACTTGGCCAATACGTCGATTTGGCATTTGGTGTCAATGCAAAGGCCCGTCTATACCTCTCTCCCATCCGTCTCGATGTCTTTGTCGACGGTCGTCTAGCAATTGTTGCAAACTCTAAAAACCTCTTCAACTTTGAACATATGCGTACTCGTCCACTTCCTCCTCAACCAATCCCAAATCCAAATCCAATGCAAAACCCTTCAATTGAAGGAGTTGATCAAGTTGAACAAATCGAACAACAAGTAGAACAACCAACAACAACAACAATAGTTGAAGATGGTACTTGGGAAGAAAAATTCAAAGAACATCATGACTCTAAACCACATGGTCCAATGTCTATTGGTTTAGATATTAGTTTTATTGGTACAACCAATGTTTATGGTATTCCAGAGCATTCGACTGCTCTTTCTTTAAGATCAACAAAGTATGTAGAAAAAATAGATAAAAAAAAAACATTTATATTTACTTCTTTTATTTATTTGTTTTTAAAGAGGAGAAAATATAAATGAAGGACCATATAGATTATATAATTTAGATGTATTTGAATTTGAATTGGACAAGACAACAGCATTGTATGGTTCAATTCCATTTATGATTTCACACGATCAACAAAAGACTGTTGGTGTATTATGGTTGAATGCAGCAGAGACATTTATTGATATTTCTGACGGCAAGTATGAAGATGGACAACCAACCAAGGACACCCACTGGATCAGTGAGACTGGTGTGATGGACGTGTTCTTTTTGGTCGGTCCCTCGGTTGCCGAGTTTTACAAGCAGTATGCCGTGTTGACAGGTACCACTGCGTTGCCCCAACTCTTTGCGTTGGCATACCACCAATGTCGTTGGAATTACCGTGACGAGGCCGATGTCAAGGCTGTCGACCAGGGATTCGACGACAATAGCATTCCATACGATGTCTTGTGGTTGGATATCGAGCACACTGACGGCAAGCGATACTTTACCTGGGACAAGTCCAACTTCCCCACACCAGAAGAGATGCAGCGTCGTCTGGCCGACAAGAAGCGCAAGATGGTGACGATTGTCGATCCACACATCAAGCGTGACTCTAATTACTACATCCACAGCGAGGCCACCTCCAAGGGCTACTATGTCAAGAACAAGGATGGCAACGACTATGAAGGTTGGTGCTGGCCTGGTTCGTCGAGCTATTTGGACTTTACCAACAAGGAGGTGCGTGACTGGTGGGCACAACAGTTTGCATACGACAAGTACCAAGGATCGACCAACTCGTTGTACATTTGGAACGATATGAATGAACCATCCGTATTCAACGGTCCAGAAGTATCGATGCACAAGGACGCCCTTCACGGCGGCGGTGTTGAGCATCGTGACGTCCACAATCTCTACGGATACTACTATCATATGGCTACCACCCAAGGTATCATTGAGCGTAACGCAGACAAGAACGACCGTCCGTTTGTACTGTCACGTGCATTCTTTGCCGGTACACAACGTATCGGTGCCATTTGGACCGGTGATAATGCCGGTCAATGGAGTCATCTCGAGTCGGCACAGCCAATGCTCTTGTCACTCGCCGTTGCCGGTCTCTCGTTTACAGGTGCCGACGTTGGCGGTTTCTTTGGTAACCCCGATGGTGAGCTCATGACTAGATGGTTCCAAGCGGGTGCGTTCCAGCCCTTCTTCCGAGGTCACGCTCATCTCGATGCCAAGCGTCGTGAACCCTGGTTGTTTGGCGAGCCATACACCTCGGCCATCCGCGATGCCATCGTCAAGCGTTACACATATCTACCTCTCTGGTACACACTCTTCCACGAGAACAGTCTCACCGGTTTACCCGTCATGCGTCCACTATGGGTCGAGTTCCCCACCCAACAATCACTCTTTGCCGTAGACAATGAGTTTATGGTCGGTTCATCACTCCTTGTTCGTCCCGTCACCCAAGCTGGCCAATCCTCGGTCAAGGTCGTCTTGCCAGGCACTGAAAACAAGCAAACTTGGTTTGACATTGACTCTGACAAGAAATATTTCGCATCTGAAGCTGGCGTGCAAGTTGATACTCCACTCGACAAGATGCCAGTCTACCAAAAGGGTGGTTCTATCGTACCCCGCAAGGAACGTCAACGTCGTTCATCCCCTCAGATGAAGGCTGACCCCTACACACTCCGTATCGCCTTGTCCGACGACCAAAAGGCATCGGGTACACTCTACACTGACGATGAGTCATCATTCAACTATCAAAAGGGTGATTACAGCTATCGTCAATTTGAGTTTGCCGCCAACCAATTGACCAACACCAACCTCGCACCACGTTCAACCTACCAACCAAACAACACCATCGAACGTATCGTCATTGTTGGTCTCAAACAAAAACCTTCCTCCATCACAGTAAACAATCAACCATTAACCTTTGAATATGAAAAGGATCTTGAAAGATTAACAATTAGAAAACCAGATCTTCAAATTAAAAATGATTGGTCAATTAAATTAAACTAAAAAAGAAATTAATAATAAAAGAAGAAGAATATATATATATAAACAAAAAAAAAAAAAAGAAAAGGAGATATTATTCCAATTAATTTCCTCCTCAGTAACCAAAGGTTTTTGATCGTTCACGTCAAAGATTTATTATTATTATTGATAAACATAGATTAAAGAGATATATATATTTATATATATAGGTTAGATGTTTAATATTTATATAACAAGGAATATACATAAATACATTAATATAATAGATCATGCAAATTTAAAATTAGTTTCTAAACAGTGGTATCATTCACTAAACTCTAATCATCAATGGTTAATCTATATCTTGAATGAATTGAAACAAGATGATCAGGAAGAACAAGAAGAGTCATCATCATTATCATTATCATTCCCAAGAGTAAATATTAAATTTACAATTCAAGATGATGTATCATGTGGATTTAAAGATGGCTACTTTAAACAACTTTATATCAATCTTTTTGGATCAAGATATCAATCAAGATTATTATTTATCAAATTATTAAATTCTTCAAAAGAATATAATGAAATGATGATGATGGTTCAAGGTGGAGGAGATAATAATAATAATAATAATATATTATTAGATTTCTATAGACTTCAAAGTCAAAGATCATCTATTATTATTGATGCTTTAAATACTCAATTCTACTATCCATTGGTAGAATCAAAAGTGATTGTACCAATCAAGACAATACTATTTACTCCAAGATTTATAGAGGGTAATCAAAAGACGATTAAATCTCTACAACAATCAACAGAGGTAAAAGGATTGGTCATGTTGGAACATGATTTCTATTCATTTACTACATCTGGTACAATCGATGGTGTCTACCAACCAAAAGATACAATGTCTACAAAGAATCCATCTAGTATGTCAACTCGTGTACGACTAGTCATTCATAACCCTCATCAACGTCAACAACCACCACAAACGTTATTGTCACTCCGATTCCTAGAGATGAATTATAGTTATGAATTCTTGGCGTTTCTCATTCACTATGGCTTCTGTTCTTGTTGTTTTCAAGATGCACCTCATCAAAACACTTTGATTCCAGATAAACACAATATCCTAAATGTGTATCTTCAATTCAACCTGCTCGATGTGTTTAATCGTAGTCATCCAGTGACATGTCTCACAGTCCTAGAGGGTCGGTACCACAACACCTCTCAGGAGGATTTCAAGGATAACCAAGATGACGACACCTACTACAAGATAAGATATGGTAACTTTCTTCTTGCCAAATTGTCCAGACGTGATATCGATCAAGCTGCATCATTTATCGATATTCCAAGTTGGCAACTACTCGAGATCATCGGTCAATATGATCAAGCCATCTTTAGAGATCACAACTTTTATAATTGTTCAAAAAATATTCCAAGATTAAAACAACAACAAGATGATAAGGATTCTTTTAACAATCAGCCATCTCCATCCAACTTATCATTTTCTCCTGTTCAACCATCACTTTATAAATATTTATTGGATTTTAATTGTAAATTAAATACTTGGTTATTATTGGTAAGAAAAAAAAGAAAAAAGAAACAAATAATTAAATATTAACTTTTTCTTTTCTTTTAAATATTTAAATTAGAATGAAAATAATGCAAGTAAAGAAATGAAAGAAATTTATATGAATTTATGGAGTAATAATTTAATTAGATATATTGGTTTAAAGAATTCAACATTCAAGTCTAGTAGTAGCGGTAGCGGTGGTGGATCTTTATCTGGATATGGAAATCCAAAAAGAGTTCGTTGTCAATTTGTGATACATCCTCCTGGTCAACCAGTTGACTACTTGGTGATTTTTGTCGTCTCGACTAAAAAGCTTATAAGTCTGACCGTTGAACACTCCATACCCTATCAAACAGATGTCTTGGTAAGAGAGACCTATTTTGACAAGGAACTAGCTCCAACTGAATTTAAACTTGCTATGGAACCTTTCAACAAGGCCTTGGTAGACATTTTCAAATTCCAAAATCTATCAACCATTGATTTTATTAAATTCCTATTACATCTATCAAATGCATCATCATTTTTAAAGGTTCAATCCTATACTAGTGATTTTGTAACTTTGGCAATTTCAAATGTTTAAATTAATTCAAAAAAAAACATGGATGGAAATAAATAAATATTTGTTGTATTGTCACAAATATTCCAGTTGATAGTGGTGGTGTACACAGAGTTGTTCCTTGTTTTTTTAAAGAATGTGGTGATTAAAATTTTATTTAACGTCAGTGGTTTGAACGACCGTATTTTCCACGCGTTTACTAGAAGAGTGTCTATTTTTGTTTTCCATCTCTCTCAGTTATCAATCAATTTTATTTATTTACATTTAGAGAAAATAGAGAAAATGCAAAAGGAAGAAGACAAGGATGAAATTCAATTTCAATTTAAAAGGTTGATGATTGCTTCAAGTTTAGGTGATATAGATTCGGTATACGATATATTAAATCTATATTGTACATCTAGATGTCATCATACCAACAATAATGCACAATTGGTGTTGATAGATCAAGCAGATTCTTCAAATAATGGTCAAAATAGATATTGTACTTGTATAAAGGAATTGATTAATAGAGTTGATCAGGATGATCAAGATGGAATGACATGTTTACATTTAGCATCTCAAAATCATCATAATCAAGTTGTAAAATTATTATTGAAATATGTATCAGATATAAATGTATGTTTGTTTTTAAAATATAACAATATTCTATAATTGATTTAAGACTGATTCATGTTAATATTATTAAAATTTAGGTAATTAATAATCAAGGACAAACAGCATTACATTTGGCAATGAATATGGATAGAGATATTTGTGGAGCAGAGAATTTGGAATTGATACAATTGTTGGTGATCAATGGTGCCGATGTTTCAATGTTGGATGGATTTGGAAATACCCCTGTATATTATGCGTCAAGAAATGGTAGAATTCAAATCATTCAATGGTTATTAACAAATCAATTAAATCATTCAATTAATCTTGATGTATTTAATAATCAAAATATAAATAATGTAAATAATAATAATAATCATTATCAAGGGTCATCATCATTAGTTTATTACCCATTAAAATATATATTATCCGTATCATATCCATTATTATCAATTGTATCAGATGTCATATGTTGTTTGCCTGCAATTAGTACATCTACTACAACAACCACTTTAAACAATAATAATAATAATAATAATATAAATGGACCAATACCAATTTATCATCCAGAAAATACATTAACCATAACTAGTGGTGGAGGTCAAGATAGATCTATTATGGATTCGTCAACTTTGACGAGTAGATTTCGATGACATGTTGAAATAAATAGAAAATGTTGTTGTTGATTATTATTTATTATTTCAATCACTATCGCTTTCTTCATCGTCACTCTTTTCTCTTCTTCTTCTATCGAATCTTCCACCTTCGTTGCCGCCACTACTATTAAAAGTGATGGTTGAGCTACTATTTCTGCTTGGTTTACGAGTATCCATATCAACAGGGGTTTCTCCATCCTCCAAATCACTTAGATCATCCCTTGATATGTTTGTAGAGGTTGTCGTGGTAGTGGTCGAAGTGGATGGAGTAAAGGTAGAAGCATTTGTTGAACTACTACTACTATAGTCAACCTCTGAATAATTTCTTTTATCTCTTGATATTGATATTTTTTCCTCTTGATGTTGAACTTGTTTTTTTTCTCCTTCTTTTTCTTCATTGTCTTGGTATTTCCTTCTTGAGTTGTTGTTATCATCGTTATGATGGTGACGATCACGATCATCTCTATTATCACGTCTATCTCTATTATTATAACCTCCTCCATAATGATCTCTATCTCTTTCTCCTCGACCATCTCTGTCTCGATAATTTCCACCATCTCTGTCTCTATCCCTATTATAATTATCTCTATCTCTATAATGTCCACCATCTCTATCTCTATCTCTATAACTTTCTCTATCTCTACTATAGTTTCCACCTTCTCTATTTGGATTATATTTGACAGCACCTCTTCCTTTGAATGTTTTACCCTCACCAATTACGCCATTGCCTCCTCCAGGTGTAAAAGTTAGTACTTCAGTAGTTTTAGGAATATATCTATCTCTTAGCTTATCGACTGATGGACTTCTTGAACGATCTCTTTTACCGTCGTTCCTCTTGTCACCACTTCTTTCCTTTTCTCTTCCTCTTGATTTCTTTTTCTTTCTATCATCTTCAGAATCACTACTACTGCTGCCTGTCGAATCGTCACTATCTCTTGATTTCTTTTTCTTTCTCTTTTTATCCTTTTTCTCTCTTCTTTTTCTTTCTCTTTCCTTTCTTTTCTCCTTTCTTTTCTTTCTTTCCTCTTCTGAATCTGATGAAGAAGAAGAATCACTATCGCTATCACTATCAGATGATGATGAAGATACATCTTTTGATTTTTTAGGTTCAACAACTAACAAAATTAATTTGATTGATTAGAATTAACGATACATTATGTTATATATGTGATGGGTAATTATAATTACTTGATTTCTTTAAAACCAATTCTCCACAATGACCAATCTTTACTTCGGCATATGGTTTATCATTTTGATCGACTAGGACAGTATTTAAAATATCCAATACTTGTTTTCCACTAATCACTTTACCAAATACAACATGTTTACTAAAGTATATAGATAGATGAATATATTAGTGTTCATTATTATTATTCTTATTACTTTATCTTGTTTGTTTGTTTGTTTTACATACCCATCTAAATGAGGAGTTGGTACAGTTGTTATAAAGAATTGTGAACCATTTGTGTTTGGACCGGCATTGGCCATACTCAATAGGTATGGTTCAGTATGTTTATATTTAAAGTTCTCATCTTCGAATCGTCTACCGTAGATTGATTCACCACCAGTACCATTCTTGTTACCAAAGTCACCACCTTGTACCATAAAGTCTTTGATGATTCTATGAAATGGTGATCCTTTATAATGCAATCTAAGGTTAGTCTTTTCAGACAACCCCTTCTCTCCAGTACACAATGCTCTAAAGTTCTCTGCTGTCTTTGGTACTACATCTGCATATAATTCAAATATTACTCTACCAACTAAAGAAGAAGAAAAGAGATAGTGATGATGATGAAGAAGAAGTAGGTTTGAACAAACAAACAAATAGATTAGTAACAGATTGATTAAATGATCATAATGAAGAAATGAATGATAACATACTCGCTTTTCCATCGATTTCTATATCAAAGAAAGTTCTTGGGTTTACCATTCTTTTGATTCTTTAAATGAACAATCCAAAATGACCAATTAAGTTCACACCATCTCTCATTCGTATTGCTTCCTCTAAAAAACTTTTTTTTTTATATACTAATTTTTGGTAAATTCATAAAGTATAATAAAAGTCTAATATTCAATGTTAATATTATATTGTATTGTATTAAATTTAAAACTTCATCATCATTATCATCATAAATTTTGGTAATTATTGGTATGAATCAAAAGATAATATTTATTTAAAAATATTAATATTCTCTTTTTCTTTTTTTCATCAAAGAAATTATTTCAAATATTGGAAATGTTTCCTCATCGATTAAACAAGGAAATCATATTGTAACATTTGGATCAAACCATCTAGGTGATTCCAATTTTAATAGTACTGTTGCATTGAGATCAACCTCTTCTACAAGAGGAATGACTGGTTTTATGAATGCATTTGGAGTTGGTATCCAAATTTTGGGAATTGTATTCAATATGATTGGCTCACCATAAATAAATAAATAAATATTAAATAATAATAATATAAATTAATAATAATTGAATAAATCAATCCAACTATCATCTATTCGTTGTAATATGTTAATATTTTATTTATATCAATCGGTCGATATATATATATACTATTATTATATTCTATTTTTTTGTTTTTATGGCTTTGGTACAACATCATGCCAATCTAAAACAGATTTAACTGGAGCAGCAGTTTCAATTCTATTTAATAAATCAACTGGATCGTCAGAGAATACAATGCTAGTGACAAATCTTTCGTCGATGAATCCCTTCTTTGAGGCATCCTCTAAAAACAATTTTAAGTGGTCATAGTATCCATTAATATTTAAAATACCAACTGGCTTGGCATGAATACCAAGTTGAATCCATGTTAAACATTCGAATAATTCATCTAAACCAAAATAAATAAATAAATATTAGTATTAGTCTGACTGATTGAAAACAATTATATTTTGATTGTTTGATTGTTCTCGTCACTTACCAAAAGTACCAAAACCACCTGGAAGAGCGATAAAAGCATTAGACAACTTATACATGAGATTCTTTCTAGTATGCATATCTTCGACAAACTCTACTTCGCCTACAGTGACACCAGACACTTCACGTTGTGAGAGAGCGTGGGGAATGATACCCTTGACGGAAGCACCACCGTTAAAGACGGCGTGTGAGATGGCACCCATCAAACCGACGTTTCCACCACCATAGACAAGACCGTAGCCACGCTTGGCCATCTCTTGTCCGAGTTGTTCAGTCTTTGTTACAAACAATGGGTCTGTACCTGTTCTAGATCCACAAAAAATACAAATGTTTTTAATATCTTGATTGCTGATCATCTTTTATAATTGTAATAGTAATAATAAAGTAAGTAAATAAATAAATAAATGTAGGTTGTACAATAGATATAGATAAATCTAAAATGAATAATAATGATTCAAACGAAACAAGTTTTTCAATTTCGTCCCCGTCCCGTATCGTTCAAGATTTTTTTAATAATTAGTGTCTAAAAGTCAGATTTGATAAAAAATAAAGTATTCCTAGTTTCTTTTTAATCTTTGTTAAAACATTCACCAAATATAAAAAGAAGATGAACCCTCTACAAACATTCCTACAAACATGTTTATGTGTGACAAATTTAATTTTAATAATAAAATATAAATATTTTTATTGATATTGAAAGAATCGTCTCGGTCTCCATTAATAATAATAATAATAATAATAGATTATTAATTTATTTAAAAATCCTCATCTACATCAAGATCTTTGAAATACTAGTATGTGATTAAATTAAATTAAATACATTGTATTTAAATATTTAATAATAAAATGTCTTTTGAAATTCATCCAGCAAGTTGCAGCTGCACCGTCACCAAAAAAAAAGACAGAAGATGAAAGTTTTATTTCATTTTTTGAACCTCCCCACAACATTAATTTATTTATATTATTTATTTGTATTTTTAAGAGACACACTACTACTTCTACTACTCACACTAAAGATATAGAGTTGTACAACATCACAACAACTTCACTTCAACTACAACTACTATATTTATTTATTCTACACATATATATATATAATATACTTTAAGAAATATGTCGACTACAGATAGCGATACACCAATCAACATAAAGGTTGTAGTGTTTGGTGAAGATGTACCATTGTCAATGACAATGATGCCAAAAGACGATGTGATGGCACTTAAAAAGAAGTTACAGGAAGAGTATGTCACGCATCCTGAACCATCGACACAGAAGCTCATCTTTTCGGGCAGATGTCTTGAAAACAACCAACAACTCAAAGAAGTCTTTAAACAAAGAGACGCTGAACTTCCACAGATCATACATTTGGTCATTCGAAAACCATTCTCCATGTCTGTCTCCAATTCCGTTTGCAATACACCATTATTCAAACCAACAGAGTATCCTGAAACTCTTGTAAATAATTTTAATCGTCAAAATAATCAAAATAACAATAATAATAATAATAGTAATGAAACTACCAATGGAATATCACCAATGACATTATCAAGAGCTTCAACACCTCCTCCTGCTCCTTCTTCTTCTTCATCATCTTCTTCTTCTATGCTTCCTCCACCAGCTCCATCAGTCACATCAACCTCATTTACTTCATCAAGATTACCAAATGTCATTGTACCTATCCCTACGACAAATACTCTTCCTGCTACATTTAACTTTTTATCTCCTCCTCAACAAAACCAGAATATATTCTCTCCAATCAATAATAATAATAATAATACTAATAATAATAATAATAATAATAATAATAACAATAATATTGGATTAAATAATAATAATAATAACAAACAACAACAACAACCATATCCATTCTCTTTCTATGGACCATCTCCTCAATCTTGGTATTCACCATATATTAATGTAAGTAAAGTTAGTTGTTATCTCTTGCTTTGTATTTTTATTTAATAATAACCTAAAATCAATTTATTCTATTTATATAGTCAATGAATAATAATAATATACAACAAGATCAACATTTTAACACTGCATTATTACAAATGATGTTTCAAATGCAAACTCAAATTCAAACAATGCAATTACAAATATCAAATAATCAAAATAATATTAATGGCGATCCAGCAATCATTCAAGATAATTTTGCACCTGGATTGGGTGCGAATGTTATACATCAAAGACCAGTAGCAGCAGCACAACAACAACCTGCAAATGGTGCAGCACCAGCTGTCGCACAACCAATAAGAAGAAGAAGAAGAATCGATGCAGCAACCATTATTGCATTTGTATTTAATAATGCCTTAAAACTTATACTGTTTTATCTTCTTGTTCGAGTTGGATCACTTGAACGTATTGCGACCATTTTAGGAATAATCGTTCTCTATTTTATAATTAGTAGACTATCATCTGCTAGACCTCAAATTAGACCCCAAACTCCTCCTCCTCCTATTCCTCAAAATGGTGAAAATCAACAAAATCAACAAAATAATAATAATCCTGCTGCCGCAGTTACTGGGCAACAACAACAACAACAACAAGGTGGACTATGGTTTGAGGTCTCCCAATTCTTTACAATTTTAATAATGTCAATGGTACCTCATTATGTACCTCCACCTCAACCAGCAGCAGCTGTAGTAGCACCAGTAGCAGAAGTTGTTGAACAACCTGTAGAACCTGTTGTTGCAGAAGATAATAATATTAACGACGACGACGAAGTTGATAATCTTGGCAATAACGATACAACAACCCCAAATACTGATATTAACGTTCATCATAATAATAATAATGACAATGACGAAAATGATGTCAATCACAACAACAGACTCCCTTTGGTTGTAGAACCCATTGCTGCAAATGAGTTGTAAAAAGGTCGGAAACGTGCATTGTGTCAAAAAAAAACAGTCAGACTTATCCTCAAGACACCCCCAGTGCCCTGAGGCCACCAAACATTGTTACACAATAAACACACGTTGAAAACGAACGGAGTTAAAAAACTCTCATCTTGGATATTTTGGATTTTCATTGTCCCAGTGCAAACGAAATTCGAGCGAAAAATGTTTTTTTTAGTTTTTTGTCACAACAACCTCTGTTTTTTTCTACTGTTTTGTTGTTGGTACCCTCAACAACCCCATCCATTTATTAAACAACGACGTAGTACCGTGTAATAATATCATACAAAAAAACAATCATATTATACCTTTTTTAAAAACAAGTAACAGACAGATAGAGTTAGAGTTGATAGTACTATAGTTAACTACTACTATTATATATCACCCAAATACCCATTTTATTTAAAGGTTTTGTGCTGTACCTTTCCTCTTGAAACAGTGACCCTCTCATCTTCATCATCCTCTTCATCCCCTTCCTTAGTAGCAACCAATTAACCAATTAACCAAGTAATCAGAAAAAAGAGTCATCCCTCCTTTCCTTTGTAGTATTAGTATTAGCAGTACCATCAACAACACAACAATCAACTTATTATTATTATTAGTTTAAAAAAAAGGTTAGTATTTATCTTTTAAAAACTATTATTTGTATCCGTCGACAAAAAATAATCAATCAGATGATCAATCTCGGGCAAAGACTATCTTTAGGCTCATGAGCCTTCACCCCCCCCTATTTTTGTGTGTGTTTTAAAAAAAAAATAACAATAATTATTCAAAAAGTAACAATAATTATTCAAAGCCCCCCTTTTATTACATCTATATTATCTCTCTCTCTCTACTTTGTCACTTTTACTCTGTTGTTCTCAAAGTACACATAGGGGAATGAGATCTATCTTTTTAATGTTCGATCTACAAAACGTTGTCATGATCGCGAACCACTTTTATGAATATCTAATGTTTTATGGGCAGGGCAGCAGCTCTGCTGAAAAACAGATATTAATTAATTGACGGTTCTGTTGTGTCTGCACACCCACATCCACCATCGTTGGATTTGATTTTTAATTTTTTCCCACCACACGATGCTCTGTCCCACACTGTTTCATTCATTATTATTATTATCTAACAACACCAAACAAACAAAATACCACACAATACAACAATACAACAGTTGTTGTATACTTTTTACTAGTCTATCAGATAACAAAGCATTCATCCATCCTGTCTACCTTAATAATAATAATAATAACCAGGATCGCTCGGCTAGCCAACAACACACAAACACACATCCCTTCCAACAACACAGTGTATTGTTGAACAAAACACTAACTGCTTGATCAAAAGGGGATTAAATTGTTGTTGTTGTTGGGAATACCGTCAATTAGTCAATCAGTCAAACTCAACTAAACACTCAACTACTATAGAGCATAGATCAAAGATCATTTATATGTGATTGAAATTAATTAATCAACTGAAAAGGGTATGATAAACAAAGATATTATACAATACCTCTTCCACTCTCTGCTCTCCCCTCTTTTCTATTCTATTCCATTTTCACACAACAATGACGGTGATTTGGGGGTTTCAATCAACCAAAAGAAGTGTCTTTTTTAAGGATCTATTACTGGTACCCCGACTGGATTTGCGGTTTAAACAGTGTGTGTTGTTGTTAATTAATTAACAACACTCACACACATACACATATTTATGTTACCCCCTTCACCTCCTTTCCTTTTTGTTTAAACTTTTTCATCATCATCGTTCATCTATCCTATCATCACATCTTCCTTAATATTATTTTTATACTACACATCAATCAAATCAATCAAACAAACAATCAAACAATCAATCAATCAAACAATCAAACAATCAATCAGCAAACAGAGCAGTATTGGAAACATCATCAATAGTCAAAGACACATACCCAACAGTAGGGACAGGGTACAGACAGACAACAAGATAGTTAGATATCCAAGGGTTTGGGTGACATGACAATACCGTTGCAGTTCACTCACACCCACACACTAAACTGGACTGACTGAGAAGGAAAAAATAATATTATATGTACATATAAAGAAGACACACCCTACCCCACACATATACACACACACTGTTTAAACATAATATTGCCATCTCATCTCGTTGTTGTTGTTGTTGTTGTAGTAGTAGGAGGTTGATTTTCAAACAATTGAGAAGCACAAAATGATATTGAAGGGTAGTCAAACAATCAAACAACAACAACAACATCCTCTACTCAAACTACTTTGTTCATCCTTCTTAGCTTTGCTTGTTGTTGATTTCGATTTAACCTACAAAAAAAGAAAACCAACCAAACCAAAGAGGAAGGAAGGAAACAAGCACAGCAAAACAAAGCAGCAGCTGTAGCATTGACGAGAGTGCTATGCATATTGCACTCAAAAAGTGCATCTATTTAATATTGTGTATAATTGCATTTTCAACAATTTATATCTTTTATTTATCTTGTTCCATCCACTCCATCTATCATCCATTCACCCAACTTACTATCCTCCCTATTATAATATTTCCATTTGATAGATATCTATCAAACTAGCTAGCCAAAAGCTTTTCATCACCCATTGTGTATATTTATTATATTATATTTAATTTGTACTTCACTTTTTTTTTTGTTTTTTTTGGTTTAAAAAAAAGATTGATCTCTATACTTTGTTGATTATGTACATAATCTTCCGATATCATGGTACCATTTATAAAAGTTTTAAAAAACTTTATATTAATCCACCCCTTTGATTCCCCTCCCCTCTTCCCCTCTTCTCCTCTCCCCTTCCTCTTTTAATTTATAGCATATATCATAATTATTTATCTCGCCCGCTCTTTTTTTTTCTTTCAAGATGACGGACCAACAAAAATTACAACAACAAATTATCAACGAGGTTAATAATTTGATGGTGATGGACTATGAAATAGTACAGGCCAAGACCAATGAACCCGTCTCGGTACAATATTTTTGTAACCGAGATTGTGAGCCCCTTTATTTCCCCGATCGAACACTAGCCACACTGCTCCAAGTCAACCTGTCCACTCTGAGAGGACGTTTCAACCGTTTGACCAAAAAATATTCTGGCATCCGTGTTTTGATCTCTGAAAAATCCAAAGCTCGTCTTACCAATTACCAATTTGTTTCTTGTCAACCAAATAACAACAATAACAATAACTCAAATACAACATCACCATCATCATCATCGTCGTCTTCATCACAGACACGAAACTCACCATCACCACCATCGACAGTACCACCATCACCTCCATTACAATCGGTTGTCATTGCCGGCGCCAATGCAAATTACCCTGGTGGAGATGAATCGGGAGCCTCGTCGTTACATGGTTTGGTTGCGCTCAATCATATCGATCTCGTCAACCACGCCCTCAGCGAATGGATAGCACTTAACCACGAACGTCTTGGAACTGCCATCCGTGACATTGAGATTAATCTCAGTCGTGCCAAGCTCTCTTACATTCGTCACAACGACATTATCACACTCTTGCCTAAAAAGTACGAGTGTCCTTCCCCTTCTTCATCTCCCCCAACCTCACCTTCGCATTATTCCGTTAATCCCTACAACCAACAACAACAACAACAAATTCGTCAATCCAATTATTCATCTTCTGTTCCTCAACAACAATTTAATATTGGATCAAGTCCATCAATCAATCAATTTAGATCTCCGTCTTCATCGTCATCCAATAACAATAACAATCATAATAATAATACTTCACAACATACATCAAATTATATTATGAATTCTGGTTTAAATTATTGTAAGTACACAAAAAATATTTTTCATGTCTTGGGAAAAATATTAACTTACACCACTCTGCTTTTTCTTCTAGTGATGAATTGTAGTGCAGTAGAAAGTTTTAGACTTGGATCAAATTATGAAAATGGGCATGGTGGATCACCATGTTCGTCAACGAGTACCCAGTCACCTTTGACATCACCAAGTGAAGATGACTATAGTCTAAAGTATTCCAGTTCCTCATCTCAATTGTTGACAACACCCAACCCACATAAAAGAATTGGTGGTAGTAGTAGTGGTGGTTTGGATTATCCTAACCTTAATCCATTCCCATCACACAATCATAATCACAGCCACCACCACAGCCACCACAACAACAACCATCAACCTCTTCAATCAATTCAACAAACCTTTTCCCCTCACCACCACCACCACAACCACCAATCACAACCACATGATTACTTATATCACGTAGAACAAGAACACCAAAGATCATTGTCAACCAAGAAACAAAAGCAACAACACAACTTGTCTGTCATCCCCCCCTCTCCATCCCTCCTAACCTCAACCTCTGCATGTTCGACCCCCACCTCACCTCCCTCCTCCTCAACCCTCCCCAACAACAACAACAAAAGTACTGGGTTACTTTCCCCTTTTGGCGGATTACCTCCTTTGACTTCATCGTCGTCGATGACATCACCATCGTCATCATCGTCATCGTCAGTGATGAATCTTCAAAAATTCCATCTATTTAGTCTTGGAAATCCTACCATGAGTACCAACAACCCAATCATTGTCGATTGTTCCTACGAGAATGAAACCACTGGAATCAAGAAAAAGATTGACCTCAACAACTTTTCTGGATTCCCCAGCCTCTTTAAGTTCCTCGAGTCCTCCTTTGCATCGGCCCTACAAAAGCCACTTGGAGACTCGTTTGATATCTTTTGGAGTGATATTGCTGGCAATGGTTCCATCCGTCAGAGAATCGACAAACAACGCGATGATTTGGATTGGAATGATTTCTTAATCAATGTCCGTGAGATTATTATCAAACAACGTTCAACCTCTTTGGCGGTATCAACAACAACTACATTGTCGCCATTATTGGCTGCTGCAGTTGCCACCAATACCCCATCCCCTCTCAAATGTTCACCCCTCTTGCCCTATTGTCCACCTCTTTCCACTACCAACCAACATGTTATGGCCGTCCAAAGCTTGTTAAGTTAAGATTCAACTTTTCAAAATACTATTGGACTAGTAGTAATATTGGTTAACCGTGGAAATTTGTGATAGATAGAAATAGAGAGAAAGAAATAGAGATAGAACTGAATGATAAATAACAAAATGTCACACAACAACATCAAGAACCCTTCCCTTCCTTCCATCACCTCCTCCCCCCCCTTTTTTTTTAAAAACAACCAAAACAAACAATAATAATAATCAAAAAACAACCAAACAACCCAAACACAACCCTATAGCAAACAACAACAAACAGAAGTTTATAGTACATGATTCAAGGTTTTGTTTACAATTAGTACACAAATATGGATATGTATCTTATAATAAGGATTTCATAATAAATAATTATGTTTCTTTTCTTTGTCGCTTTCCAAAACAAACAAAAAACCAAAACCAAAAACCAAAACCAATCTATCCCAAACAAGGATCCTCGTCTTCTTTTATTATTTACTTTTTTTATTAGTAGTGCAGTTGATGTTTAGAAAGCCGAGACAGCAGGATAAAATGGAATGTTCCATATTCTAATTTTAATTTATTTTTTAATAGCTAGATTATTTATTGTCCTTAAGAGTCCACTGCCAGTATCAGTTTAAAGCAATCATAATTTGGAATTATTTATTAGTTGTAATGATTCAAATCTATTTAAGAATATATTTTGATTATTAAATAATTCCCAATTGACCCAAATTTATCAATCAAGACTTGAAAAAAAAATAGTAGAGGATAATATGAAAATAGGAGTAGGGTGTAGACAAGAGTTTGGTGAAGCCGTTTGGTGTTCTATTTTGATCAATGTCAGAGCAAGGAAAGATAAAGACGATACCACCAATGATCAAATTAAAGTTTGGTCTATTCATTTCCATCTGACATTCTAATCAATCATGAATTAAAACTACAAATCTTTGACTCTACAAGTATTTCGAACCAATTCTAAACTGTTCCAATATCAGTTAAAACTATCGATATTAGCTCTCTTTAAACACACATGTCTCTCTATTTGACGATTAGAGGCGACAATAAATTTAAATTGGTGATGGAAAAGTGTAAATAATTAAAAATTGCTTATAAATTTGACAACAAAACAAATGATGATCATCAGGGTACGGCAGTAATATTATTTTAAATTCTATCTTACGAAAAGATAATCAAAAAGAGATATATTATACCTTTTGGTCTACCAACCATATCAAAAGCTTAAAGGGGTGGTTATTGGCCAAGATCAGATTGGAAGTGCTTGGGATTCCTCTTTGAATTGCTCAAGCATTCGTTATCAACAAGTAGCTTTCTCTTTACTATAGTTCTATCAGGTTAAAGTAATCATCATTTGGAATGATTTATTAGTTGTAATGATTCAAATCTGAATTAAGAATATATTATAATTATTTAATTATTAAATAATTCCAAATTGATCCAAATGTATCAAGACTATTGTTAACAAAAAAGTATGTATATATATGATCAAAAAGCAATTTTATTGATTTATTTGTTTCTAAATTCACTCTCGATCAAATAAAAGATAAATGACAACTAAATATATTAGTTAGTTAGTTAAATATAGTAGAAAATAGGATGAATAGTAGAGAGTTATCGTTAGTACCTGGAGGAGGAGGACTATCAAACATTCTAATTCAACAAATATTGAATGAGATTGGCAGCATTCAGGATATCATAAGTCTTTTACTCACTTGTAAATCATTTTACTTTGATTTCAAATCGATGTATCTAAATAATATAACATTTAAACATGTCTCTCAATCTTTTTTAAAGAGTGTTGAAAAGAGTATGGTTAAACAAAGAATGGAACCTTTTGGTGATCTATTTCAATCATTGTCAGAGCAAGTCGTTGTTAGTCAATGGCGCAAAAGAGATATTTTAACAATCAATACATCTTACTTGTCATCACCAAGCAATAATAATAATAAGGTTGACAAGGTGTATGATAAAGTCATTGTTAAATCAAAGTATGTTGGAAAGATCAAGAGGATACCACCAACCATCAAATTAAAGTTAATTGGTAATATGAACTTTGAACGTATCAGAGAGACATTACAAGACCCCAAATGCTTAAAGGCACTGTCTGTAACCAACTGTAATATTGCTGGGTGTGCATTGTCTCCAACGATTGAAAACATTCGAATCAAGTTTAATAGAATATCTGTAGTCCGGATCACACCTATTCTACCACCACCTCTGACATTGGCATGGCCATCTTTGTTGACATTCTTGACTATTGTCTCGAATGTAGCCCTTCCACTGGGCGTCCAATTCCCATCCACACTGACCAACCTCCGTCTCACGTTTACAACCCCTGTACACGTATTCAATTTCGATCTAAGTAATCTTGTGCATTTGACAGGCCTACAAATCTCATCAAACACCACTCAACGTATTCCAATCGACAATATTCAACTCCCCGTCCCAAACACATCGATAAAGCTTATTGACCTAGGATTCTTCCCTGTCGCGGGGCAGGTGACACAAGACTTTCTATCACCCAACCTAGAGACATTGTACTGTCTCGAATACGAGTGTTTTTCACCATCTGTCAGACTCCCTCCAAAAGTCATCGAAGTAATCATCGATGAATGCAGCGCTAGAATAATACCTGCAAACTTTTTCCCAGCAAGTCTCGAGAAACTGGACATAACATTTCTAAATGGAGGTGGTATTGCATCAGGTGCATTGGTTGAGGGAATCAAAACATTGTCAATGATGGATTATACAGGTCCAGTCACACCAGACTACATACCAAACTCTGTAACAGAACTTAACGGTCATGTATCAAATCCAGAGTTGGCAGTATTTCCAAGCCAACTCGTTACTCTCACTTCATCAATTAACTTGACAGTACCGATTCTATTCCCTCCAAAATTAAGTAAATTAGATCGTGTCATTATTGGGTCACCATTAATCTATATGCCAACATCATTACAAACATTGTCAGGTGAATTATCGGCATCAACCTGTGTTGGTGTGGTCAACGACTATCCAGTCTATTCATTTCCACCGACCATTTTAATCAACAATGATGATAGTTCACCCAAACACAATCCACTACATTACATACTACCATCGAATCTCAAAGAGTTGAGTCTCCTAATCGACGTTCCTGCAGATGTTTTCAGTTTCAGGATTGACCAAATTCTAAACTGTTCCAATGTTAATAGACTATCTATCAGTCTCCCCAACCAATTTGAGGAATCTATTTGTCTCTCTATTCGACGATTAGAAGAAGACAATGAATACATATTAGTGACGGAAACAGATACTTTTAATGGTGCAATCATCAAACAACATAGATTACCCAAATACAACAACAACAACAACAACAAGTCTACCCAAAAGAGAGGTGTACTTGACTATAAACCACTCTATTTACAATTCCATATTAGTATGACAAGTGGGATGATCAGTATGAAAATAATCAATTCCCCTTTTTAATAAATTGTACGTGCTTTTGATTCAATCATATCCTTTATTATTTGTAAATTATTTTATTTATATATATTTATACTAGATATCTAAAGAGGACGACAATCATATCAGAGGTAACAAAGTTGAACAAAACGTTGGCTTCTCGAGAAATTGAAAGAGAGAGAGGAAGATTGCAATACTACTTTTTGATTAAAATACCAACATCAAAGAGTATATCTCTTACCTTCAACCAGCTGGGACAATCGTACCAATTACCGAATGGGGTATAATGAATTGAGGTCGTTGGTTGCACCTGTCATACATACCCATTTGAATAGTAACCTTTTTTTGAAAAGTAACATTTCCTATTCATCAAACAGTATCATCACATCCCTCTAGCCACAACAATCAGCTTACAGCATAACCTGCTGCCATTTATTTGCAGATGCTAGTGTCAGGCCTTGATAGGTCTTTCACAAATGACTCGAAACTCTTTAATACTTTTTCAATAGTTTTCATCTTTAATACAAGGAAAGGGTGGGCAAAGATGCAAAATGTCAGGGTTGAATGTAGCAAGAAAACTCGTTCCAGTTACTTGTTACTTTCATTTTCTCTGTTGTCATTGCGGTATCTTCCATTTCACAAACACACAGAAAATGAATTGTTGCAAGACATCTACAATTTAAAGTAAATTTTCAAGTATTCTATTATAAGGGAAGCATATCTGCCATTCCAGCTCAAAGCTAAAGTAATCATGATTGGAATTATTTAATAATTATAATATATTCTGAATACAGATTTGAATAATTATACACTAATAAATAATTCCAATCAATTGATCAATTGAAACTATTGAACCCATTCAATGGTTTGAACTAGCCTTGGAAAAGTTGGGTATGTATAATTAAAAAAAAAAATAAAAAAAAATAAATAAATAAAAATAGTATGTAGATTTTGAGCAAAAAAAGCGAAATTGAACCATTTTACTCTGTTCACTTTTCATTGTTTATCTGTCTCTTTATTTATATATCTCTTTATATCTCTCTTTAAAAAGAAAGAAAGAAATGACAACTAAAAAACAAACTACCAATAGTAGCGGTCAAGGTGCTAAAAAGATTAATAATACAGTAGCAGAGTCAGGTGATACAACAAGACCACAATCGTTTAACAATAATATATTATCATTACAAGAACCATTGTTGGCAAGACCAGCAAGAAAACAATCAAACAATATCAATACTAGATACGAAGAACATGATGTAGACTCACAAGACTATAATATTTGGTATGGAAAGAAGGTTGGAAAGAGAAATTGGCGTGATAGAGATGTTAGCGAAACAAGATGTAATCTACTCAAAGATTGTGGTCGTACACGTGCAGGCAAGGGATCATACTTTTGTCTTCACTTTTCAAAGGGACGTTGTGTAAATGGTGTTGACTGTACCTTTTTACATCGTGTTCCTACACCTGAAGACGATAAGAAACTCAGTCTAACATATGACATATTTGGTAGAGAAAGATTTAAACTTGATAGAGAAGATATGGGTGGTGTTGGTAGTTTTAGTAGAGATAATAGAAGTATGTATAAACTATAAGAATTAAATTGTACTATATATTTAACCTTTTTTCTCTTTTTTATTTATTTTTTTAGCATTATATATAAGTGGTATTAAAAGTAACCAAAATGCGGTTGCATTGGAAGATATGATAAGAAGATCATTTGAAGAATGGGGAACGATTGAATATGTAAGAGTAATTATCAACAAATCGATTGCCTTTGTCAGATACATGTATCGTTCAACGGCTGAATTTGCAAAGATTGCAATGTCTGACCAACAGTTGGACAATGGAGAACTGCTCAATGTTCGTTGGGCAACAGAAGATAGTAACCCACTTGCCAAACAACACGACGAAAGAAATCTTCATCGTGTTGCCACCGAAGTGGTAAACAAGAGACTCAAAGAAATGACTCCAGATGATAACTCTGCACTTAAATTTCAAATGACTGGTCAATACCCAAATACTGATGGTCAATTTGATCAAAATCTTTTACAAATGGGTAAGTAAAACAAAAAAAACAAAAAAAGAAACTCGAAATATATATGTGTATATATTAATATTTTATTTTCTCTAGAGAATACAATTCAATATAAATATAAAGGAAGTCAAAGTTATGAAATGCATCCATACGCAAGACAATATAATCATAAATTAAAGGAAAGACAAGAAAATGGAGAAGGTGAAGATATTCAACCACTTGCTGGAGTTGGAAATATTTATGGTCATACTCCCAACTCTTTTAATCATCAAAAACAACAACCACAACAACAACAACAACAACAACAACAACAATCCAATCCTCTTGCAAACATGACAGAGGAACAAAAACAACAATACGACGAATACTTAAAGAATTATTATCAATACTATGGTTATGATTATGCATCATTGACCGATGAACAAAAACAACAAATGTTACAATATTCTCAATCTTATTATGGTGTTGAACAAACCACTGAAACCTCTGAAACCACTGAACAATCGACTGAAACAAATCAAGATACTACTACAGATGGCACTTCAACTACTTCTACTACTTCAACTACCTCGACTACTTCTACTACAGTTTCCTCTGAAAATAATACTAAACCAGATGAAACAAAAAAAGAGGAATAAATAATCCATGATCAATTATTTTGGATTTTGAATATTGCCGAGTCAATCGACAATTGATATAATTAATTAATTTTATTATATATATATATATTATTATTTGTTTTGTTTTATTTTATTTTTTTAGATTACATTTACCCAACCTTGATCAATTAAATCTTCCAAAGTTACCTGTTGTTGAGTTTCTAAAAGTTCTAGAGTGGTTTTACCTTCTAATTTACACATGATACCAAATTCGTCGATATCGTCCTTTTGCATGGCACTTCCGAAAAAGAGGAAGCGAAGGTGCAGATGAATATGGTTTTCGGGTTGTTGTACAAAAGCAATGATGGCTGACGTTAGCGATGTGCAGTCGGTCAGCTCGATGACTTCAAGGAGTGTCCATTTTTTGAGTGCTTCGAGGATGGTGATATCCTTGAGATGGAATGACGACAGACATGAAAAGACACGCATGCGTGGGCATGCCTTGACAATGGCTGTAAAAGATTCGGCTTGCACATTGTGGAACCCGCCGCCAATAAAGAGAGAATCTAGTGACGCTGCACAACGTTGGGATCGCGCCAACTCTCCTAGTACTGCGTCGTTGATGAGTGGTGTAAAGCACATGTCTAGCGTGCGCAACTGCGTAGTCGCCTGGAAAAATGTGCCAACCTTGCCAGCCAGCGCTGCGGGTGGGGTCTGTGACGCGCCAGGGAAACGACAATGCGAGATGAATAGGTGACGGAGCGTGTCGCCGCCTCGTGCCAACACGGCAAAGATGTCGGGCGTGATATTTTTACATTGTGACAGCCCGAGTGTCTCGAGCGTGCGCTGGTTCGTGTCTAAAAATGCAGAGACAATGTCGTTGGTGATGTGCGTGCCGTCTACGCGCAGGTGGTAGAGGTGTGTCAGCTTGTGTGCCAGCGCGAGCAGGTTGGACTCGTCGACATGCGTGTGACGAATATCTAGCTTTTGCAGCATCGTGTTGAGCAGACACAACTCGGTCAGCCCTGCACCACTCTTGACCAAACGTGCTGACAACTGCGTCAACGTGTTGAGTCCGAGTGCTGTTAGGTCCTGGAACCCCTGGTCTCCGATTTTTATACAAAACGATACATCCAACGAATGCAGTGTCGGGCATCGCTCGCCAATCAACGATAGTGACTCGTCTTCAATCTCTGACTGTGCCAAATTCAACGATTGTATCATTGCTGGGTATTGTAGGTTGATTGGACTGCCACCACCACTGATACTCACATGATCGTCCAACGACCGAGGTGAAAGTTGTAGTGGGAGTGGAGATACAGATGATCCAGCACCACCAGTCTGTTGTTGTTGTTGATAGTGTTGGAGTTGTTGTTGGTAGTGGAATAGTAAGAGTTGTTGTTGTTGTAGTGTAGATGATGAGGAGAATGGTGAGGAAGTTGGTACTTTTCGTGGAGATGCAGCAGGTGAGATACCAGCTGATCGCGGCGACGAAAGATGCATAACAGAGCTGGCCGCACTGGTGCTGGGTGTGAGGATCTTGTCGAGTACGTCGCTTGATATGTTGGGTAGTTGGGATATATCTAGCGCGGTCAGACATGCCATGTTGTTAAACGTGCTGGTCACATCATGGGTCAACACATCGCGCAAATTGCTGATCGATAGCGTACGAAGACGCGTACAGTGCTGTGTGACGGCTTGGATTGTCTTGTGTGTCACTTTTGAGCATCCAGATATATCGAGATAGGTGAGTGATGGTGACAACCGTAGCAACTTGCGCAGCATGTGGTCCGACGAAAACGAAGTGCATTGTCGCAGCGACAAATACTCTAGACCCGATGCACCAAACGATAATCCACCCGCATGCATCTCGGACAACGTCATACTCGATGCACTGCTACTCAGTTCATCCGATATGTTTGAATTGGTGTCTGTAATCTTATCGGTCGACGATGAATGTGATGGTCCATTATTATTATTACTATTACTCGAAATACTTAGAGAAGGTCTTTGCTTTTGTTTGGTTGGGTGTTGTGGACGTTCCTCTTCTAAAGGTACACCCGTACTGCCCGTCTTGCTTGGCGTCTCCTTTCGACGCTTGAGGATCTTATTTTTAAGTTTTTGAAGATGTGATTGCTTTTGTTGTGATTGTTGTTGTTGTTGCCCGGCACGTCCCACCGCACCCTTGTTGGGAGCTGTGATGGACGATAAGGTGTCTACATTGGACCCCTCATCTGATATATTGACCAGTGACGCTGAAGGCGACATGGACGACGATGACGTTGACGACGCTGAATTCAACGACGAGATGATCGTCTTTAATATATTGTCATTGATCTCGTAACAATAGGAAAAGTTGAGACGCTGCAATGAATGGCATGCACGCAACAACTCCTTGGTTGGATCGTTTTGATTGATCTTGCTACGAATGACACTGAAATCGATCGACCGTAATCTAGTATCCAATATATTCTGAGTAAATACTTCAGAGTGAGATATCTTGGTTCCATTAAACAATCGATACTCTAACATGAAATGAACCAATTCCTCTTTTAATTCTAATGGTAATATACTTAGATTTTCCAATATATTAGCTGTTGTACTACTATTATTTTGATTATTATTACTATTATTACTACCGTTGTTGTTATTGTGATTATTAAATAGATTGTTTATAATGACTAGAAAACATCTTTGTTTAAGTGTAAGAGGATGACTTTTAACTACCAATCCCAAATAATCAAATTGTTTCTTTGGATATGATGACGATGATGATGATGAGGACGACGACAATGATAAAGAAGGGGATGATGATGATGATGAGGCAGTCGATGCATTTGATCCATTCACATGATCATCTTTTTTAGATGATGATGACGATGATTTTGATTTACTTGACAACATCCTTCTCTTCTTCTTCTTCTTCTCTCTTATCAATCTAACTATACTTTTAAATCTATCTAGATGAGTTTAAAGTTTTACAAAGAAAAGAGTCATATAGTTTAGTTTGGTTTAGTTTCTATCATGTGACTAGTTTCTATTTCTATTTCAAGTTCTCACACTTACTTTTGTTTAAAGTAGATCGGAGGAAGAAAGGGAAGATATAGTCTAGTATATAATATATAATATATAATATATATAAATATATATTACAAACAAAAACAAATGATAATGATAATGATGGTGGTTATGTACGTCAATTACAGAAAGGTAGGAGACACAGAACACAAAAAAAGAGATTTAAGAGGAGGAGGAGCAAGTTGTTTTTTTTGGATTTGGGTGGGTTTGTTTTTTGAAGGCAGACTGCCATCAATCGACCACCCATGGTTTTTATTGTGGTTGTTTATTTTTTTTTTGTTGATCGATTAACCTTTAACCCTTAAAGTATACGCACACCCCAAAACGAATGCGGAGATGGTTCATTGCAATTGTCTTACAAATTAAATAGTTGCGCAATAATTACAATTGTAATATTATCCTTTTATTATTACTACTGGTTGTGGAATATCTTTTATCATCATAATCATCAAATACACTTATCTTTTCTATCATTGATTTGATTTTAAATTAAAATGATGATGGTGATAAAAGATACCATTTGATTGCCCATTATTTATTACCTTTTCATAAAAGAATATATTAAGATCACCGAAGCTTACATAATGTATGATTGATAAAGGTGATGGGTTCGGTTGGAACTGATATTGGATATTTTTCAACGGAAAGGCAGTCGCCCCTTATTGATCCAAAATACTTTGAAAAAAAATCAAAGAGGCCGAAAAAAACATAATTTTTGGGCGCCATTCCATTTAACGAGGAGGCACAATGCTGGGCTTGTGGTGTGGAGGGATTGTGAGTCGGTTTGTTTATCCCTCCCTCATATCATTTAAAAATAGATGAAAAATTACAACAAGGAGGGATCACCTCAAGAACCACACCCTCTCTTTCTTTTATTTTTTAAATTGATTATACAACAATCACATACTTTTTATACATATATATAGATAACAGATAAAGTTAAGATTATTTAAATTTATAAATTTTAAAATACCGAGCCGTTTTAATCTTTAGGAGGAGAAAAAATCTCGACTACGACCTACAGACAACACAACAACAAACGGCACAGAACAGCCCCCATACATATACTACCGTAATCATAAACAACTAGATCAAGATTAAGGTAGGTAAGTAGTAGTAGTAGTAACCAGCTCGTTATAATTAATTAACTAATTAATTAACAATCATCTCATAAATATATTGATCTTATTATTATTATTATTATTATAATGATCAACTGACTCTAGGCTAAATTTAAAACAGATAAATTAAGAATCAAGCAATCAAACAACAACAATATTGTACAAGTAGGTAGATTTATTCATTAATCGATTGATGAATGGGATGATTAGTCGTCGATAAGAAGTACTTCTTCTCTGAGAACTTTCAGTTCATACCATCCCGACACACTGATCGATCTGATCATATCATCATCATCATCATCATTTATTTATTTCATATCGTATTTTATCATCCCTTCATCCATTCATTGATTAATTGTTGATGTTGGTTGGTGTTATTTTTGTTACACACCCCTAAATACACACAACTGTTTGTTGTTACTTAAAAGTCGCTAAACAATAATAGAGTAGAGAGAGTGAGTGTGTGAGTAGTTTGATCATACCACATTGGTTGATCGGATTGATAGATGGCTGGGTGCAAATGAGAGCTTGGCGATGGTTTATAGCGCTCACACACTCACTCACTCTCTACTCTCACAACACATATACACACAGACCGCCGCACCCAAATACACCATTCACCACTACCACTGTATCTGTCACACACATTTTAATTTAATTATTGGTTTGGCTCAAACGGAATAACCATCCATCCATCCATCCATCCATCCATCCATCCATCTCCCTCCCTACAACTCAACAAAGAGAGAGAGAGAGAGAGAGAGTGATTCAAAAAATAATAATAAATTAAAAAAAGAAAAAGGAAGATAATAATAACAACAGCAAAGCAACAAAACACAACACTGATCAATTATCGACGACATCAATAATAACAACAACAACAACAATTGTTCAATCACATATCCACCCAAACAAAAGAGAAAAGAGGAGGAGAGCGAGTACAATAGTATAGTATTAATCAATAATAATAGTTTATTATTTCTAGTTGGAAAAAGAAAAAAGAAAATAGAGTATTTAGAGAAATATTATTGTCATTTTGTATTTTGACACATACACAAATAGATCAAACCAAAAAATATTAGTTTGTGAATTGCAACAAAAGTATCTATCTTTTTTGTCGTTTCACCAAAACAAACAAACAAACAAAAAGACAGACAGATTAGATATGTCTTTTTGATTTAGAACAAGTTACAATATTACACTTTTCAATAGATAGTTTAGGTAGGAGTGGATGGATATTCGATAAGACTGGATATCCGTCCGTTCTTGCCGTGTTTAGTAGGAGGAGTGATTATAAAACAAATCTATTGTCAACAAAAGGGTATTTTTTGGAAAGGGATCACTTTTGGATACCAAAACACCCTACCCTTTGTTTTTAAAACAGAGATTGGAATTGGAAGGATGGATGGACAGACGGAAGGACGGAGGGATGGATGGATGGTTTCTGTGATTTAATTAATTAATTACTTACCCACCCACCAAGTAAAGTAAGGAGTAAAGAAGGACGTCATCTACTCTTTACTACTCTACTTTTATTAGCATTTTTAGAGAGTTGATTGATTGATCACAACTCTTTATTTTTTTTATTTCTTTTTCTCTCTCTACCCTTTTTCAAAAATATTAATATTATTATTATTATACGCCCCTCTTAACATTTAATCGTCATCAATCTATCTATCTATCTATCTGTGTGTATAATAATATTTATTTGTACAACTCGCACGCACTCACACAACACATAAACACATAAACACATAAATCACAAACCTTCTGATTGATTGATTGATATGATTGATTGATTATCACTACTGATTAAATAATAATAATAATAATAATAATAATTCCGTCATACATATTACGAGGAATCGTCCATATTTTTCATCACCACCTATCCCTTTTATTATTATTATTATTATTATTTATTATTATATGTAATATTAATACTTTTTTTTTTTTTCCCAAAAAGCAAAAAAAAAAGGAAGATATTAAATTTAAATTATTTATTTATAGATAGATTAGAATAATAGAATATTATATTACAAAGAATATATATAATATTATACGGAAAAATGGGATGCACAGTATCAAAAGAACAAAATGAACAAAATAACCAAGTTGATACATATCTAAGACAAGCAGGCAAAGATGCAATGTTGGATTTTAGAGTATTACTGTTGGGAGCAGGAGAATCTGGAAAATCAACAGTCGTCAAACAATTAAAATCAATCTATAAAATCACGGTCGACGATGCCGAACTACAAAGCTACGCAGCAAATATTCATAAAAACACTGTCTTGTGTATGCAAGTTTTATTAGAAGCTGGTGAAACTTTAAATATAGAATTATCAAATCCAGAAACAAAGGTAAATAAGAGAGAGAGAGAGGGAGAGAGAGTAAAAATAGTAGACTATATAGTTTGATTAACCTTATTTTTTAAACTTTTTAGAAAAGAGCAAATACAGTTAGATCATTCCAATTTGAACAAGATACAAAACAAATGCCAGTTAGTATTGGATTGGATATTGAAGAGTTGTGGAAAGACCAGGATATTCAAAGTGTTTGGGAACGTCGATCGGAATTTTGGTTTTTGGATGCTACACCATACTACTTTGAAAACATTCAAAGATTTTTAGAGGATGATTTTAGACCCACCGAAGAGGATTGTATAATGACACGTGTTAGAACCACTGGTATATCAGTCACCGAGTTTGACGAAGGTCCAGTTCATTTTAGAGTGGTCGATGTGGGAGGACAAAGAAACGAACGTAAAAAATGGATACATTGTTTTGATGATGTTAAAGCTTTATTATTTGTTGTTAATTTAGCTGGGTAAATATAAAAAGAATATAAGAAAATAAGAGAATAGAAAATATTTATATTAATATTATTTTTCCCATTGTTTTTTTAGATATGACCAAGTAATGTTTGAAGATCCAACACAAAATAGAATGCAAGAATCACTGACATTGTTTGGACAGATTTGTAATAACCCAATATTTGCTGAGACACCAACCTTTTTAATGTTGAACAAGAAGGATTTGTTTGAACAGATGATTCAAAAGACCGACCTCAGTAAATGCTTCCCCGAGTACAAGGGTGGTGCAGACACCAAAGTAGCACTCGAATATATCAAGAATCAATTCCAATCAAAGATCCAAACCTCCAACAAAACACTTCACACCAGTTACATTGCAGCTAGATACAAAAAAGATATTAAATTTACTTGGGATGAAGTCAAGAACGAACTACTCGAAGAAAACAAAAAGATTCTATTAAAAGCTACTAGAGATATAAAGAAAAAGAATACATCATCTCCTTCTAAATAATAATATTATAATAACCCAAAACAAAATTAATTTAATCCAACCAACCCAAACAACCAAACAACAACAACAACAATTTCAAATGATCTCCAATGTATATAATATATATAATTTTTAAAATTCATTCATAATCTATAATGAAGAATAACCAAACATCAAACAACAACAACAACAACAAAGAAACCTGAACAAACAATACAATCAAATCCAATCCAATCCAATCCAAACCCCCCTCCAAATTAACTTTACTTTTATCATTGATGAGATGTAACCAAATCAATCATCCACATGCATTTTAATCAATAAAAGTATATTTTGTGGATTTAAAAAAAATCTACTTTGCAAATCTATTTTATTTCTATATTTATGGACCCATTGAATTTTGAACAATATAAACTCGTGTGACAACCAGAAAGAGAGAGAGATTATATGTGCTTTAGCGAAACAACAATCTAATCTATAGAAATGAGAGAAATTGTAACATTATGTAGTATGTAACCTAACAAAAGAAAAGGAAAGATATTAATATCTTGCTATGTTTAAGTTACTTTTATATACTAATTGATTCTTTTTTTTTTTGATACTTTAGTTGGTAATTGTGGAATAAAACTTGGTGAAAAGTTTTGGAGTAGTGTATTGACAGATCATGGAATTGATAGTGATGGTATACACGATCAATCACAAGATACAACAACCATTTCAAAAGCACAACTCTATGGTACAGATGTACTGTTCAATCAAGACAAGAATCAAACTTTTAGACCAAGATCTATATTTGTAGACTTTTCACCTGGATCAATCAATACACTACGAAGTGGACCTTTGGGATCATTGTTTACTTCAAATTATGTATACTCTAAATCTGATGTTTCTCGTAATAATTGGGCTTCTGGTTTCTATGTTGATGTATGTACAACAAAAACAATACAAAAACAATACAAAAACAATATATATATACAATGTTGTTGTTGTTGACCGATACATGTATTTATTCATTCTATAGGGAGAAGAGGTAATTGAAGATATAATGACATTAGTTGATAAAGAAGTAGAAATGTGTGATTCAATACAAGGATTTCAAATCATTCATTCGATTTCTGGTGGTACTGGTGCTGGATTGGGATCATTGGTTGCTAAAAAACTTAGAGATAGGTACCTAAAAGCAATATTTACACATAGTGTATTACCAACTGATTCATCGGCCGAAATAGTATCACCTTACAATCAAGTACTTACTCTACATCATCTGATTGAGAGTGCTGATATTACTACTCTATATGATGACTCTATACTTTGTGATAGATTGAAACAACAAAAGTACCTGGGTGGTGGTGACACTAAAAAGGAGATTTCTCATAACCAACTAAATAGTTTTATTGGACCTGCTATCAATGCATCTACTTGGAGTTTTAGATTCCCCGGGGGAGGAGAAGGAGGAGGATCTTCTAATCGACATCATCATCATCATAGTCAATCAATGGACAAGATGTATATGAATATGGTACCATACCCAAGAATGCATTTTTTGGTCTCTGGTTTAATCGATCAACAACCTCAAAAACAGTCATCAGAGGAGGTGGATGTGGTCCAAGTACATGATATAAATTCAGATTTCTTTAATGGGAATAATTTCATGTTAAAACCAGATCCACTTGGTAAATATATTGGTGCATCATTTATTTATAAACAACAACAACAAGGATTATTTTCACAAAAGGATATTGATGAATCATTGTCCAAACTAGAATCATTACATTCTTTGGATTTTATTCCAGATTGTTTTAAATCTTTTATTTGTAATATTCCAACTACATCATCATCATCATCATCAACTTCAACTTTTAATCAAAATAATAATAATAATAATCAAAATAATTTTGAATATTTTGAAAATAATGAACCAAGTGGAATTATTTTAGCAAATAGTATGTCAATATCGAAACCACCAATTGGTTGAAATAATAGCATCGAGATATGAATCAATGTATAGAAGAAGAGCATTCACATCTTGGTACATTAGTCAAGGAATGGATGGATTAGAGTATGTTTTATAGTCAGTCAACTACTTTGTGCTTGACCCCCGACCCCTCCACACTAAATCAAATCTCCATCTATTTTTTTTTTCTTTTTTTTAAAACAAATAGATTTGAAGAATCATTGGAAAATGTAAGAGACCTCATTTCAGAATATCAAATACGATCACCTGTTGAAGATGATGAAGAGGAAGAAGAAGAACAAGTTCATGAATAATAATGATCCATGTAAATATATAATCAATATTGATTAACAAAATCGATCAATCAATTTTCATCCAAACAAAAAAAACGTCCTTTTTTAAAATAAAAAAAAAAAAACCAAAAACTCTGTGTTTGAATCTGTCCATCATTATCATTATTAAAATCGTATCACACCGCCTACCAACACATATTTATTAAAACATACCTTTCTACTTACTTACTTTTATTTAATACAATCTAACAACAACAACAATAACAACATTAATATCTATCTATCTTTAATCAACAAAACAACTTATCTTATTTATTTATTTATTATTTATTATTTACATTACATGCATTTATAGTTTTACATACATACATATTAACAAAATCATTCATAGATAGATACATACAAAAGTCATATAGAGAGAGAGAGAGAGAGGAGAGAAAGAGTAGTACAACTATAGATAGGTGATCTAGACGACTTAAAAGTTGAACCATTGTTACAATCATGTCTTCTTCTTCTTCTTCTTCTTCTTCTGACAGACTTTTAAAGATTGTGATTATTGGTGATGTTGGAGTCGGGAAGGTAAGAAACAACAAAAGAATATACAACAACAACAACAACAACAACAACTACTACTACTACTATAAAGATATTAATATGTTTATCTTTTAATTTAGAGTTCTATGATACTTAGGTACACAGAAAATGTATTTATACATGATCCGACCGTGACACTAACTTTCGACTCTGTAAGCTTAACTAAAATCATCATTGTGTGGGAAAAAGTACTACTTGTGGGGGGGGAGGGGTGTGCGTTTCGATTTAAAAAAAAACAACCCAAAACCTCCCTCTCTCGACGACGATTACTTTTTCTTATATCTAAAATTTTAGATTACTAACAAACCAATTATATCTATCTATCTATATCTAGAAAACAAAAGGTGTAGAAATCAATGGTAAAAACATAAGATTACAAATATGGGATACATTGGGACAAGAAAAGTTTGCTCAAATAACTTCATCCTTTTACAAGTATGCGAGTCATAGTAGTAATGATAATAGATAAAATATAGTATATTAATCAATATATTCTTTTTCTTTTTCTTTTTTTTATAGAGGAGCAGATGGAATTATTATTGCATATGATTCATCAAGTAGAGATTCATTTGAAAGAGTTGCATCTAGATGGTACCCAGATACAAAGAGATTTGCAAGAGAAACGGCACCTTTGGTCATAGCAGGATGTAAAAGTGATCTTGACAAGGCAATTTCAACAGAGATGTTGAATCAATGGTGCAACCAAAACAGATGTATAGGTATTGAATGTTCGTCGTTGACTGGTGACGGTATCGATGAAATCTTTTTGGAAATGACTCGTGTACTCTCTCAACAAATGGCATCCAAAGACCCCAAAGAAAACACTCCTCCCAAGGACGCAAAAAAGGAGAAAAAGGGTGGGTTCAGAAGCTTCTTTGGTGGCAATAGCAATAGTACAAATAATAACGCTGCCCCTAGCAGTTTGGGTAATGGTACAGCCAGTATCTCGTATGTTCCAAGTCAATCAATGTCTCATACAGCTGTTGCCAATACTGGTGGTGCTATTCTTGGTGGTAGTTTAAATACAAATAGTTCGAGTAGTAGTAGTAGTGGAGGTGGAGGTGGAGGTGGATCAAGTAAATCATTTATGAATAGTTCTGGTGGAAATAATAGCAGTAGTAATAATGGTGGATTATCAAATAGTACAGGTGGAGGACAATTAAATGGATCGGTCATGATGAATCACTACACATTGTCAACAACCAATTTGAGTTATTCGGTTGGAGGTGTTGGCATGAGTGGTAGTAATAGTAGTAATAGTTTAACTCAGAGTTTGAATGAACTCTCTCAATCAACTTCATCTGCATCGTCCAACAACCAAACCAATACGACTACTACTACAAGTAAATTAAAAGGAAAGTTAAAAATGGGAAAAGGTGGATCTCCTTCTGTAGACAAGAAAAATAGTAGTAACAACAACAGTTCTGGTTCTGCGTCAACACCTGCATCTCCAGCAGCTGCACCCTCTACACCACCAGTTACTCAACAACAATTTATAAAGAGAAGAAATGCTATTCTCCAAATCCCTCTTCCAACCTCCCCACCTCCCAAAAATCAAAATAGTTTACGTTTAGCATTTAGTAATTTTAATCAACCAAATAGCAGTAGTGGTAGTAGTAATAGTAATAGTACTACACCAAATTTGTCATCTACAACGACTACTACAACTACTACAACTACAACAACTACAACTACTACTACAACTACTAATAATCAAAATCAAAATAATTCAAATTCAAATACACCAACACTTAATCCAACCAATTCAACTAACCCAACTATATATAATAACTATTTATTATCAAACAATACTAGTCCAATTAATACAACACCAATGAATCAAAGTCAAAATGTATTATTGAGATCAAGTTTGACCAATGTACCAAATCAACCAAACCAATCACCATCACCATCACCCGTTCCATTGTCTCTTCAGCAGGAAAGACCAACTGGATCACCAAGTTTGGGATCATCAAGAATAGGACACCGTCCAACTACGCCATCCTCTTTATTGTCTTGTTCTACATCCTCTTCGTCATCTCCATCCTCTTCATCGTCGGCGGCATCTGATACAAATAGTCAATCATCAACACCACCAGAGAGTGCCTATGCAGAGGCTTATGGATATCAACCTTCTGTAGATGATGATCAACCAAGTCAATGGCATAAACAAACATTGGAATCACTACCAGATCTACCCAAGAGCAATTACAAGAGTTTGGTAGCTAGTACTTCAAACCCAAGCATTCCAGCTCCAAGTCCACATAGTAGTGGGTCGTCTATTCCAACTACTGCTACCATGTCATCCAATCCTATTCCAATATCACAACAATCTGGTTACTTTAATGAATCTCCATCATCTTCACCTTCTAGTACTGGTCAAGACAAACAATTCTCTAAAGCTTTCCCATCAAATATTAGAGATTCAAGAGGTTCATCATTGGATAGTAATCCAGGTGGTAATCTTGTTCAACATTTTGAAAATCAAAATAACAAACCAAATATTACAGTCTTGCCAACAACTACTACTACCGCCACCATTACACCATTGGTCAGTTCATCATCATCACCAATCATGATGAATCATCCATCAATGGATAATTATTTAGCAGTACCAAGAGGATTATTAAAGAGTCCACATCCAGCAACTGATCAACTCATCTCGTTAAACAAGAGTAATGAAAGTGATGGATCACAACAACATCATCATCACCATCATCCAAAGGTAGTTGGAGGTGGTATGTCATTGTCTTCAAATGCTATATTTGTAGCTGCTGCCAACAATACAACCACTATTGATCATTCTGATGAAACTGGTTCTATTGTAGGTTCGATTATTGGTTCTTCGGTTGGTAGAGAAGAAAGTTATAATTTGGATGAGGAATCAATGGAACATTTAACCTCTGGAAACGCAGTCCACATTTCAAATGAAATCAACTCTAAAAATTTTAACAATACAATCGATGTTGTACATGAAAGAAATCAAGCTGCCGCTGCTGCAGCTGCTCTTGCTCAATTGACTGGTGATAAAGAAAAACTTCATCATCAACAATCACTGGAACAAAATACAATTGTTGTACAATCAGAACAACAACAACAAGATGAAGATGATGATCCATATGATGAAAAACATGTAATCAAAGATAGTCATACTCCATCACCATTGGTAACTTCTGGTGCCAAACAAGTGACTCCACAACAGACTCTACAACAACAACAAGTGAATCAATCTCAACCTCAAATAACACCAGATACAGACAAGATTTTAGATTTAAATGAAAGATTCCAAAATGTTGTATTACAATTTAGAGACATTCCATCACTAGATACCAATTTATATAATCTCCAAGAGATTTCTACAGAACTTTTACACATTTCTCAAGATTTTATTCATACGGTTAAAACCTATGGTAGAATCATCATTGAAGAGAGATATTTACAAGAAAAAACAATTAGTAGTAAATCAATGGGTGGTCATCTTGGTGGTGATAAATATATAGTTAGAAATGTTCTTTTTAAAGTATGAAAAAAAAAAAGAAATTGAAAAAAAGAAAAAAAATAATAATTAATACCTTTTTCGTTCATTTTAGTTTGCAGGAGGATCACCACATGGAGTTTATGATGAATGGGGAGGAGCCAAAGTAGGAGGACAAGAATTAAAAGGATGTATGGCAACATTGAATTGTCCAATCAATGGATTATGTGTACCATTGATGGCACTTGTAGATTTCATGGGATTCCGATTGATTGCAATGAGTGTACTTCCCATTTCATCGAGTGGTGATAAACCAACCATTGTCTATGGAAGTAGTGATATGGGAAGAAAGGTTCATTCATCACACGAACAATCATTGGAGATTATGAAATCACTCTCTCAGTCGCTCAATCTAAAGCCACATTATGGTGGAACGATCATCCCACCATCGTTGGTCTACTCGGCAACCGATATCGAAGGACATATTGGCACGGATGGTAGATTCTATTTGATTGATTTCTCGCGTACATTCCCACCATCCTACCCAGACGACCAAATCTCTGGTGGTCACTTGTACCAATTGTTCCGTCCAGAGTTTTTAAAAAACCACACCAAACCTCTTTGCAGCGATGCCTTTAGTGGCTTTATCAAGCACGACAATGAGCGTCATGTACATAATGCCGAGGTAAAAGAAGCTACGCTCCGTCTTTTAACCGAGATTATCCCCAAGGTGTCTGGTCGTCTAAAGTGGCTCATCAAGGAGACGCTAGCCAACAACACCCTTCTCAAAGGTGGTGTTCATATCCCCGAACAGTTTCATCGTCATGGCATCAATATGAGATGGATCGGTCATATGATTGTCTCTGTCGATGACCGTGATGCCGGTTTTGTCTTGATGATCGAAGCCATTGCGCGTGTGCTCAAGAATGATCTCAGAAGACGTTTCCGTGACACTATGAAAACATTTAAACAACCATTATCAGCTCCCTACAATCAATTGACAACCAACTTTTTAAATATGGCATTTGGTGATAGTACAATGCCTGGTTTCAATTCAGAAGAATTTTGGGAAGAAAGAGTTAAACAAGAATTATATTCAAAGTTTTATATTTATCAAATTCCTCTATTTATTTCAAATAACAAATATATTGATCCAAATCAAAACGGAAACGGAAATAATGGAAATAATCAAAATATTAATAATAATCAAAATAATAATAATCAAAATAATAATAGTACTTCTTCTTATAATAATAATAGTAATAGTAGTATGGGTTCACAAACAAGTAATCTAAGTATAAGTGGAGCTATTGGATTAATTAATCAAAATCATTTAACCAATAGTACAAACAATGTTAATAATGGGTCGTCGGGTGTTGTTAAAAAGACGGCAGTACTTACACCTGGATGGAAGATTAGAGATATATTGGAGGATAGATTGGTCAATACTGGTGGTAATGTTGTATTGGGAAGAGATTTACTTTTTACAAGATTACGTGAAATGGCTCATCTCAAGTTTCGTAAAAAGACGATTGAAAAGTTGGCAGATACAACACTAAAGGTGACAATGCCATTTAACAATTCAGATCTTAAAAAGATTGGTGTACGTGTCAAACACACCGATCTCGTTACCAATGCCGAAGGTACATTCTTTTATGCCAAAGCAATGGCTGAAGTGTCCAACGGCACTGCTGTCCATCTCATGCACAAGGCTCGTAAGAAATTCGAGTTGGCACTCATCTCTAATCCAAACAACAAAGAGACACTCCAACTATGCGCACAAACCTGGTGCAAGATTCTAGAATTTTGTGCCTCTGAAGGAAAGAATATTGCCAATGTCCAATTCTCCATGAACGATCCATCGGTTGTCAATACGGATCGTTACTTTTTGCGTGCTATTGATGCCGATCCAAAGGGACCAGTCATCTTGTTCTTTTATGCTCGTTTTTTGGTCAGATGTAAACGTTATGAAAAGGCAGAAGAATATTTCCTTCGTAGTCTAGAAGTCGATCCTTTTAGCTATCGGTCTCTTATTGCCTATGCCAATTTCCTCACTGAAAGAGGTTATCCCAATGAAGCTTCTCTCTTTTTACAAAGAGCTCAAGAATGTAAAAATATCATTGTTGGTGGTTTAAAATAATAGAAAAATTATAAAATAAATTTAATGTATTATTAAAACAAACAAGGGAATCATTTAAATTTGATTTATTGAGTCTTTTTTTTTGGAACAGTATTTGACATTTTCTTTTTACGAAGACTAAACATATAGAGATATTGTTGTGGGAAGAGTAATAATGTTGAAATAATCCAAACCAATGCAAAATAATAATAGTTGAAAGAAAAATTGTATGAATTTGGCATAATTAGGAAATGAATCTTTCTTGCTAAAATGATTGGTAACATTTGATACCATAATATATCTTAAGTAAATAAATAAAAAAGGATTCATTAGTTTTTGTTTTGTTTTGTTTTGTTTAGTTGTTTTTATATTTTCTTATTACTTTCAGCAGCAAAACCAAGAGGATATAAAACAATAAAAGCATTATATCTTAACCATTCCAAAAACTTTGGACATTCATTCAAAGTTGAAGCAATATAGTATGGATAACGGATGAGTTCTGAAACACCCCAAGTTGCGCACATTAAAAAGACAGACCAATGCTCTTGAGCTGGATATACATAACAAAGTGCCCATAATAGAACATGATTTCTTCCAAACACTTGAAATATGGTTGGCATGATACTACCGCTCTTTACAAGTCCAAAATATACATGTAATATCTCTAGGAATGCAACTACTTGTAATGTACCTAAAAGATGTGTGAAAAAGTGTAAACAAAAGTAATAAATGATATCTTGTTTTATGTTACATACAAACAATTGAACCCAAAGACATAAAGGTTGTAAAGATTGATGAAGTTCCTTGAAACAAGAATCTCATAATCATTGATATGATTAGATAGTACCATCCCAATGCTTGAAAGGAGTTGTATACAACTAGATATTTGTCCTTGTTTGACAAATTAGTCATCTTTGTTTGTTTTTGAATCATTTGATTGATGATGATGATAAGAAAGAATAAAAAGAATGAATTAATTAATTTGAAAGTTCACATGATCGGAAACTCAAAACTATTTTATTTTTTTATTTTTTTGACAAGAAGCTATGGTTTTCAAGCTTTTGGAAAAGAAATTAAACTTCTCTTTGATGTATTAAAATAATAGGATCAGCTATAGAGATTAGAGTTGGATAAATAAAAGGAAAAAAAAAAAGAAGACATTAGACTAGTGAATCCAATTCCAGGCCAGTTTGTCCTATTGGAAAAACTATAGCCATTTTTTTTTTTATTTTGACAATATCTTTGAGTGGTTTTAATCGTTTCTTATGAAACCTTGTTTAGCATCAAATGACGTGGTCTTAGGAGTCCGCGAAAAAAAATCCCCTGCCATGAAAAAGTAAAAGATTTGAATGATGCAGGGGTTGAACCTGCGACCTATTGGTTCGTAGCCAATCGCTCTTCCAACTGAGCTAAACATCCACGCAAATTTGATGTCAAAAATAGTTTTTTGGCTTATTTATACCCCCTAGGAGCAAATTCTATTCTCTCTACAACTATCAATAATAATATTAATAATATAATAATTCACTAAATAATAAGAATAATAATAATTATATCAACCCAGTATTATAGCCTATAGTGCTAGTGAGAAAAAAAAAAAAAAAAAAAAAAAAAAAAAATAATAGCGATATCTTTAACCAATTTATTTTTAAAACAAGCAACAATCCAAAACAATCCAACATGCTTGACACTATACAAAAAGATACATGATCAACGTCCATACAACATGTATCATAGACATGGACAAACCCCCAAAACAAATTAACTTTAATTCTTCTTGAGATAATCTTTATTTCTTGCGGGTCAATTAAAAAGTAAAATTAATAAAACTTTGTAACTTCTGAGTACTACTCTTCCCGATAGGAGAGAACAGGAAAAGAATTACTTTAAAAAAAAAAACCTAGGAGCCACCACCTGAATGTGCAATTCGACTTTGACGATGACGATCGCAACTACTCTCTCGACCCAAACGAAGCAGCAATCGTTACCAAACGATTCAAAACTATAATCTATCTTGAATACCTGAAACTAATCCAAAACTGCAAGTCGATTCTAGCTAAATGTCAACCTGATCGATGGTCGGTCACTAATCTCGAACTGATCGCAAACTTTAGTAAATTCTCTCTCATTTGGGGCAAACTAGCTTCACCCTATCGCATTCCCTCCTTCCTAACTAAAACTAACCACTATCTAACAACTACTCCAAATTAAACAATAATAATTAAATCATTAATTTAAAAATAAACAATATGACTTCAGCGGTGATGAAGAGGTCAAAGATTTTATTAAAAAAAAAAAAAAAAAATACCCCCTCGCGCCTATACATAAGACGACAGTGATGAAGTTCGTCTCAGAATTTTTAAAAAAAAAAAAAAAAAAAAATACCCCATTTTATCGATTAGCCAATCGCTCTTCCAACTGAGCTAAACATCCACGCAAATTTGATGTCAAAAATAGTTTTTTGTTGATTGGCTTTTATACCTTTGACCGAGGTAGTTGTAATGTCTATCGATTCGATTGCATTAAATATCGATTTTCTAATAAACCATGTCTTAAAGTAAACTGGTTATCTACACTCCACAAATCGTTCAAAAGAGAAAAGAAAAAGAAGAGAGAAAAAAAAAAAATCTTTTAAATAGTTAATTAATAATGTGTTTGTTGGTTTTTATAATAATAAATATACAGTTTTTTTAATTTAAAAAGAGTATTATCGAATCAATATATGGGTATTGACAATGCAGTTTTGGTTTACTACAATCAATTAATTGTTATAGTTATTTTATAGAATTTAATTGTTTTTAAACTACGTTTTAAACTTTATTTTTTTTGAATTTTAAGTTCTTTTGATGAAGGTGAAGAGGTAATGATCAAAGAGTATACTATCATGTAGAATGTTGGAGATTAAAGTCTAAAAAAGGTTCAGAATGTTTATTGACACCTTCAAGCTCCAACCACTCCAATCTATCTCTTTCCTTTTCTTCGTATACAGACGAGTCAGCATTCAAAACATAATCGTCAGGTTAGTATTTCATCAGATTGTCATCGGCTGCGGTTGATGACGGCCAACTGTTGTGCATTTAATAGGTCTTTGTAGGCATTGGCGGTGGCACTAGAGTTGAAACAGGCGCAAATCAGAACGACGTTGTCCAACGTGTATCCAAGCAGCGGATTGAGCCTCTCGATGGAGATTACGAGAGGATCGCCTGTTTTGGTAGACATATACCAGAATAGTAGCAGCGACCCTTTTGTTTGTACCAAAGAACTTTTAAAAAGCCAAGAGAGATATCATACTGTAACACTACTTTACGAGACTCCAATCCATTGCGATCATCGTTGGAGCTTTTTGAGCTTGTTCTTAGCAACGATAAGAAATAATGAAGTGAATACCTTTAGTTTGGTAGTGTCGAGTTTTGGTCCATAGATAGCAAGGTATTTATATATAAATAAATTTGATATAGTTTATATTATATTAAATTGTTACATTTTGTATTGTTGTTGTAGTTGTAGTTGTTTTTTTTTTTTGAGATCAAACCAATCAATCAATCAATCACATTTCAGCCGATCAACTAGTTTCTATGATTCAATCTTTTCTCTTTATCTATTATTATTATTTATTTTAACTTACAATTAAAAAGAGTAAATCTCTTTTTCATTATGTTTATTTTGGTCGCACACTCCAAAGGAAATGGAATGGAAATAGATTATCACAGTTTAACTAGTTATAATACTGTGAAAGCGCATAGACCAAAAGAGAAAAAAAAAAGGTAAAAAGTATTAAAATTAATTAAATAAAAAAAAAAAAAGACACTTGCTCTTTTAAGATATCACATCCACATACAACATCCACATACGATATTGATATATTTATATAGAATGAAAATAAAATGGTTGATTATTAGTGATAAATAAATGGTTTGTTTTGAGAGGGAGAGATGTCTCTCCTCTGTCTCTATGTATTTATAGGGGGTTACTTATCAATGAAAAAAAATGTACAACGTTGTTTGTTTTATATATGACTTATTTTGTGATTGATTTTCTCTTTGTAGAGAATTGAGTACCTTCAGTCATTGCCTTGCCACTACCAACGACACCAACTCTTCCATTTAAATTATCGGGAGTAGAAAAGATGCTACCCTTTTTGAGGCCACGATCGGTGAGAGTCTTTCCAGACTTTTTGTTTTCATTGACAAAGTCTTGCCATTTTTGCTTTTGTTGACGATTCTCCTCGTCTATACGATAGACACGATTCGCCGACTTTATAGAATGTTGTTTCTTGAGTTTTAGTTTCTTGGTCTCTTCTGAATCGTCGACATTGATACGAAGATGTTTTGGGACGGTTGCGTAACCATCCGATGCAGCATTGACTCGCGTCGACTGATCCTTTACACTCGACCCCAACTTTACACGTGTCAGCGGTCGTATATCTGCAAAACTAAGTGTCTCGCTATTACCATACCCATCGTACAATATGACATAGGTTCCATCACTCTTTATATCTGTTATCACTCCTGCATACCATACTCCATCAACTGCATATTTTCCTTCACATCTTGATCCTATAGCTAATATTGAAGAACCAGAAGAAGAAGAATTATTTAATATTTGTTGTTGTTGTTGTTGTTGTTGTAATATTTGTTTTTGGTTTATAATATTTTGATCTAAAGGAGGAGAGGTAAATGATGATATAGTTGTAGTAGATGCCGTTTGTAAATTTACTATTTGATCTGAAGCTACCTTGATCACATTGATTAGATCTGCTTTTAGACTATGTAATTCTTCATTTTGTGGATCTTCTTCAAGTAACAACTCTAATTCTTGTAGTTCTTGTTTATCAGATTCTAGTTTAATCTTTAGTTCTTCGATATTTGTACTCATTCTCGATATATAAAATTGAATAAAATATAGAATGAAATGAAAGAAAAGGAAGACAACGATTCAATGTCAAAATAAAAAAAAAAAAAAAAAAAAAGAATGGGGTTTTACCAGTTTGGTCGACGCGAAATTGAGTGAAAAAAAAAAATCACTTAAAAATCGTCATGTAATTAAAAAAAAAAAGATTCTATTCATTTCTCTCTTTTAAAAGAAGGAAGAATAAAGAAGAGGAAGAAGAACAAGTAAAGTTTTGAACAAAGATAGAAGAGAGAGAGAGAGAGAGAGAGAGAGAGAGAGAAAAAAAGAGATAGATAAATAATTAAAAAAAAGATAAATGAAATCTCAACTTTTGTGAGACCGAGTGTAGAAAAGGAATGTAAGTTTTTAAAATGTTTGTTTGTTTTGTTGGTGCGTCGTTAGAAGATGACACTTGTCTCTCTCATACTTTTTTTTTTTTTTTAATAATTATACAAAAATTAATTAATCATTTCCCCTTCTTCTTCTTCTTCTTCTTCTTCTTCTTCTTCTTCTTCTTCTTCTTCTTCTTCTTCTTCTTCTTCTTCTTCTTCTTCTTCTTTTTAGATGCAGAATCAGTTCAAGCTCAAACACTTAGAAAAGAGAGTCAAAGTAAACTTAAAGTAGCAATTAAAGAATGTGTATCATACTACTTTTCAAACAATTCATCACCCATTACAAACACCATTCATGAACATTTATTAGGTCCAATTTGTTATCAAATTGAAGCTTTTATTTGTCATAAATTAAAACGTAAAGAAGAAATAATATATTACAATAATTAAAAAAATAATATTTATATTTGTTTTTTTTTTAGAAAATTCTAAAATATGGGAAATCATTCAATTATTACCAAATTTAAAAAAGGATTTAAAAAATCCTTTATTGGCAGATAGTAGAGCAGTAGATTGGAAAGAGGAATTTGATTATATTAATAGTTCAAGTGAAGTGACGAGTGATTTGGGTAAAGCAAGAGCCTGGATTAGAAGATCATTAAATGAATCAATATTGAATCAAGCCATTGAAATATTGACATCGAATCAAGATATCATCAAAACCTATTATCAAGAAGACTCTATTCTTAGACACAAAGAAGATGCTGATTTGTTTCGTTCCATCTTGGTATCATTGGCAACTCTGCAATTTCAAATAGATTATAATAATAGTAAATTGGATCATGTCAACATTGACCCTTCATGTCTATCTCCACTTCATCCTTTTTATTTGGATTTCCAAAGACAACATATAATAGTAAAGGATGATAATGAATCTACTACTTCTTCTTCTTCTTCTTCTTCTTCAACAACAGTAGGACCAACAAAAGTTTTGGTAAAGAAAAAAAAAGTTCTAAAATCACTAACAAGAAATATTAATTTGGATGGTGAGGATGAATTTGGTCAAGGTGAGGCGGTTGCAGTTGAAGTTCAAGCGGTGCCTGAAAAGAAAACAAAAATCATAAAAAGAATTACAAAAATTAAAAAAGTAGTAAAAAAAGTTAAACAAGAAAAAGAAAATGAAGATCAAGAAGAAAAAGAAAAAGAAAAAGAAGAAGAAATCAATCCTCCAATAGTAGTACAACAACAACAACAAGAAATTAATTTATCTTGTAATGAACAAGAAGAAGAGGAAGAAGAGGAAAAAGTAAAGGAACCAATTGTTCCAATTGATGATATTCTTTCAAGTGATGAAGAACATAATCGTATAATGTTAAAAAGATCAATGGAAATTCAAGAACAACAAGGACCAATATTAACATTAATGGAGGAATTGGCATTATTAGATCCAACAACAGTTAATAGTAGTACTATTAGTAGTAATAGTAGTATTTCTAGTAATTATTATGAAAAATCTTCCGATGATCCTGTTCCCAATCATCCTCCTCCTCCTACTACAACTACTACTCATAATGTTTCAGATTTTATATTTTCACAAAAACAAGCACAACAACCATGTCATCATTTATCAATAGAAGAGGAATCAATGGTATTTGACAAGATTGATCAATTTGAACAATTGTTGCAAGAAAAACATCATCTACAAGAAAAGGATGATAATATAAGAATTCATCATTCTAGTACGCTGACAGTATCAGTTTCAACAAATGATATTGCTCAACAATTCAACTATAGTCATCATAATAATTCAGCTACCACTTCTTATGTATCAGATGATCTAAGTGAAGATATCAATGATATTACTACAATCAATGATTCAATGAATCATGATACTTTGGAATCGTATGATGATTTACTTTTGGATCCAACTATTCAATTTTTAATTCAAAGTGCAAAAGATTTACCACCTCCATCTTCATCTTCAACTACACCAAATTATGATTCACCACCACAAACTTCTTTATCTTCTTCATCTTCTTCCATTTCACCTGTAAATATTAATAATAATCAAAATAATCAAAATAATCAAACAAAATCAACTTTTACTTCTTCTAATTCTTCATCTAATATTTCATCTCCATCTTCATTTAAATGGGCACCATTAAGAAAAAAAATATTATTTACTATACCTACTCAAGGAACATTGCAAGAACAAAATTATCAATGTTATGGTTGTGCAAAAGATATATCTGGAATATTTTCATTGTCAAGATATTGTGAATATAGTGGAAAGTATTATTGTTCTGGATGTCATTCTAAAAAGTATTGGTACATTCCTGGTAAAATTCTAACCAATTGGGATTTTAAACAATATTATTTGGCCAATTTCTATTATGAATTTTTGGTGGAAATGGAAAAGGAACCAGTTTATGATTTGGGTAATGTCAATCCCAAACTGTACAAAAACAATCATCTCTTGCGTATTAGAAATCTTCGTAGACAAATGTTTCATCTCAAGGACTTTTTAATTACTTGTACAAGAGGTGGACAGGCATTGCTTGAACTTTTGGGTCGTAGTGAGTATTTGGCAAACTCTATCGATTTGTTTTCGCTTGGAGATTTGGTCAATTACAAACAACTTTTGGAAACATTAAGACAATTGGTGGCAAAGTGGTTGGATCACGTTGAAAAGTGTGTACTATGTCTTGCCAAGGGATTTGTTTGCGAGTATTGTGACGATCACACTGCAATCTATCCCTATCACATTTCTACCGTCTCTCAATGCTCCAATTGCAAGAGTTTCCATCACAACAAATGTCAACAACTTGGTAAACAATGCCCAAAGTGTCTAAGACTTGCAAAACAAAGAATTTTACAAAACTTTGAAAAGGCTCGTAAACTTGAAAAAGAAAAATTAGAAACTGAAAAAAATAATCTTATAATGAATTAATAAATAATAAATAATAAATAATAAATATTTATTTATTTATTAATCTTTTTTTAAATATCATTAAAGAATAAATTTAAATTTGGATAATTATTTGTTAAATAGGAAATAGTTGAAAAATGTTTTGGATATTGAATATTGATTGATTTTAGGTATGTTAATTTTTGTACAAGTTGAATGAGAGAGGAATCTGTAAATTTTGGTGAATCCAAATATAAATCTGTAATTGAATCTTGACTGGTAGATAGATTTGAAATCAAATGATCAGTCAATAATGGACAATTCTTTAAAAATAATTTCTTTAATTTTAATAGTTTAATAACTATTATCATTTAAAGATTGATGATTTTGAAGAGTTAATTTTTTCAATTTCGAAAAATTGTCCATTCTTTTTGTTTCAAAATGATTTGAAATAATTCTTAAATGATTTAAATTTTCCAAATTCTTTGATTGTATAGTACAATTTAAATGTTCATTACCTTGTAAAGTTAAACTTGATAGATTTGGTAGATTTTTAAAAAAATCATTCCAACCATCATAGGGATGATAAACCATTAAGAAAAGTTTAGATAAACCAATCCAACATTGTAAACCTTGATTGAATTGATTTTTTTCCAAATATTCATTCTTTCCATTGCAATGATATTTAAATGATTGCAAACGATTTAATTTTAAATGATATAATTGTTGATGATAAAATTCAGAATCTGGATCATTGATTATGATTGAATGTAAATTTGGACATTGAATAGATACCAATTCTAAAATATTTCTTTGACCAAGAGACAATGTCAAAGTTTGTAATGATTTTGGAAATGATTTGATTTGATAATATTTTGATGATCCAAGATGTAAACTCTCCATCATATCAAACTTTTCCAATTCCAATTCCTCTTGAAATGGTTGATCTGTATAACCATAGGAACCAATAGTTAATCTTTTCAATGTCATTAAAAAGTTATTTATAATCATTGAAATAATTGGTGATTTTGAACAAAAATGATTATCAAAATGAATTGATTCCAAGAGTTTAAAATGGTTTAAACCATCTGATGGTTTTGAATGGATTGTCATTTGTTCAAATATTAATTCTCTAGTTGTTGCTCCAAAATGTTTTAATAAATCTTGATTCTCCAATAATCCAAACAAAGTATCTTGACCAAAAATAAATAATTTTAAAATATTTTTTGGAGTCTTTATAAAAAGTTCTAATTGTTGTCTTGATCGAATTTGTAAAGTTTTATGATTTGTAGAGAGTGAACAATATTTTTCAAAATGATATTGATATAATTTGTTTGCCAATGTAAATGTAAATGGACTTACATCTACATTTTCAAACCAATTGCCAACTTTTTTGAAAAAAGATGGACAAGTATTTTGATTCGATACCAAAAGACAACCAAATAAAAAATTTCCATCTTTTTTATAATCATCCAATAGATTTGGGTATTTGGAAAAGATTTTCTCTAAAATGGGTCCAACCAAGTTTAGAAAATTTGATTCTTTTGGACTTTGAAATGATTCAATCATTTCATAAAGTTGAGAATATTTATCATTACCATAATAAATCATTTCTATTGTTATTAATCTTGATATCAACTCGCTATACAAATCTGTCGAGTCATCAATTAAATTAAATAAATTTAATAAAATGTGAAATGAAACTCTATTTAATTTTCCTTGATTATTGTAACGAGTTGAATAAAGTAATGAACCTTCATAGAGTAGAGGTACCAAAGTTTCATTATTAACACAGTTTTTTTGATTAATCAATTGTTTAAAACAATCTTGTGCTTTATCATGATTATCTAATAAACTATAAACGGTTGCCAAAGCAATAAGAGCAGATATTGAACCACTATCAAATGATATTGATATTTGAAGATAGGATCTTGAAGCCAAAAGATGGTCTCTCTCGTTTGAACGTAATTTAAACAACTCCAACTCTACCAATCCCAAAAGATGATAAAGTGAAGCATCTGTAGTACTTGATCTTGAAGCCATTTGTAATTTTTCTCGTGATGCCAATAATAAACTAATCTCTTGACTATGATCAGTATTGAATTGATCAATAAATTGATCCAAATCCTCGTCCCTGTTTCTTCCAATGTGTGAATAGATTAATTGTGTGGCTTGCATATACAATGCAATACCATTTGAACGATCAATCATATTACTGTGTTTTAATACCGGTCTAATTTGTTTAATATCAGTTGTCACAACTCTTACAACCAGACCACTATTATTATTATTTAATGCACAAAAGATACGTGAATCTAAATCCAATCCAACCATTGTTGAGAATCTTTCAATAATTCTATTCAATGATATAGATGGTAATAAATCTGTTGATGATTCCAATTCCTTTACGTCTAGACCATGATCTTGATTATATTTCTCTTGAATCATTTGTTTAATATCTAAAAACCAAAAAGAATTCTTTTTTGATAAAATCCTATTTAGAAATTGAACGGTCGCAAGGATGACTGGAGAATCTGATTGGTGATGGATTTTCAATTTACATAATTCTTGTTTGTATGCTTGTTTTAATACACGTGCAACCATTTCACAAAGAATAAGCCCAACAAGTGTTTGATTCTTTTCATTTTGAATAAATGGATTGGTTATTGAACGTATCCTTCCCAACAAACCAAGATTCATTCCCTTTTTATGTAATTCAATACCCAAATCACTTGAAAAGTTTAAATAACCTCTAGTCCAATCAGTCTCTAATTGGACAACCATTTCTTTTAAATGATCATTTAATAATCTATCGGTTGCCAATTTAACCTCTTGTTCATGAATTGATTTATCTACATCTTTACTACTCCATCCACTAAATACATCCGATGATAATGCAATTGAATTTAATTTTAAAAATTCTGGTCTAAATAATTTATAAAATATTTCTCTCTTTCTAAAATAAAAAAGAAATTAGTAAAGAGTAATTATTTGTTAATATTTTGTATTTTATATTTACTCTTTTAAAGGAAATAGAGGAGGAAATAATCTACCAAAATCTAAAGCATAAAATTTAGAATCAATGGTTGATTTATGAATTTCCAAATCACCTGGACCATAAATAAATGAAGTATTGACAGCACCAGATATATGACCTTTTAATTTCATATTATCACCAATTATTTTCATCATTTTAGATAATTCATTATCCACATTATTCACTGTTTTACCTCCATCATTACTACCATAAATAATTGTATTTTTTGTTATTGGTAAAATTGATATTGCAATCCTACAAAAATTAAAATAAACAAATAAATAAATAATTTTAATATTTGTTTGAATTATTATTATTCTTTTTTTTTTTTTATCTATTTACAATCTATAACCATAATAATCAATTATACACATTAATGGAAGATGAATATTATTACCAAGATTCTTTAGGTCTACAACATTTTGAAAGAATGTTGATAAACCTCTTAATTCATTTCCAGCAGATTTGGAGGCTGCAATTTCATTTGGCTTACTACCTCCATAGAGATGAGTTTGACTATCGACCATTGGATCTTGGGTAAACTTAAACATTATGTTTCGATGCATGAACTTTTCTCCTCCTGCCAAACCACCCAAGTCTGGCTCGGGTTGAATGGTCTTGTGATCCAATGGTAAATGTTTCTCTTTGATGATGGTCATTCCGATAGATTGAGCAGTCATTGTAAAGTCATAAGATAGAAATGTTAACTTTTGGAACTTTTCAATATTTGGACTATCAAACAACAACTTTTGTAATTCCTTGTTCCAATCTCTACCACTTTTTTGTATAACTTTAAAGTATTCTTTTAGTAGTAAAGGATATGATGGAGAAGGATGAGAAGAAGGAGAAGGAGGAGATGAAGAGGAAGAGGAAGTTTGTTTATCATCCTCTTCTTCTATTGTTTCATATGAGGTTGTAGAACTTGATAATGGAGATGATGTGGTCAACGTCGAATTATCATCTCCGAATACCGAATAACTATAACTATTACTTGATTGTTGTTGTAGAGGAGATGAAGAAACAATGGTGTCACTTGTACCGTCATTGTCACCAACAATTAGAGAATCGTCATCTTCGTCGTCATAGTCATCATCTTCATTATCATTATCACTACTACTAAGTAATGGTTGATATGGGTTATTAGAAGTATGAGTAAAGATTGGTAGAGTTAAAACAAGAGGGGAATAAGTTACCTTTTGTAACTTTCTTGCTCTATCTGTATCACCTCCCACCATTCTTTGAGCAAATAACAAACTACTCAACTTGACAATACCATTTTATTTTTTCTTAATATCTACTCTCATTTCAAACCAGCACTTTTTGCTTTCTTTTTTTTTTTTGTTTTCTATATTGATACATATAATTTATTTTATTTGTGCAATTTGGGTTTGGGGGGATATATAATAATAACATTTAGATCTTGTTGACCTTGTCGATGAAGACATCACGGCTGACTTCAGAGGCATCAGTTCCTTGGATTTCGAGTTGGATACCGACCAAAGACTTACGGATAGAGTCCTTGGAAGAGGTGTACAACATCTTCTTCTTGATTGGGGCAACATCTGGACACCAGGCAACAAAGATGATCTTGTTCTTGTTGGCACCTTCGTCTTCATAGGCAAAATCGATGATAGCATAACGACAGTCCTTCTCTGGTAATTCGGCAATGATGGTGTCGAATGAGGAACCTGGGGCAAGGGTCTTGTCGACAACGATTTCGGTGGAACCGTCGTTGATCTTGTAGAGGATGGCTTGGAACTTACGACCGAGCTTGAGGTTGTTGAAGGTTTCGACGCAATCGCCAGCTAATTTGACTCCTGAAGACTAGAAATTTAAAGAGAGATAAAAAGTAAGTAAAACAGTGGTGAGGTTTTTTTTTTTTCCAAAAAGTAGTATAAAAATATCTCTCACACACGCGCGTTCGTGTGTTTGAGTGAATGCACACACATAAAAACAAGTAGAGAGAGTAAAGTAATAATAGAATAGAAAAGTCAAAGTAGAATAGAATAGAATAGTCAAACAACAAATATATATAACCGATTGGTGTATAAACCAACTATTATCTATCTGTCTGGTCTTTTGTTCTTTTGTTTCTACACCATCTATATATATATATATAATATATTTGTTTGTGATTGACTCTAATCATCTGACCAAACCAAATTGACTTGTTTCACTCCTTCTATTATTATTATTATCTCTTCTACCATGATGATGAACTCTCTTTTTACTTGTTATGTGTGCAACACTGCACTATAGAGATAGGAGAGAGAAAGAAGTAAAGAGAGAGAGAGAGAAATTTACCATTTTATGAAATTATGTTATATTATGTTATATATTGTTGAGAGAGAAAAAAAGAAAAATGAAAAGCAAGCAGAGTGTTGGTTCAGTGGATAGGAGAGGGAAAGAAAAATAAAATTATGAAAAAAATCAAGTGGGAGAGCATGAATTTATAAAAAAATTTCAAAAAGCCACACCCAACTCGTTTTCGATATGGCTTTGTTTTTTTTTCAGATAAATATAGGGGAAGCTAAGGGAAAAGTGAGGTTTAGCTTCCTACTGCCAACAAGTTGCTATACTCTTACTTACGATAATGTGCAATTTGAATAGATATGGGTATGGAACCATGATACTGGAAACTATCAGAATCTATGGATGGTATTTTGTTGTAAATTAATTCACCGAATTTACCTCTTATTATTCTTCAACACCCACACCTCATATATGCACAAAAGATAGATAATTTAATACAAATAATAATATTTGTTTGTTTATATGTAACAACATACTCTTAAACAAAAAAAGGGGGTGGTATTAATAGATATTTTTAACAGTGACCCGTGAGACGACGATACGAGCACAACTCAATCGCGCGGAATCGTATCAATGCGAGATTTCCGATACCCATTTTTTCAAAATATCTGAGTGAGTTATAACAAATAATATTGATCAACAAGGAAGAAATAGTACTACTATGGATTGTTGTAAACTCGAAAAAAAAAAAAAGAGTTAATAATATCTGTTTATTCTGTTGTTTGTTTTGGTTTGGGTTGAGTTGAGTTGGGTTGAGGTGAGTTGATATGTTGGTGGAAATGAGCGGAAAATATGTATATATGACTAAGATGGTGGTGGTGTGGATTGTTGTGTAAATCTCTGTTGTTTGTGGGTTCGTTTTTGTTGTTGTTGTTGTTGTTGAGGTTGTTGTTGGTAAATCTGTTGCAAAGATGGAACAGAAGAGGATTGTTGTTGTTGTAATAGTTGGTGATGATGTTGTTGCTGTTGTTGTTGTTGTTGTTGTTGCAATGATGAAGCCATCAAAGTAGTAGGTGAAAAATAGCCAATTGGATTATTGGATACTACAGTTGTAGTAGGTGGTTGTCCTCTAGAGAAATTGGTTCTCAAAGTTGTCGTATTAGTCAATGTTTGGTCTGGTTGTAAATATTGTTGTTGAGTATTGTTATTGTTGATATTGTTAATGTTATTGGAATTATTATTATTAGAATATCCATGTTGTTGTTGTTGTTGTCTAAATCTAGGAGTAAATATATGTTGTTGAGATTGAAGTGTTGGAGAGGATTGCTGAGGTGTATGTGCAGAATTGGATAAAGGTGGAGATGAAGGTGAAGAGGTGGATTGCTGTTGTTGTTGTTGTCGGTGGATTAAATAGGGGTCAAAAAGCTCCTCAATATGGGGAGGTGAAGTCGAAGAAGAGATGGCCGAGCCGCCTCCATAGAGTATATGATGATGAATGGTGTGTTGCTGCGGTTGTTGTTGCTGCTGCAGTTGTTGTTGTTGCTGCGGTTTTTGGTGTTGATAATCTTCCAACACCTTTTTGAGATGGTGCAATTGTCGAATTTGTTGATCGAGTTGATCAATGTCAAATGTCGACGGCATCCATGTAGATTCATCGTGATGGTGGGACAATAAAGAGCCGGCTGGCGATGACGAGGCAAGATTAACCTCGTTGGGTAAAAGGGGAGATGGTTGTTGTTGCGACATCCGAGTGGAGGGGGTTAGAGTAGGAGACAATGGGGATTGCGTCAAGGGTAAAGATACATTGGTATTTGGAAATAAATAGGGTTGGAAATGATGATGTGAAGGGTAACTATTACCTGTTTGAATAGGTTGTTGTTGGTGTTGATGTAAAATATGTTCATTGGGGTATGGTAAAGTTTGTTGTTTTGTAATAGTCATGGTTGGATTATTACGTTTGTTGTTGTTGTTGGAAATAATATTTTGTTGTTGTTGTTGTTGTTGTTGTTGTTGTGCCTCTTTATATTGTGAAAAAGTAGATTGTTGTTGTGGTTGTGGTTGTTGATGATCCAAAGGGAAATGAGAATTCCAACTAGATGATGATGACAACGATCTGTTGTTTGGTTGTGGTTGTGGTTGTGGTGGCTGTTGTTGTACATGTGAAAATTGATTGGTGGGGTTTAATAAAGGTTGTTGTCCTAACCTAGAGGAAGAAGAAGATTGGTACAAATCTTGTTGTTGTTGTTGGATTTTAGGAAGAGGAATGAGAGGAGGGGGAGGAGGAGTCGAATCACCTGCCTGTTGATGTTTTGATAAAAGAGGGGAAGCAGATTTCTTTGGTTTATGACCAGTAGCTTGACTAATACTAGCCAACTTTTTTTTAGAGTAGGAGCAATGAATAGTCAACCCTTGAACGGGGTTGTTTGTAAAAAACTCTAATGCCTTTTTGGCTGCATACTGTCCATTCTCGGAATCCTTGAAATGGACAAATCCAAACCCCTCATACTGTCCCAATTCATTCTTTGGGATATTATAATGATTGATTTTACCGAAATCTCGGCAATGTAAAAAAATATGTTTATGTAGATCCAAACATGCCTAAATGATGAAAAAAAAAATAAAATAAATTAATATATATTTATATTTATATTTATATAATCTTTGACATACATTTGTTGGATCAAAAGTTAAATGAATAGAAGTCCTCTGATCAAAAGAGTCACCCCATTTTATGTGAATTTGATTAATACCTAAATATACACCGTTTAATTTTGCCATAGCCTTCTCAGCGTCTGACCTGTGAATAAATCTTATAAATACATAATTATTGATGAAAACGCAATCATTGTAATCGAGTGGACCAAATGCACTAAATAGAAAAAAAAAACAATCAATTAATAAATAGATAATGGTTTCCAAAAAATAAATGGACATACCTAAAAGCAGATAGAATTTGATTTATATTCATACTTGTATCCAAATTTGTGACATACAATGTTGAAATGGATAATGCTTCCAAAACATCTCTATCTTGAATTCCAAATGAACCTAAAAATAAAAAAAACAATGTTTGTTAGTTATTATATTCTTTTTTGTTTTTTTTTTTTGAAAACTATACTTTTTTTAGTTGGATTTGTTTTGGAAGCTTTTAAATTTTTAAGTGGAATGTTGTTGTTGTTGATGTTTTGAAGATGTGAATTTGATGTGGTATCCGACGATGAACTCAAAGGGGAGGAGGGTGATAATGGACTATTGGGAATGGTCGATGATGGCGTTGTAGATGAGCCAGTGGTGCTAATCGTAGATGTAGTGGTTGTTGATTCAACTGCCAGTAAATTATTATTATTATTATTATCCTCCTCAAAGACGTTCGTAGATGATGTTGATGATGATGGGTTTTCTAAAAGTTGTGAAAATTTTGAATTTATATGATTTATATGATTGATGTGATTGTTGTTGTTGTTGAGGTCATTTACAGTTGTAGAGGACAAGGATAAATTTAAATTATTGGAAACTATTTGTTGTGAATTTGAAATTGATTTTAAAGTTTTGTCTTCATTGTTTTGAGTTGGTGAAATAAGTTGTTGTGAATCTCCATCTATTTTGGAATGATTAATTAAAGGGTTTGTAGTAGTAGAAGTAGTAGAAGTACCTTTCGATGTCGAATGGGATGATGATGATGATGATGATGATAATGATGATGTTTCGATTGTTGTTGTTGTCAGAGTCGAGTTGTTGGTGGTTGGGTCTGGTGGTGTGGACATGTCATATGGTGTTGGTGAGGGTTGAGGTTTTGGCGAATTAAAGATATTATTGGTGGTGTTGGTGTCTGGTGGTGGTGGTGGATAGTTGTTAAGGTTTGTTGTTGTGGTTTGAGTTGATGATGATGATGATGAGGAGGATGATGAGGGGGAAGATGGTGATGTTGGTGATTGAAGAGGTGAGTTCATATCGGATCACAGTCATGCTCCCACTTTAGTAATAAATATATATATATATATCTATATAAATAAATAAATAAATAAATAAAAATATAGTTGTTGTTTGTTGTAGTTGTTGTTGTTTGTTGTGTAGATTTATAAATTAATATATTAATTAATTATTAGAAAAAGGTTTGGATTAAAATAATAGTGTTAATAGAATTTTTAATATTTTGGACTTTCTTTTGGTTATAAAAAAAAATATTTATATATATTTATATGTATATGTGTACAAAAAACATCTATGATTAAAAAAAAAAAAAACAAAGGCAAGATGGACCCATATGCATGTGTGTGTGACTTTAGACTGTGAGAGCTAACAAACTAATAATTATTTATAGAAAACTAAAAATAAACATTATAATGTTTCATGTTCTACAAAGAATAAATTGGAGGGCACAACCCTTTGATTTCAAGGGTCCAAATAATTTGAATAATTCTATTATTATTATTTTCTTTTTTCTTTTTTTTTTTTTTTTTAAAGTAATGACATTTACTTTTTTTAGAATTGTCCAATGAAAATGATTTAACAAAAATATATTTTAAAAATAACAAGTCAAAGGTGAAAGATGGGTGTCAAAAGAATGAAGAATAACAATTCCAAAAAATGAATATAAATGCCAAAATATATATATATATAAGGGTTAACTCTTTCTCTTTGTTAACATTGAATTGTAACAAAAAAAAAAAAAAACAAAAAAAAAAATCCTGCTATATGATGATGCAACGTTGCACATGTAGCGTTCTTCGTTTTGAAAATATTTGTGTTTGTAAGTGGGGACAAACTCAGACCTATACGAATGTCGAATTCGATAGATTGAGAGGTAGATCATCATGATCCACTTTCACCTTGTAATTCAAATTACAACAACACCACCACCACCACACAAAGTATTACTTTTGGTTGATCCGTGTTTCAATCGAAAGGCACTTTTGTGTTGAAAAAACTAAACTAAACTACTACTCTATGCTATAATAACTCTGCTATAATATTTGATATGTATGAATTGAATTGAATTGATTTTGATTTGGATGATGGTTGAGCTCTATTATTACCTTTTTGTAGGGATGGATAGGATGGAAAGAGTGAGTGGGGGTCAATGAAACTAACTAATAACTCTACAATTACAATACAATTGTAATGTGGTAGTAGGTATCAATTGAGTTTTACTGTTGGTTTTAGTACTATATAGGTCTACTTTGACCCAGTAATGGGGTAGGCTGTTGACTGTTTCAAAAAAAAAAGATATCTAGTTTTCAATAGGTGGAACCTTAATCTTGATTGATGTTGGTTGGTGATGGTGTGAACTAGCCTTGACAAATAAATTAAAAAAAAAAAATTAAAACACAAAGTTGGTGGGGCGGGAAGAGCCCCTAAAGAAAGGGGCATGCATGGCTCTTGTCCACACCAAATACCGATCGTTTTCCTTTGCGCTCGTCGTCAAAAAAAATTTCCATCATGATCGTCATGTCATCATCGCCATCTGCAGATCACAAACATTGGTTTACAAACCCTCCTGTCCTATGAAAAAAGGGTATCCAAAATAAAATCGATTCACTTTACAAAAATAACTCTTGCTCCCTTCAAAGTCTTAAGTTTGTGGAGAGGAAAATAATGGATGGATGGATGGTTGGATGGATGGGTAGTAGGTAGAGGTGTCTATTATCTTGTTTGTCTAAATTAATAGCTCTACAGACTCTTGGACTGTTGGTGGTATGTAGTTAAGGTTGTTGAAGTGATGGTTGATGTTATACTTGTTTGTTGTTGGATTATTGAACCTACTTGATCAAGTATAAGACATCGTTGGATGAACAAACACAACATGCATGTGCGGGGGGATTAAATTCAAATAAAATCTATTCTAAAACGCAAAGAGAGAGATTGTATGCTATGATGCCTCGTCTGTGTCGTTTTCTTTGATTATTTTTTTTTTTGATGATTATTTGATGATGAAGAGGTAGCTTGCTTGTTTGTTGGGATGTTAGAGTAGGTAGGTAGAGAGGTATAGTGCTGCTGCTTGAAGTTGGGTTGATCTTCAATCCTATTGGTGGATAAATGGATTTGAATGATGGTGTTGTTCAACCAGACGAACCGTAGCGGTTCACCAGAAATAAATAAAATTAAAAAAAAAAAAAAAAAAAAAAAAAATACTACTCGGTGGCTGCGACAGAGCGCGCCCCCCACAGTCCCCAATCAATCAACAAAGACGAGGAGAAGAGGTTTCCGTCAAGCGTAGGCAAGGGAGGTTCCTTCCATACTTCTTGACTATGATTATGTGAAAAAATATGATAGTCTTGAGATCACCTCATCGATGATGCAAAGCAGGTGTCTCTTGACCAATTGTCACAACAAAACAACAAATAACCAACAGGCAAACAATGTTAGAAGGTACCTTCTAAAAAAAATCATCCAACACGTGTTTTTGAGGGATCTTTCAAAAAAATTATTCTTATTATTATTTGTTATTATTATTTGTTATTTGTATTTTTAGACTTGAATGATAAAAATAAATAAATGTAAAAGGAAAAATAAAATTTGGATGGAACAGAAGGGTAGTCGATCAGATATTTCCTTCCTTGTGAGCATGTTGGTGAGGAGGAGTGGATTTGGGTTAGGGTGTTGTTACATTACCTTTTTTTTTCTTTGTAACTATTGAGTTCTATGAGATTTTGATGGTGATGTTCAAAATTACAACATGCTATAAAGATTTTACCAAATATGGAACTACTCACAATATAATAAATATAAAAGTGAGTATGTGTGTATATATGTGGTGGATGTGTGAGATCTCTAAAATAATTTGTAGTAATTCTCTGGGGTGGTATCTGGGTTTATTAAGATCTAAAATCCAAAAATGAATCTCAAACACGGTTTTAATACTATCCATTCCATCAAGAGCAGACTCTAGCAAGAGTGAGAGAAAGAAAAAAAAACAAATAAAATTTTAATTAATTAACAATTAAACATTCGCATGCGCGTTCAGCCACGGTTTTTTCCATGCCCTCATACGATTTAAGGGAGGACACCCCTGATTGGCTGTAGAATGCATGAGGAAGTGGAGAACAGGAGTAGTCGCCCCTTAAGCAGTAGTCGTTCGTTTTTCTTTCATCAAAAAAAAAAAAAAAAAAAAAAAGTGAAAGATTGGTGCACTCTATTTTTAGTGGCAGCAAAAACTAAAAGAAAATCTTTGGTGGGCAACTTTGACTTGTTGGCACATTTGTTGGTTGCATCATCGCAAGGAGCTGATGGATTGGTCGACCTTGAGTAACTCCAAGGATTGACCAAAGATTGTTGGTCAATTGACCAGTATAACCCAATATTTCCAGCTAGGGGGGTATGGATCTCTCACATATTTCCGATAAACCCTAAAGTTGAAAACTGGAACCGCTGTGGACAACCTATAAAAGTAAAACTATCTATACTATATCCATCCACTGGCCTCTTTGTGTAGTGTCGATTTCACTTTTCTCCTCCAATCATCTTAAAGAGGTTTAAACCTCTTTATTGGTTTCCCTAATCACGCGGAGGTTTTGTGTTGTGATGGCGATATATATTTATATATTGCACAATACGGACGGTTATTTTTGAGACAGTCTCCTCTCTCTCTCGCTCTCTTTTTGGTCCAATTCAAACGAATATCCGTACCAATTAAGATTGATCATTTATTCTTTATTTTTCTTAATATTTATTTCAAAGTAAATTATACAATAATTTTTTATAAGCTTGGTTGATTTGTGGAGAAATCAAGCTTCACTATATGAGTCGGTTTTGAAAAAGGGAGTTGAAAAAAAAATAAAAAAAATAAAAAAAAAACTGTTGGTGTTGTTGTTGTTTGTTTGAATTAATAAAGTAATTATTAATAACTCTCGCGATATATAGTAGTAGTTTTACTCACATCTTGTTGGTAAAGTAGATTAGTATTTAGTAGTAGTCGTATTAGTAGTAGTATTAGTTAGTTATTATTTAAAGGAAGAGTCATGTCGAATGCTTGGGGTAAGGCCCTTGATCAGGCTAGTATTGTAAAAGCTAGTTTCACTAGCGACTTGGAAAAGACAGCTATTAAAGGAACTAGACATAAAATGAGAGTACCAAAAGAGAAACATGTTAGAAGTAAATATACAAATAATATGATGATATATATATATATATCATCATCTGATTTGAAAGAAACAAGGAAAAGAAAAGATACAAAAAAGGTTAACCGATTTTTTCATTCACCCTATCATTATTATTATTATTATGATTATCTTCTTTTACTTTTAGAGTTGATTATTTATACTCATGAAAGATTAGGTCCAATTGGTGACTTGTATATGAGTTTATTAAGAAGATTAGAACAACCTGATTGGATTGTATGTAGAGAATAGAAAAACAAAAATAATAGCCACAAATAACTAATCTCTTCTTTTTAAATATCTATCTGATATATATGTGTGTATTTAGATTGTATTAAAAACATTGGTTGTATTCCATAGATTGTTTGGAGGAGGAAATGTTAGATTCCTTGAAGATTTATCACATCGTGGAATGATTTTCCCATTGACTCGATTCACTGATATGACATCTACTCAAGCTCATCAACAATCTGTTTTCATTCGTAAATACTCTTCTTATCTTGAAGAAAAGGTATTTGCTTATCGTGAAATGCATGTATGTAACAAAGTTAAGAATAATAGATAGATGCAGCAGTATGAAACACTTATTGATTTTGTTTTTTTTTGTTTTTGATTTAGTGCGAATTTGAAAAGGAATCATTCAAAGGATTATCAATTGATCAATTATTAAAAAAGATTCCAAAGATGCAAAGACAGTTTGATGCACTCTTGGCAACTCACGTCGAAGAGGTTTGTGATAATATTATTACAATCAATGCATTTGAATTACTTTTAAAGGATAGTTTTAAGATTTATTGTAATTTAAATGATGCTGTATTAAGTGTTTTAGGTAAGAGAGAGAGAAAAAGATAAATATCAATCAAATTCGTCGTTTCTAATTTATTTTATTTTTTCTTTAGAATTATACTTTAACATGACAAAGAGAGATGCAACTACAGCTCTTGAAATTTATAAGGTTTTTATGAGAGAAACTGATGATATTATTAGATTCTTTGATTCATCAAGAAGAAAATTCCATATTGAATTACCTGATCTATCTCCTGTAAGTCAAATAATACAAAATCAAATCAAATTCATCTAATTTTTATTTATTTATTTATTTAGGCACCATCAACAGTTGTTAAAGGATTGGAAGAGTATTTAAGAGATTTGGATGATGATCATCCTCCAATGGGTCGTCCAAACAATGGTAAAGAACAAAGAGATAATTTGGGTAGTCATTTCAAACCATCAAATACTTTTGATCAAAAGAAAATGGATGATACTTCATTTAATTTTGATGTATGTAAAAAAAAAAAAAAAAAAAGGAATAGAAAAAAAGAAAAAGAAAAAGATAATCTTATTTACATTTTATTTTTAAATATTTGTAGGAGGATTTATTTAGTTCAGCACCAAATTCACCTGCACCAAATTCAAATAATCATAATAATAATGTATATTCACCATCGATTCAACAACAACCACCACCAAATAATAATAATAACAATAATAATAATAATAATAGTAGTTTCCGACAACAACATAATCAATATGCACCAGCAAAACAACCATTCGATCCACTTGATCCATTCCAAATATCATCTTCACAACCATTGTCCCCAATGATTAATAATAATAATAACCATCATCATCACAATAACAATATGATATCAAGTGGTGCTGGAAACAGAAATTCAATGGGTAATCCATTTGATCCAGTCAACAATGAAAAGGCACTCCAAATTAAAGCAGCATTTGAGTCTTCTTCCAATTCATCCTCTCCATTTAGTTCGACTTCATCCTTTACAATGACACCCGTCACACCTCAACAGCCAAACAACATGAACAAGATGGGAAGTATCGGACCAAATCAAGGAGCAAACTTTGGTAACATGGTAAATGGTGGTAGTAATGGTATGTTGGTACCAATGAATAATGGTAATATGATGAATAATGGTATGAATAATGGTATGATGCCAATTAATAATGGTGGTATGGTAAACAGTGGTGGTATGATGATGGTTCCAATGCAACCAAACAACAACAATATGATGATGAAACCAATGGCACCAATGAATAATGGTAATATGATGAATAATGGTGGAATGGTTCCAATGCAACCAAATAACAACATGATGATGCAACCAAACAACAACAATATGAATAGACAACCGTCAATGAATAATATGAATATGGGTATGCAACCAAATGGAGGCATGATGATGCAACCATCAAATGAACAACAACGGCGGTATGGGTATGGGAATGAACCAACCAAATATGATGAATAGACCAATGAACAACAACGGCGGGGGTATGGGTATGGGAATGAACCAACCAAATACTCAACAAGTTCAAAACATTTATTTTTAAAATCAAATCAAAATCATAATAATATTTCTTACTGATACAAACAAACCAAATAATTAAAACAAAAAAAATAAACAAAATAAACAAATAAATTTTAATTTATTATGTCTTTTTTTATATTTTTTTTTTTTGTAAACAAATGAATGACTTGGTAAAAAAAAAGACGAAAAAGAACTTTTTTTTTTTTTTTAATAATAACCTTTATATATTTATGATGAATAATTTAATTAGATATTCATCATCTCTATTAAATAGAGTTGGTAGTATATCAACAACAACAACAACAACGACAACTACTACTACTTTAACAAAACTTTTTCAATCATCAAATTCAATCATAAACACTACAAGATATTATTGTTCGATTGTAATAGAAGAGAGAATAAGTAAAAAGGTTAAACCATCAAGACAACAACAACAACAACAAATAGATAAATATAAAAGACAAAAAAATGATTATAGTGAACCAATTAAACAAAAACAAGTAGAAAGTTTTGAAAACTATATATCATCAACAGTTAAAGGAGAAGAAGATATTAATTCAATTGATGATGAAAACTTGATAGATTCTACAATAGAACCATCACCATTTGAAATAAGAGATACACAACATATATATTATAAACAATCACCGCTATTATATTTGGAAAAGAGTGCATTACATGATTATTTCTCTCAACAGTTGATGGTAGATGGAGTATTTGATCGATCAAGATTAGAGGCAAGTTTGGTTCTACAAGGATCAGATTATAATCATCCAACTATATTGTTTGGTCTTTTTGGATGGTTGGAGAATTTAAAGATCAATGATATCGAATTGTTTAGTATGTTGTTGGAATACATGAAACAATATAAAAAACATTCTCGGTTCCTTACCATCTATAAATACATGCGTGCCAATATGGAGGATAAATTTACAATCAATACTTATAATATGGCGTTGGGTGTATGTGTGGATATTGGAGAGTTTGGATTGGCAAGATTGGTAGTCAAAGATATCATTGCTAAAAAGGAACAAGGTGTGTTTATGAACTCTGCTACAATGGTTGAGAGATTGAAATTGGCCGTTGCAATGGGTGGAGCGCTATATTTGGAAGAGTTGATCAAAAAGGTGATGGATCCAGTCAGATCGACTTGGTTGACCGATCGATCAGACCAACTCAATGCACAAGTGTTGGAGAGTATTTTGAATCATGGTAAACGTGACGTTGAACGTACTCTGACAATGTACAAAGAGATGCGTACTAGAGGCTACGAGATTGGACAACATGTATATCACACGTTGTTGATTGGATTTGCAAGTCTTGCACGATACGATCTGATGGATCAGATTTGGAAGGATTTGGATCAAAGTAATACTATACCACTTGCCAAAACAGTAGCTGCATTGGTCGTCATTTTAAATAGAAAGGATATGCAACAAGTTGAAACATCTCTCTTTAATCATGTCAAGAATAGCAACTACAACTTTTTATTGGATACACCCGAGGTGATTAGTGCACGTACCAAATTGTTTTGTGCACGTAGAACCGATGGTCAAGAGATTGTATCACTCCTCAATAACCTAAAACAACGTGGTAAAATGACGGTGGAACTACTTCATATTATTTTGGCACACATTTTAAAATCAAAAGCACCATGGTCGAAAAAGATTATAGATGATATCTATACTTTGGTGGTCGAGATTTCATCGGTCAAGTATCACTCTAGACCACCCCTCAAACTCTACGAAATGTTATTATCAACTGCCATCACTAGAAAGTATGGTACAGAGGTGACAAGATGGATTAGAGAAATGAATAGTTTTGGTATAGAATATTCTCCAGCCATCATTAGTTATTTAATGCGTTATTATTTAGTTGTCATTTCAAAAGAAATTGAAAAAGAAAAAGTAGAAAAGAACAATAATAATAGTAAAAAAAAAAAGAAAATTTTAAAGATTTACTGGCAAAAGTTGAATTGGAGAAATTAATATTACAAATTGGACCATTAAAAGATCGAGATTTTGATAAATTGGCAGCATCACTTGTATTTCATTTACAAAATAATAGTATTGAAAAGATTGAACAATTTGAAAAGAGAATTGAACAAATCAATAGTGCAAATTGTTTTTATGCTCAACAAATATTGAATCATGTCATTTACTATTGTTTGTTGTGCAAGATGGAAGAACCTGCCCTTAGATACTTTGAAATGGCAGAAACTTTGGCAAGACAAGCTCGTACCACGGTATCTGATCGTGTCTATTATCAATTCATCGCCTACTATAGACACCAAGCCAGAGAAGATAAATACATTAAATGGATGGACAAGTTTAAACAAACTAGATACACGTATAACCCTATTCACATGGCAAGAGAATATGAATATCTAATCATCACCAATATTGGTACAGTCTTGAACAAATCAGAATTATCTGAACAATCCATTCAAGATTCAAAATATAAAAGAAAATAATAAAAGAAAAAGGAAAATTAATAACGAGAATAAATATTCATTATCAGTTTTGTTTTATGGAGAAAGTAAAAGATGAATTCATAGAGATAGTTGTAGGAAGATGATCATGATAACAATAACAATAACAATGATATTATCATTGATAGTACTCTAGAGATCTCGAGTGATGCAAAACAAAGATTCAAACAATATTGTGTTTTAGAGGCATCTGATAGACTAGTATCATGGTTACTCTTTTTAATGGTTCGATATTTTTACAACCATGTATTTTAAAAGTATGAAAAAAGGATTAATATTTCCCAAAGTTTTTATACCTATCAAATACCCCTCTTCTTTTATTTAGGTCAGTATTAAAATCAATTTGATGATGAAATTTTAAGAGTCACTCCACTGTTTGATCAATTTCTCAAAACTTTCGACTGAAACCAAAGAATTGGTGGTTGAATCTAGTGATGAAATATTTGCAGCTTTTGGAAAAAAAAAATTGTTTCTACTACCAGAATATCATGAAAAAACTTGGATCAGAGGGAATGGGGCAAAAAAAACAATTCGAACATCAAAAGGATGATGCCTTGTGCTGGATGCTTTTTCCAGTGATTTTTTTCTAGACCATGTTTTAGTGGTGTGGTTTTGTCAGAAATCAATAAAAAATAGATAAAATTGTAGGGAATTGTGTCTACTACCAGAATATCATGAAAAAACTTGGATCAGAGGCAGAGGCAGCAAAAAAGATCAAAACAGGTGCCTTTTGGGCTGCCTTGTGCCGGGATCGAACCAGCGACCTTAAGATCTTCAGTCTTACGCTACTACCAACTGAGCTAACAAGGCTTGGATGTTTCCAAAACAAAAAATTGAAAATTTGAGCCCCGATGCATTTTTTGACGATTTTTAAGGTTACCAAGCTAATATTTGGTTTATTTTTATATTTTTTACTTGTGTTTTTGTTGTTTGTGGAACATCCAAGCCTTTTTAGCTCAGTTTTTATCTTATTTTGCAAGGTACTCGATGTTCCCCATGGAAAGAATGGAAAATTTGAGCCCCAATGCATTTTTTACGGTTTCAAGGTTTCCACACTAAAATTTGGTTATATTTATATTTTTTTACTTGTGTTTTAGTTGTTTGGGAGCATCGAGTACCTTGTTAGCTCAGTTGGTTAAGTTTATGAAGGTCCTGACCGAGAAATCTTAAAAAATGAAAAATAAACAATTGTTTGAAAGAAAATATTATAAATGTGAAAGTACTCATTTCTATTTCTTATTTTTTTGTTGTTTTGGGAACATCCAATATAGATGTTATCTTATTTCGCAAGCCAGACGATGATCTTTTTTGGTTTAATTTTTTCTTGTTTTGGGAGCATCTTGATAGAAAGGAAAAAAATTAACAAAGTTCATCAAGAGTCATATGAAACTAATTAAAATAGAATTTTTTTTTTTTTTGCAAACTTCTGATCACCCAAGTTTTTTTATTCCACAAGTTGCACATCACCATTGCAAGAGTTAAAATCTATGTTAAATCCTTAGATCCTCTTAAAAATTTTAATATCTTGTAGCTAGGAGGATGGATGAGTGGATCAACATATTCATTAAAATATTTTTTAGAAAATTAAAAGGTTTTTATTTTGTTTAATAAATTGAACAGCTTAAATGAATAACTGTTTACAATTGATTTATCTTTCTTTTCATTTGTTATATTGTTTATAGATTTCCATCCACCAATCATCGTTATGATAATTAATCTCATCCCTTCTAATTTTCTTGATCATTGAATCTTCAAGTTCACAAGTACCATCATTAAATTGTTCACGATGAACATGATAGATAAAAGCAATTCTTGGATGCAACTTGTGAAGGCCATCTTCGTACAATGCCTCGGCTCCATCACTTCCCATCATATTGTCAAACCATACCTCTGGAATAAATCTCTTGAGTTTGTTGAGTCTGGCTGGATTGGTCAAGTATCTTTGGATTAATTTACTGTTTCTAACAAGAGGTAAATCAGCCAGATGTTTTGGTAAATAGTCACGTGGTAGAATATTTGATTTCCACTTTCTATCCTCTTCACCTTCAGATTCCTCTTCTGATTCCTCTTGATCAGATATCCAATCTTGTTCAATCTCTTCAAATTCTGATAGTTCTTCTTCTTCTTCTTCTTCTTCTTGATGTTCCTCTTCTTCTTCTTCTTCCTCCTCTTCATCTTCCTCTTCTTCATCTTCCTCCTTTACTTGTTTAATATTAATTTTTCCAAGTTTGGATGTCACTTTTTTCTCTTGTTCGTCTTCATCAGATTCTTCTTCCTCCTCTTCCTCCTCCTTTTTGTTTGATTTTGATTGAAGATCAATGATTCCTTTTTAACAAAAACTATAAATTAATGATGTGATAATCTTGATTGTAAAATATGATAATATTCTATTTACATACTCTGAACAATTTCATCCTTTTTACCATTACATGGTAAATTTAAACCAATTGCAATGGTTGTAACCTCTTTATACAACATGTTCAAGAGTTGATCTTGTGTATATTCATCTTTGACACTTGGCATTTTATATTATTATTATTTATAACAAAGCTTGTGCAGTATGATGCTTGGGGACGTCGTGTATCAAACTCTTTCTTTATAACTGGTTGAGTGTTGATTGAGTTGTTTCATCTTGTTTGTGGCGCCAAACTAATCATCATTTATTGATCACCGTTGAATCTGATAAATTGTAACACCATGGTTGCAAAAAGCCGCCAAACCATTCAAAATCTATTTTTAATAAAGGTTTTATTTATATTTAGTTATTTATGTAAATTGAATTGTACAGCTTAAATGAATAACTGTTTACAATTTGTATTTCTTTCAAAAAGAGAGAGAGGTAGGGAAAGAGACAGACTTTTTGATTTGTCTTTTTCTTTTTTTTTTTTTTTGTTTTAACATTTGTTAAACTTTTTATAGATTTCCAACCAATCATCAGTATTGTTACTCTTGCCACTTCTAATATTCTTGATAATTGAATCTTCAAGTTCACAAGTACCATCATTAAATTGTTCACGATGAACATGATAGATAAAGGCAATTCTTGGATGCAACTTGTGAAGGCCATCTTCGTACAATGACTCGGCTCCATCACTTCCCATCATATTGTCAAACCCTTCCTCTTTTACTAGTTTAATATTAATTTTTCCAAGTTTAGATGTAGCTTTTTTCTCTTGTTCATCATCAGATTCCACTTGTTCCTCTTCATCAGACTCTTCTTGTTCGTCATCCGACTCTTGTACCTCTACTTGCTCCTTTTGATTGATTTCTTCACTTCAAGAGTGATTCCTTTTGATTGAAGATGAATGATTCCTTTATAATTTTAAAAAAATAGACAGTTAATATAAATACTTTGTGATAAAGTTGATAGCATACTTTGAGCAATTTCAATCTTTTTACCATTGTATGGTAACTTTAAACCTCTTGCAATACTTGCAACCTCTTTATACAACATGTTCAATAATTGATCTTGTGTATAGTCATCTTTGATACCTGGCATTTTAGATTAATATAATTATTTGATTTGTAAATATATAAAAGACTAAACTTTGGTACTGAGAGTTCTTTTAAAGTTTAGTGTTTTCTCTAATTGAGTTGTTTCATCCATCTTGTTTGTGGCGCCAAACCAATCTTTTAAAATTGGTGTGATTGTTGTTGAGGTTATCATTATGAATGGTTGAATAAAGCCCGCGAAACATTGGTTGCATAAAAGAGATATTCAAGATTGAAAAAATTTATCCAATGGTTAAAAAGACAAGCGTGCATCATTTCAAGATATCATTCAACTTTTCTAAACGTCTAATTTGTTTTAATATATAATTAGAAATTATTTCAAATCATTAAAGTTGAGGTTTATTGGTTGTTCAATTTTTTAGTATATTATTTCTTTCCAAAGAATGTAGTGATGATATTTTTAATCTTTTTGTTAGGATGTTGTCCATATTTCTTAATGAATGCCTCCATTTCGAAATCACCAGAATAATAATGATGGAAGATATATTTAATATCAATTATATTGTTATCCAAAAGGTATTTCATAACAGGTATGTTTGAAATATAAGTGTAAGGGGTCACTTTATCATTGGATTGGTTGACAATATTCTCGTAAAGAAATTCGACCATTTCTAAATTACCTTTTCCTGCTGCAGAGGATAGAGCCTTTTTTCCACATCCTTCACTTCTATTATCATGTAAATACTAAAAAAAAAAGTAAATAAATAATTATAAAATACAATATTTTTTTAGTATTATATATTTATTTACCTTTACAATATTAATGTGTCCATATTCAACAGCATTATCCATTATGTTAGATGTCCAAATAGATGATGATGATGATGTATTGTGATGTTGGTGAAGATATTGAATGATATCTAATCTTCCATTTTTTGCAGCAGTTTCAACAGATCTAGGTGATGTACATCCAACTTTTAATTTATCATCAATGAATAATATCATCTCTATCGAACAATTATATGTAATTGCTTGATTCATTACCTCTTCTGTCCATTGTCCAATCTTGTTTTCATACAAAAACTATAAAGAAATGAAATGAAATTAATTAAATGAAATTAATTAATATATATATAAAAATTACCTTTACAACATTGATATGATTGTTCTTTATAGCATATACCATCGCTCTGGGGGTACAACCTTCAGTTCTATTAGAGTAGAGATATTTTATAATATCCAAATTTCCTGTAGACGATGCATTGTCAATGGCATTTGCTGATGCACCTTCTGTTCTGTTGATGTGAAGAAACTGAACTATTTCTAAAGTTTTGGCATAATCCATTGCTCTGGTTGTACATCCTTCAGTTCTATTAAAATGTAACCATTCAACTATGGAAATGTGACCATAACTGCAAGCATAGTCCATTTCATTAGTTGTGCGTGATTCAGTTCTATTATGATGAAGCCACTCAACCATTGATAAATCTCCATTCATTACAGCATGAGACATAGCCGCTTCCCAATTTTCAGATTTACCAACTTTATTATCATGAAGGAACTATAGAATATATGAGTGTGTGTGTGTGTTAATATATATGGTCTAATATTTATAATAATAATAATACGTCGAAACATACTTTAATGATTTCAATGAAACCATTTTCTGCAGCTTTATCAATTCCATAGCCTGGATCTTTGGTCACATTGAAATAAACATACTAAGTGGTAATATATTAATTAATTGGTATAGGGTTGATTAGTTAGTTTATGATGATTAAAATTTATATATATAGACATACATACCTTTACAAAATCTAAATTACCACTACTGATTGCACCTTCTAAATATCCATCGGCATCTTTAAGATAGCTTTTATCGGTTAGATTCTCTACAAGATACTATAATAAAAATTATAATAATTAGTTGTTTGTTTGTTAATTAGCTTGTTATTGTTTTGGTATTTATTTACCTTGAAAATATCGAAATGACTATTTGCCCGACAAAGAGTATAGTCTGAAAATAGTGATGTGTATCCATTTTCAAACAGGTATTCGATAATGTCAAAACTCCCATTCCCTGCTGCATCGCTAACTGCATTTTCTGTGTATTCTCCTCCATTTCTACCTTGTTTGCTTAATGGTGTTTTAAATGGTTCTAATAGTTTCATAATCGAGAGATATCCAAATTTGGCAGCATTATCTTTTGCACCTGCAAGATTGATATTGGGATATCTGGTGACAAGGTATCTGAGAATATCAATATTTCCAACCGATGCAATATCTGATGCAAAACCATACTTAAAAGAAGGTCCTCCACAGTTCATTACTCCTGCTCGATATGGTTTTCGAACGTGTCTGTAACAATCTTTGTTGTTGTTCTTGCCATCTTGTTGTTGTTGAGGATTAAATGCAGGAGTCCATTCAACAAGATGTTCAAGTGTGTCCAATGTTGCGTTTTGATGTGCACAGTATCTAGAGATTGCAAATAATCTTATTTTGGTTTCAGCATTAACATCATCATTCTGTGATGATGATGAAAGATAATGTTTGATAAAGTTCCACGGCATTGCAAATCTTGAAATCATTTCAAATCTAGGTAACTTTGCGATATCTTTTCCCTTTAACGATGTATTGATCATACTTTGATCATATTCTGTTTTTCCCTTTTCTTTTACATGACTGGCCAATTGTTTTGATATCAACCCGACTTGATTGAATATCAATCTTCTGATATACTCTGACTGTATCACACTTTTAAATGTGATTGTTGTTGTTGTTGTTGTTGTTTTAATTGTATTAATACTAGTAAAAGTAGTAATAGTAGTATTTGTCATTTTATTTGATTACAATAAAAATTTGATGTTGATTAAATCAACATCCCAAAAGATCTTTTAAATTCCTTGTTTTTTCAAACCAAACTGATGAATTTTCTGAGCTTTTTCTAAAAATATACAGGAATTTGATAGGACTATAATAATGTAACTATAAAGATTCACTAGAGATTATTTTTGTTTTATTTCTTTCATCTATTTAATTCGAGAATTTTTCTGTTTATTTTTTTTTTTTATGTCATGGTTTTGTTGTAGTTTTCTTCAAAATCGATGAAACAGATATTAAAATGTAGGAAATAACGAGTACTATACGAATATGATGAAAACTGTGAGCATAGTGTCATACTACTCTGCTCCCAGCGAGTATTTAAACCCAAACATATTCAATAAACATTGATTATCTTATTATTTTATCTAATCCTCATATATAGATATCTCATAGTTATAGTAGTTACAAAAACTTTTTTTTTTTTTACTATGGTGGGTATCCAGGATCACCACTAGAAATTTTATTTTGTTTAGTTTAATGATGAAATGAGATAACCTTTGTGGCAAAGAGTTATTTGGCCTACAGCGAATCCTACGCCGATTCCTATACGTATACGGACCCTTTGGTCACCAGTTATTTACAGTAGAGTCGGGGGATACCATTGTCCATTTTAGTGAAGTGATTTCATCGCTACGGTCGCCTCGGTTGGTTGTCTTTACGCTGATTAATTGCATCCATGATTAAATTTGATTAAACTTGATAGAATCCGTGATGTTGACAGGTCTGGTGGCAGTCTTTCAGGATCAACATTGCTATTATGGTCTGTCGGGCCATAAAGAGTGACCATTCTCCAACAACAAAATGAAAGGTGAAGCTCTGACCATTAGATCAAAACCTATACTATCCAAGAACGGCCAAATAATCTCCTTGGGTGAAATATACCAAGCTCTACTGGACAACAAGCAAATTACGGAAGGAAGATGCACCTCACAGTACCTGGCTCAACTTGCAAGAGAATGGACAGCTTTCACCAACATCATCTGCAAACAAAAAACAAACAAAAAACAAACAAAAAACAAACAAAAAACAAACAAAAAACAAACAAAAAACAAACAAAAAACAAACAAAAAACAAACAAAAAACTTTATCAAGAATGGGAATCGAACCCATGACCCAAACCGTGTTAAGGTTTTGTGATAACCAACTACACCATCCTGACTTTTAGATGTGCGAAATTAATAGCGCAGCACAAAAATACACCCGCGGCCATCCTTTTTGATAAATGATCAACGTCCATAAAACATGTATCATAGACATGGACAAACCCCCAGAACAAATTAACTTTAATTCTTCTTGAGATAATCTTTATTTCTTGCTGGTCAATTAAAAAGTATAATTAATAAAACTTTGTAACTTCTGAGTACTACTCTTCCCGATAGGAGAGAACAGGAAAAGAATTACTTTAAAAAAAAAAAAAAAAGCAATTATTATTGTTTATTGTTCATTTTGTTGTATATAATTATTAATATTAATATTCTCATCCAATTGTTCTCTTGTTGCAATTGGCAAGACTTGTACCAAATTTGGTAATTGTGGGATTTCAGTAGAGGATGTTGATTTTCTTGATCTAGATGCCTTTGGTTTGGCTTCTTTTGGTGGTTTTGGGGGCTTTGGAGCCTTGGGAGGTTTTGGTGTTCTTGCTTTTGGTGTTCTAGGAGTAGTGGTAGTAGAAGTAGTAGAGGTAGTAGAAGTAGTACTAGTTGTGGAAGTTTGATCATTTTCACACTCGGTGGTGGCGGTCGTTGTATTGTTGACATGTGTTGTTTTTTGTGATTTTCTTGGTCTTGCAACAGATGATCTAGGTGGTTTCTTTGGTGTAGATGATGGAGGTGAAGGAATAGTAGTATGTGTAAGAGTAGGAGTAAAAGGTAGAAGGGTATTTGTTGGTGGTGTAGAATTATTATTATTATTATTATTATCTATCATCTCTTCAATTACTTGATCATCACTAGTATCCATTCTACTATTATTATTTTGATTTTTTTGAGATAATTGTTGTTCCAATTGTTTTGATTGATCCATTAATCTTTCAATTAGAGTTTCCATAGTAGGAGGTTGAATAGTTGGTAATCCCCTAACTTGTTCTTCTGTCATTTCTTCTTCTTCATCTTCTTCCTCTTGTTGTTGCTCTTCCAAAGTTGAACCATTATCTTCTTGATCATCACTATCTTGTTTTCTTTTACTCTTTCTTTTTTTCGAAGCTTTACTTGGAATCAAACCTTTTGATTTTGGAGTTTGTTGACGAGATAGTTGTTGGAGAGCTTCCGAACTAGACATTTCTTTTAGTTTTTCTTCAGAGATGAAATCGCTAATATCAAAGGCTGGTCTTTCCTTTTCACGTCCAACAAAGTTACTGACGATGATTTCCTTTTTCTTGCTCAATACCTCTCTGTACTCTTTGAGGAATGGTGTTTTGCTGTTTATCTGTTTCCAACGTCTCCAACATTGATTGTCCGTTCGTCGACCGAGTTCCTTGGCAATAATGGCCCATTTGCCAACACCATACTTGGCAGTCAGGTCTTTGAGAATCTTGTCCTCTTCTTCGGTCCACGGATCCTTGATGAGTGCCGGATCGACCACGTTGCACCACCGCTCACGACACTGCATATCGGTACGTCCAGGAACATGGTTCTTGATGAGGATCCAGTTGCCCTTGCCATACGACTCGACTGCCTTGGTGAGCAACTCATCTTCCTCGGCTGTCCATCTACCCTTTCGAATGGCCGGATCCAACGTCTTTTGCCAACGATGTAGACACTGCTGTCCGGTTCTACCCTCTAAAGCCTCTGCAATCTGCTGCCAACTCTTGTCACCAAACGTTCGATACTTTGTGTACTCTCGAAGTAAAATCTCATCCTCTTCCTTTGTCCATTCACGCTTCATAAATTTAGTATTGAGGGATCTTTGATGACGCTGACAACAATGAAGAGCAGGACGATTACTACCAAGTTCCTGTGCCACATCAGACCATGAATGACTACCATACTTTTTCGAAAGTTCAAGCAACTTTTTATCCTCTTCCTTTGTAAATGGTTGTTTGTTGATAAGAGGATGTTCAGCATTACGCCATCTCAATTCACATTCCATTGGAGTACGTCCAGGTAAATATTCATGTACAATCGATTCCCATTCCAATCCATCCAAATTCTCTTCCAAATCAGACAGCGTCAAATTCTCAATCTTTTTCTTTTCCCTATCATATTCATCCTTTGAATGTGTTCTTTGTGATAATCTAAATAATAATATTTGCATATTCTTTTCTCTAACTCCTTTTGATAATGTTGATAATTCATTTTTTGTCCCTAAAAAAAAATAGAAAATAAAAGATTAGAGAGAGATTGACATAATTAGAGTTTCTGGTTTACATACATCTTTTAGATTTAAAATAAGTTGGCATATTATTATAAGTTGCTTTAATAAATTGAGTATCTGGATTATCATTTGGTACTGCACCTTCTGAATCTTGGAAATAAGGTGCAACACCAGCTCTTTTAGAATTTCCAACATTTTCTGTTTTTGGATTAACTGATATTGATAAACTTGCTCTTGCTTTTGACTAAAAAATAAAATAAAAGAAAAAAAAGAAAATTAATATTAAATAAAAGATCATATTATTTATAATTATATGTTATAATTACCAATAATTGTTGATTTAAAATGATTGAAGCATCAATATTACGAAGATATAATCTTAATTGTTTTTGATACTCTTGATTTAATTGTAAAGTTTTCAATGCTTCTTCTTTATCCATACCACTTGTTTCCAATACTTCCATATTCTCTAGAAAACTAATCCCGAGAGATGGTATATTATTTAGTACTCCATTATTATTATTATTACTATGTAAAACTATTGATTTATCTATATTATTATTATTGTTAGTTGTAGAGGTTGTTGATGTTGTTGATGTTGTAGTAGTAGTAGTAGTAGTAGTTGGTTTCTTTTTTATAGTAATCTTAAAGTCTTGATTATTATTACTTTTACTCTTTTCTACTACAACATTGTCACTATCATCATCATCATTGCTATCTTCATCTTCTAATACTTTTTGAAGATTCTTTAGATCTTCTTCATCTTCATCTATTACCAAGTCTGTCTGATCGTCGTAATAGTTATAAGTATCTCCTCCTTGTTGATTTTGTTGATTATTACTGTTATTATTGTATTGCTGTGAATTTAGACTTGTTACGTAATCATCGTCGTCATCTTCGTCATCATAGTAATCATCTTCATCTGCGCTATCCATAAAGTACACAAAGAAAAGAAGAAGGGGTGTTGACCTAACGTGTATAAAGTTATATATATCTAATGCAATGTATTAAACGATTGATTAGGCAGTTATGGGATAGAGGAGGGTGTGAAAGAGAAAATGAAGGGGAATGATATACTCAAACACAATGAAAAAATAGAAAAAATAAAAATTATTGTAATCACTTTTTTTTATTTTTTTTAATCAAATGATGACATATCTCTATTTCTATCTCTCTATCAAACAAATACTTTATATCATTTGTTTATTGTATTGGAGTATTGCAATAACAATCTATCTTGGTCGAGTTTATTTAAAGTCATTTCAAGATTTTACAAGTTATGGCAAACTCTCATCAAATCTTCAAAAGAACAACAAAAAGAAGAGGATAGAACCTTCTTCATCATCATCTTCTCTTTCATATTATATTGGTAGATTATTTCATTTACTTTATTTAGATAGAGAATGGATTGAAACAAAGAATGGATGGTTAACATTTTATTTAATATCAATGTTGTTATCATTGATTTCTATACTCGGTCAATCAAATTTTAAATATACTTTTGGTCAAGATGAAAAGGAAGGATCATCATCATCATCATTATCATCATCATCACAACAACAATTATATTTATTCTATTTGTTAATGTTTATTCAAGCAAGTAGAAGATTATTTGAAACTTTATTTGTTCAGAAACATTCTAGATCTAGGATGAACAACTTGTTGTTTATCTCTGGTGTATCTTATTATTTGTTTATTACTTTATCACCTTGTTTCTCAACACCCTATACTTTTAATCTTGGTAGTTTTAATTTCATCCCATTTATCATCTTTGCCATCGCATCCTATTCACAAAGACAAGTTCATATCATCTTGTCAAATATTCGAAATATTCCATCCGTCATTATAACTTCATCGTCGCAGTCAATGGACAAACATTATGAAATTCCAAAAGGATTTTTATTCAACTATATATCATGTCCTCATTTCCTAATGGAAATTATCATTTATACTTGTTTCTTTTTAATTGTTCCTTCTTTACCTTTTTTGTAAGTAAAATAAAAACAAAAAATATAACCATTTCTATTCTAATCATTTTTCTTTTTCTTTTTCTTTTTTTTAGGATGGCATTAATATTTACAAGTTTAAATTTAATTCATAGATCTATTGAAACTCATAGATGGTATCAAAAACAATTTAAAGATTATCCAAAATCAAGAAAAATAATCGTCCCTTTTATTTATTAAACTTATATAATTTTGAAAAATACTTTCTTTCTTTATTTATTTTGTTTTTTTACAAATTTGATTTATCTATTTTCTTTTGTGTTGAATTTTTTACAACTACATTAACCAATTAATTAGAATGATTGGTCTTTTTCCATTTTTTCATTTCCCATTTCCATCATCATTTTTATTATTGATCAAGAATACGAAGATTACCAGATACTACTTTGTTTTCAAATTCAGCACCTTCTGGAATATCTATTCTTGATCCATGATTGGCGACTACAATGACGGTACCTTTGAGGACAACGTTTGCACCAAATGTGACATCACCACTGACTGTGAGTTGGTCGAGTTCGAGAATGTCTGGAATACCCTTGAGACGTGCTTGATAGTCTGATACCTTTTTGAAATTGTCTCCAAGCTTGACCAATGGAACCGTGGTGAATGGACGATTCTTGTTCATCACCAACATACCATTCTCAAGTGAATAGAGATTAGACTGTACAATAAAAAGATCAGATGTTGACTTTACAGGCAAGAAACGTTCACGTGGTACATTTACTCCTCTTGCATTATTGAAAAATTGAATTGCTGCTCCTGCTGCAATTTCCAATTGTAAAATACTTTTACCATCAGCAACCTAAAAAGAAATTAAATAGAAAGGAAAATTAATATACGTATATATATAAATATATATATTTTCTTTTTTTCTTTTTTCTATTTACCTTTGGATTAATAATAATATCCATATCATCTAATAAAGATTCCTTTAAAACTCTATCAATTGCTTTAAGGTTAACCCAAATGTTGTTTGTATTAAAGATCTTAAACTTTTTGATTGATTTGAAATCTTCAACATGGTTTGGTGGAACTTGAGCAATTTCCAACAATTTGGCTTTACCTTCATATTCAATCAATGTACCTCCTTTTACATCTGCTCTTGTCTTGTTTGTTACTTCCATTGCATATTCACATCCTGTTGTATCCATCATATTTAAAATATCTAAAAGAAGAAAGAAAGGTTAGTTATCTATCTTTCTTTTTACTTTCTTTTTACTCTCTTTTCTTACTAAAATCAACGATAGCACCAAGATTATCAACATTTGAAATGAATAAATATTCCTTTCCTTCATTGATTAAAGTTTCCAAAAGACCAGAATTTTGTAAAGCGAAAAAGACGTCACCATGACCTGGTGGATACCATTCAGCATCATTGCCATACATCTTTTCAGGAACTGGCATTAAATTGTCTTTAAGAATACGTGGGAAACGACTTTGATTGAATGAATGAATCTTGACATCTGAATATTTATACTTTTGAATAATCTTTCCAGTTTCTTGATGAGTATTAAATGAATTCATCAATACCAATGGTACTCTAATATTATATCTTTCATTCATATGCTAAAAAAAAATAAAAAAAATTAATATACAAATATACATATATATTTCTTTTTTATATTTCTATTTCTATTTTTTCTATTTCTATTCTTACTTTAATTTGTTGAACAGATAAATCTAAAAATGTTTTTTCAGATCTAACTTCAATGGCAGATTTTGGACCTGTACAACCCATAGTAGTACCCAAACCACCATTAAGTTTAAGAACGGCAAGTTTAGAGGCAAGATTGATACGTTGTTCTTGTGAACAACCAGAGAGCTCCTTGTAGTTGATGACCATTTCCGATGGTGGTGGTCTGATCTTGTCCCAGTCAATAACCTTTTTTCTGTTTTTGAGGAATCGTGTAAAGAGCTTGTTGATGGCTGGCACCTCTTTGGTGATAAATTCTTGTTTAACAGCATCATTTGGTGCAGTGCTGGCAATAGCCTCTAACTTTTTCATAAATCCATCCTCTGTTCCAATATCAGATGATCTATTTCCAAATGATTGAAGTTGTGGTGATTGTGGTAATGGTGATTGAAGATCTGGTTTAATCATCTTTCTTTCTCTTTCTTTAAATAATTGAGGTTAAATTAACTAGAGATGAATGAAAATATATTAATATTTTTGGTCAAGATGTAGTTAATGAGTGTGGAGTGGTGTAATGATAATAATAATGAAAAATTGAAAAAACAAGTAATGATAATATAACAATAAATAATGATGATGATAATTTACTCCTTCTTTTTTTTTAGTTTAGTTTGTTTGAAAATAAAATAAAAGAGTGAAAAAAAAAAAAAAAAAAAAGGTTAACCTTACTTTGTTTTGTGTCTTTCTGTTAACCCAAATTGAAAATGAAATTGAATTTAAATGATTATTAATTTTATCAATCTTATCAAGCAAGTATCAATGATGATGGTAGTGGTGGTTGTTTGGGTGTGTTGATTGGTGAGGGATGAGTCGCGACTGCTGGTTTGGTTGATTTAACCTATTTAAAAAATAAAATAGTTTTGGCAAAAAGTGGGGGTTGTGGGGGGGGGGGGGGGGGTTATCACTCTCTCATTGCAAGAGTTGACTGGTCGTTCAAGACTGTTGATGTAGTAGTAGTAGTAGAGGTAGTTATTATATATATATTCCCTCAACAATAACTACAACTTATCTTTTCTATCACACAACAATAAACATAAACATACTCTTTCTAAAAATGATTTGATCAAATAAATATTATATGTATATATACTGCTGCTGTGTTTGTTGTAGTTGTTGTATGTATAGACGCTTTAACGAGGATAGTGTTGCTTATGATAGTAGTAGTGTGTTGATTGTTGTTGTGTACTGAACTGAATAGTTTAATTAAACAATAAGCAACAAGTTCACAGTTTTAATAAACCTTTGACAAAAAAATCAAATAAATTAAAAAAAAACACTTTTGAAAATATCTTGTCTAAAGTCGGGGAATCCCAAAGCAATCATCCCACGGTTGTGTCCCTCTTCTCTATTCAATCTTTAATTTAACATTCCCAAAAACATGTTATTCTTTTTTACTTTACCTTTTTTTGTTTATATTTATAGTAGTAATAGTAATAGTTGAAAACTATAGTAGTAATGATATCTACTACTACTATTCTATTTTATTTTGTTTTTGACTAGAGAGAGTTGATAAATGAAGAAAGAAGAAGAAGAATGTTTTTGATTTTTTCATTCACAAATTCATTTATTTAAATAATCATGGTATTATTATTTTTTTTTATCCAACCAGCAGCAGAAGCTGTCAGACACACACACACATCATTCATGTGATATATTGGTAGCAGGAGTGGTAAATAATATTTACAAATCAAATTTGGTCAGATTTGCCACACACATCATTCTCATCCTCCATATCCCTATCTATCAATGACTGCTCTCTCTCCCTTCTTCCACACCACAGTGTTTTGTGTTGGTATGTATACAGTTGTGGGGGTATGGGTGGTAAATGTAATTACACCCAGTTTCCACCAGTGAATCTTTACAAATTTGTCCCTACCCTCACTTACTCACTTACTCACACTCAATCACAGATTGTATATTTTAAATCTGAGTTTTAGATTGATATGATTGGATAGATTAAGTTTGATAAATCATGATTTATGATGATGATTTAATTATTGATGGACTTTGTCCACATCCTATATATATATATATATATGTGTGTGGGATGTGGAACTCTCTCTCTCTCTCTATTCAATTGATTTATCATCACACATACACACAAATAAAAGTAAAAGTTAAAAGGGTAGTATACTCTTTTATGTAATAATTAATAATCAACTCATTTTCATGATTTAAAACTTTGAAATCAAATAGTATTACGTATTTTCAATCAAGATCGATCATCGTTTTCTTTTTTTTTTGGAAATGAATCGTCAAATTTGTTTAATTAAATTAATTTATTATCTGCCTTCCTCCATATATGTATATGATGATTACATGTTTAAATAAATAATTGTTGTTTTTTATTATTAATAATTTTGTTTTACAATTGTTTGTTTTTGGTAGTAGAAAGAGAAACAAAAAAAAAGGTTTACATGTTTTGTCCATTCATTATTCTATCTATCTATCTTTTTTTCCACCAAATCCATTTACAACTTTCTTTTTCTTTTTTTTTCTCTTTCTCTTTTCTTATTATTATTTAACAGCAAGATTTGCCAAAGGTTCAATAGGAGTATCAGAATCATCAGCCATGATAAGATTGTAAGATTTCAAACCAGCACACGTTTGTATGGTAGTTTTGTGATCGATAATGACTGAAGGGATAGATGACGAACGTGACTTTGTGATTCCGCGTGGTGTGGCAACTGATAGCAAACTACCCAAACTAAGATTATTGGATGATCCCGATCCACTTGTTCCAGCAGCAGTGCTTTGTTGTTGTTTGGAAAGATTTTCAAATAGTGATTGTTGAATCTCTGATACCATTTCATTTAGAGTTTGTGTATTGGCAGAATCATTACTCGATTTGATGGCAGCTGTAATGTCTTTTAGGGGGAGTGGCATATCGACCAATGTACTATTTCTAGAGAGACCCACCTTAAAGAGTGAGAGTCCACGACTTGTAGTTTGGTTGTCATCCCATTCCAGTCGTTCCAAACAACTATTGGTTTGAAGTAGTTTGCCAAGGGCAGCTGCTCCAATATCACCAATCGAGTGTCCACTAATATCCAATTCCTTCAACGTAGCATTATAATAAAGACTACAAATAATAGGTAACAAGTCTCCCTTTAACTGTGATTTGCTACCTCCTTGAATGATAAATGTCTTGATTGCATTATGTGGTTTTGATTTCTTTTCAATAAAATTAATAATTGATTCAATTGTATTATTTCTTGTTTTACTTCTAAATAAAAAGAAATGAAAAATAAAAAGTTTTAGTTTACTTTTGTTTTTGTTTCTATTTTCTTTTTCTTTTTTTTTTTAAAATTTACCTTCGAATTAAATTATTTGAAATATTTAAAGATTTTAAAGTTGAATTGTTTAATAGGATATCACAAAGTAGAGTAATACCTTCATCACCAAGATCATTATCAGAGACATTGAGAACTTCCAATTTGTTTAGATTACCTTCACCAAATATTTCTTGGATGACTTCAACTGGCAATTGACACTTTGAAAGATTAAGGTTGGATAGATGAGGTGAATGGTTGAGGAAACGAACCATATCCAAATGAAGTGAATCCTTTTTAATGACACGATTACCACTATTGTCGAAGGTGGTGAGTGTGGAACATTTCTTGAGTTGATGGAATTGGGGCTGTGTGGTACCAATCAAAAATGTTTTCAATCCCTTTGATTTGACTAGGAAATTAGAGATGGATGAAGATCCTTCTGGTTCCAACTTGTTTCCACCAATATCTAAAAACAAAAGTCCAGAAATAATTGCTTCATTTGAACCTAGTGCCTCTCCAATCGATGACATGGCCGATCTTCCAACTCCACATCCTCCCAAAACCAATGTAGTGAGATGGGTGGTTGGCAGCTTGATAAACTCGGCAACTGCCACCATTCCCTTGTCTTCAATTGCATTGTTACCAATATCCAAATGTTTCAATGGCAACGATTTATTACCACACAGTGCATCAAACAATTTTTCACATCCAGATTTATCCAATCCAACTCCATTTAATACTACCTTTTCAAATGTTGATGATTGTGATAATAAACTAACAATTGATGTTATACTAAATGGAAACTTAAATAAGTATATATATATTTATATTTATATTCATCTTCATCTTCTTCTTACCATTCATTTGATAATTTTACACTTCTAATTGTAAAAGAAGTAAACCAAGTATTAATTGCAAGAGCAGCCATTAAAGGTCTAGCATCACCAGACAAGAGACGATCCTTTTTATAAAAGAAACCATAGTCAAAGTCTTTTACGACTGTACCCGACAAGACATTTTCAATGTGCCATGTGACTTCATTGATCGGTTGTACATTCATAAAGTCGCACATGGCCAAATAGGTAAGTGTCAGCCCTCCACATGTCCCAATCTCTGGTGAAATGGCATTGGGCGAACTATAGATCTCTTGTACTCGAGTCTCTGGTACAACTACTATTTTCAATCGATTGGTTTTCATTCCAGGAAAGTTATAGGTAAACAAATAATCCATTGCCAATATAATCTCTGATGAATGGTTTGGTGAATCCACCCCAAATACTAATGGTTCTACTCCTTTATCATTTCTAAATTTCATTGATATCTAAAAAAAAAAAGAAAAGAAAAGAAAATAAGTAAAAAAAAAAAAAAGATAAGATCAGATGTTTATATTTATATTTATCTCTTCTTACTTCTTTTGGATTGTCAGATCTAACTTCTGCAATATCAAGAAAATGATAATCAACTTCAAGTTTTCCACCAACTTTAAAAAAGAATACTCTATTGTTACCAATCAACAAGAATAATTTTCTTGGTTTCTTTCCTCTAACTTCTACCTTTTGTAAAAGATTTTCTTCTTCATCTTTTGATTGAATAAACAAATCAATGTTTTCTAAATAAATAAATAAATAAATAAATCATAAATAAATATATTTATAATAGTTATTAGTTATTAGTGATTAGGATATCATTCATATCATATCATTAGAACTGTTATCCTACTCTTTTCAGCTGCAGTAATATCCATTTGTGGTGTTGCAATCATAATCTGTATGTCTGTCTACTACTCTATCTCTAATCTTTATTCTATTCTATACTATACTTAATACACTATAATACACTATACTACACTATTCTCCTATCTTATCTTATATACAACAAACTAAATTTTTATTAGAGTATTGCAGTTTGTTTAGTTTTCATCATCACACCAACTCCTCCTTTCCCCTCAACTTTTAATATAAAGAATAATTTAAAAAGAGTGCGAAAATCAAATTTTATTTGAAACTTGACAAACAAACCATGAAAAGCTGCACCAAGCCAACCTTTACAAGATCGAGATAATATGCCTCTTCATTCTAAAACTCGAGTATCTTTAGTCTATAATAGACTTTTAGAAAGAAAGAAAGAAAGAAAAGAAATGAAGGAATATATATATATCATCATCAAACATCATTCAACCAATCAGCTGCCATTTCATCCTAACCTCGGTGTCAAAGAAATCATGAACCCACCACCACCACTACCTACTGCTGCTACTCTCTCTCTCTCTCTCTCTCTCTCTCTCTCTCTCTCTCTCTCTCTCTCTCTACTTGTCATCTTCTTACTTTAGCATAACTACTATTACTGCTACTACTACTACTACTACTACTACTACTACTACTACTACTACTGTCAGTCGAGATAGATTGAATTGTTTGTTTGTTTGTTGCTATAACTAGTTATTATGAATGAATGAAGATTATTAATGGATGATCATGGTTTGTCAGAGGAGGAGCAAGTTTTGGTTGTGTGAGGAAGATCACATCCTCCTCTCTGAGAATTGTGTAAAATGCACTGTGCCAACGATATTAACAATAACAACGAGGAGTTGCAAGCAAGCTAGCAAACAAGTATGTATATTCACACTTTACTTTCTTTCTTCTTTTCAATTGGTTGATTTCTTTTCGATCAGTAGGTGTTTTATATTAAACCCCTCTTCTCTTCTCTCTCTCTCTCTCTATCTCTTTCTCTATTATCTTCTCTACTCCTCGGCCACAACCAATCAATCAATCAAATCAAATCAAATCAAATCAAATCAACCAACAACACTATTGGCAACAATCATCAGTACCACCATAGTACTTTTTTGTTGTTGGATGGTGGTTGATTGTTGTGGTGCGTTTTTGGTTCTACAATCAAAACCGGAATCCAAATTAAAACACTGAACATGGATGGATGGAATGGAATGCAAAAGACGGGGTGTTCACACCACTACCACCACCTATACCTCTCACTATGTACTTATATATATTCCTAAAGAGAAGAGGAGGAGGATGAGGAGGAGGAGGAGGAGTAGTGCTGTGCAATCAATCCAAAAGGCGATCGTAGCTAGCTATCAAAGGTGTGCATAATTAATTCAAACTTTTACAAATCGCGTGAGAGTGAAGAAAGGAAAGATATATGGATGTATGGAAATAGTAGCTCGTACAAGCTGTTGCTGAAACGTGAAACACTCACTCTCACTCTCTTGATTCCACTACCAGATTAATGAGACTGTGGATCTACTCAAAGAGGAGAGGGGCTCTCATGAGCTTCCTCACTCTTTCTCTATCATCATCATACATCCATCCATACATCCATACATCCATACATACATACATCAACATCAACATCATCATCAATAATTATGTGATTTACTAGTAGGTAGGTAGGTAATATTAATACGGTAGGTGGAACCAACCAGCAAACAACACCAACATCACTCAGTATAGATACTTAGATACTGAAAAGCATTTGTGATTTAATAATAATAATAATAATTATTATTATTATTATATTATTACATTAAATTGGTTTGTTGTTGTTGGAAATTGGATAGGATTGATTGGATAGGATTAAAGAGTAATTGTGTAAAGGATTGGGGTTTTGAACAGTAATAACCAACAACAAAAACCAACAATATCATCTAACAACAATAACAATAACAATAACAATATCTATATATCTAATACCTTGTTTATATATATAAACCATCAAAAATACAAACAACAAACAAACAAAAAAAAAAACAAAAAAAGACAATAGTAAAAAAACTAAACTATAAGTAGTATTAGTACTTTTCCAACCAATCCATTCGAACCATAATACTCACTACTATTTATCTCTATCTCGTACATCTTATATATATCATCTTTATCTTTCTTATTCTTCTTTTATCCTCATTTTCCATTTCTTTACAACAGCCGGTTTAGTTTTGGAACTTTGTCAAAAAAAAAATAAAATAATCTAATTGTATGTATCTATCAATCAATCAATCACCTCTCATTATCCAATCAATCAAATCATTTCATCATTTTATACATCTCATTCCTTTTTCTCTCCATCTATCTATCTCTTTTTCGGGACCAATCATTTATTACCAATTTTATACATATTCAAGGAAGAGGAACAATCAATGGAAAACAATTAAAATTAGTTGGGTGGGTTGATTGGTGGATGGAAAAGAAAAGATATTAAAGATATCAAAAAAAGAAAGAAGGGTGGGACGGGAAAAAGATAACAATATAATAACCAGATTATGATAAAATAGCAACACGTATATATTTAACTAGTTTAGGTTAGGTTGTTGTTATTGATGATGATGATCAAACAAACCAATCAAAATTCCCAAATATGATTAAACCAATCCAAAACAGACGGTGTGATATAATAATAACAACAACACACCACTCATTCACACATCCCATTCTACCAAAAACCAACCACAATTTTTTCGAAACACCCACCACTTTAATTTCAAGATTTAATTTTTTTAATATCATCGACTTGATCAAAACAAAACACCACAATTACCCACAATTACCCACCCACACACAATGTATTATATTATACTCCTTCCATACATTTTTATCACATCCCAAAACATTCAACATCTGATCATTAACAAATTTGTCATAGTAGCAGCTACTGACTGATGATTATTATGAGTGGGTTTTATATTATATTATATTATATTATATATTTAAAAATTGGTGGTTCAATCAATAGTATATAGTATAGTGATCATGATGGTGATGGTGGTGGTGGTGGTAGTGCTTACAACTTCTAAATATATTGATTGTGATGGTTTTCAAAAGATAAAAAAAAAGTGAGAGAGTGTAGAACATCTTCTTCCTCATTCTCCTCTTCCTTCTCCCACACACATATATAATATATTTTTATACACAACCATGCTTTTGCTACTGCTACTGCTACTGCTGTGATGCGTATCATCCTCCTCCTCTTCACCACATACACACAATTTATATATAATTCCAATTTTTAATATTTTAAAATTTCTTCATCTGGTGTTTGTTGTTGTTGCTGCAGTACTACACCTACTACTTTTGTCCAAGCGATTAAATCTTGTTGCCATCTCTTCATCCTTCCTTCCTCCTCCATTTTATTCATTTCGTCTAAACTGTTTACACAAATTCTCCAACATCAACATAACTTTAAAATTGACACTCCCACCACACTACTCAACCAACCAACCAATTAATTAATTAATTGATTTGATTGATTTGGTTTGATAGTAATCAATTATATATAGAATATTTAATATTGAATGTATGAATCATCGTATTGTACCGACCGATCACACCCTCTCTCTCCATGGTGCGGAATGGATCAATGTATCCACCTCCAAATTGCCATAACTTTTCCTTTCTCTCTCTCTTTGTTTCTTTTTTCTCTCTCTCTCTCTCTGTCTCTTCACAACTCACAACACACTTTATATATTTTATTTGTTTTGTTTGTTCAACTCTCCTATAATTTGTTTTCAGTCAGCAGTCAAAAGAAGAGTAGGAATAAGTGGTGTTGGTGGGTTTTTTAGGGTTAGGGTGCCAGGGGTTGGAATCCAAATTTAAATTTAATTTGTGTACGCACAATATGGATGGATGGATGCATCATCGTGCGTGATCATCATCATCATGATCATTTGCAACTGACATGCAGTCAGACAGACAGACTGGCGAGCAGACGGATGGATCAAATGTTGATTGTTACCAGACTGATACATTAGTTCGTCCCATCACCATCATTGATGATGCATGATCACTACAATCAGCCAGCTTGTTCCAAACTTTTTGCCGTCCAGCAACAAAAGTTTCCCACCCTCCTCAATTTATATCTTTTTTTTTAAATGTTCTCTTCTCTTTCTGTTGATTGATGTTGGTTGCAGATCAATCATTTAATATATGTATGGTTTATTATAGTCACACAATAGAGATCAAACTAGTAGGTGTACTAAATATTACTCCTACTACTCTTTTGTTTGTTAACATTTTATTTATCTCTGGAAATAAATTCCAACCAAAAAGTACTAAACTAAACAGTCAATCCCACCCTCACCCATCCAGTCTGTCAGTCAGTCATTCATACACACACATATATATATATATGCATATATATCCCAACCTATATGAATCGATTATCATAAACCCTAAAAATATAATTTATTTTGATTCCAGTTCCAATTCCAATTTCAATTCCAATTTCAATTCCTCAGAATCTACTTTTTAACCTACCACCACCATCCACCCCTTCTTTATCTTTTATCCACAAGGATAAGAGGGTATGTTTTACCTTTTTCCAACAACACCTATTGATTATATCTGCTGTATCCTAAACAACAACAAAACATTTAAAAAAATTGTTACTTTCAGTTCACTAAATCTACCCTTGATATCAAGAGAGTTGAAGCTTGGCCGGATAGATAGATAGTAGGTTTATTGAATCGTCGTCGTCGTTGTTGTTTGTGTTAATATAATATATTAAACTTTATCGACAAATAAGAAGAAAAAGGCGACAACACTAGCTAGCTAAAACAACTTGTGGTACTTTCAAATAACTTTTTACCTCCTTTTTACCCTGCATCCTTTATTTTGTTGTTCCTCCTCTCTACTCTATTCTATTCTACTGACCCTCTTTGATAAAAGAGAGTTGGAATTTGTCTTGTCTGTTGTTGACATTTCACACACACACAAGTCACCACACACTTATACCTGCCATTCACACGCTGTTGCTACTGCTGCCATTCACCAACACACACTTTTAGGTTTTTTTAAACAATTTATGATCTAAACATCCAACTCACTCCAAAGGTTAAATACCTAATCAATCCGTTATTATTGCATTGTCGATACTGTACTGCTGTTTTCACAGTTGGAAAACAACAATAACAATAACAACTACCGCTGTTGTTGCTGTATCAAGCACCTCTACTGCTGCTACTACTGTAGTTGTTGAACATCCGTCCTTGTTTGTTTTGTTGTTTCAATCAACAACAACAACAACACATTTTAACAATATTAATTAATTATCCTTCCAAATCATTTTGTCTTTTTTTCCACTCATTCCAATTGTTGTTGAATATATTGGTATTAATATAATTTACACATTTTATCTTACAAAAAAATATTTTCTAGATCGCCAACCAAAAAAAAAACATTTATATATATTATATAAAGTTGATTATCATCGTTTCAGACAATAAAAAGGTGTCATGACCGATATTAAAACCTATTATATAGCTCCTCAAGATAATAATGATATATATTCCCATAGTAGTAGATCACCATTTTTAAATCAACAACAACAACAACAACAACAAAATAATGGTGGAAATCAAAATAATAACAATAATAATTCCAACAACAACAACAATAATAATAATAATGGAAGTTTAATGAATCTAGTTCAATCAAATTATAATAATAATAATAATAATAATAATAATAATAATAATAATAATAATAATAATAATAATAATAGTGATCACCACCACAATAATAATGGCCATGGACCAATGAATATTAATAATCATGGTCATGGTCATGGTGGTAGTTCTCTTACATCACTTTCTTCCATCTCGTCTGATGCATTGTTGAAAAGAGATTCACCAACACCACCCAACATTTATCAACATACAACAAATACCAAAAAGGATCTACATTTCGAATATCCTCCCATAGTCGACTATGTTTTACCTCAACTCAATAGTAGTAATACTTCTATTGTTGCAGCTCCAACCTCTTCCCAATCTTCATCCTCGTCGTCATCGTCCATCAATTATTCACCACCATATTCGTTTCGAAATGACCAAATATTATTCGCTCCATCAGCCAATCATATGAACCAAAATAATAATAATAATAATAATAATAATAATAATAATAATAATAATAATAATAATAATAATAATAATAATAATAATAATAATAATAACGGTAATATTAATAATTTCTATAAACCACCACCAATGATGTTCCAAAATCAACATTATAATGATTTTCCAACCAACATTACTACTACTACCACCTCATCGAACCCTTTGACAACATCATCATCAACTTCTACGACTACTACTACTTCTTCCACCTCTTCATCTTCTTCTAATCATCATCATCAACATCATCATCATCAACCACAAAGCCAAACCCAACAAGCATACAACTATGAAGAATATCTTAAAGTACTAGTACTTAATTGTAGCAAGTGTAATCATTTTATTCAAATTAGTAAGTATGGACCTAGTATATAGAATCACTGTGATTCCATAAAACATTTTTAAATGTTTTCCACATGTTTTATTAATTCTTTTTTTTATTTATTTATTTATTTACTATTTTATTTTTAGGTTCCGAAAAAATGTTGGAAAATCATATAGATGTACTACCAGGACCAGAAGATAAAAGTTATGAATTTAGATGCCCACCATGTATTAAATCTACCAATGGGAGCTTCTTTTTCAAACACATATCAAAGACATGGAAAGAAATGATTCATACTTCTTTATTTAATCTAGAAAGAGAAAAGAATTATAGATTCTCTCACTATAGAGAAGTAATTACCTATGTTCATAGAAATCCACAATTTTTATTATCTGATAAAGAAAAAGGTAAAAAAAAAAAAAAAAGAATATATCTAAATATATTTATATATTGATATTAATATTTTGATTTTATTTTAGCTGAAATTGGAAAGATGAAAAATGTAATTACAGCAACACTATCATATAATCGAAAGATATTTGTATCATTTGCAAGAGATTCTGGTATGTGGTCCAATTTTAGAGAAGGTGATGAAGTTTTGGAAGATGATAAAGGTTTATTGGTTTGGAACGAAAAAGCCCTTTTGAAAAGAAAATCATCTGATTCTTTACTTGATGATGTTAGCTTTACTTTGGAATGTAGACTTTGTACTACTAAAGTCACTTTTGGTAAACATTACAAAAATTATTAAAGATGAATGTAAAAATATTAATATTCTATATATTTATTATTGTTTAGATGTTAAAAATTTGGATGGTTCAAAAGTATTACCTGGACCAAATGATCCAAGATTTGAATTTTTTTGTGCATCTTGTAATGGAGGAAAACCTAGAATCAATCATCAACCCAAATCGTGGAAGGAAGTGGCTCATACTGCTCTTTTTAATTTGGAAAAGGAAAAAAAGTATCGATTCTCTCATCAAATCGAGATTGCATCCTATGTCAAGGATAATCCTGAAGCTTTTTGTTTTAATAGAGAAATTGGTAAGGAAATATTTATATCCAGGTTATTTAATCTATTACTGTATGTGGATACACATTTATCTAATCATTTTATTTTATATAAATATATATATTTATCTAAATTTATTTGTATATTCATATATTTATTTTATATATATATTTATTTTTCTTTTTAAAAAGATAATATTAAAAATAGATTGAGTACAGTTTTATCGAGATATAAAAAATCTTTTACATCAATTGGTAGATATACAGGAATGTGGTCAAATTATAGAGAGGGAGATGATGGACTTTCTGAGTTGGACTTTGATCAAGGCGAGGAGGAGGAAGATGATCCTACTACTACAGCAGCTGGCGGTGGTAAAAAGAAAAGAAAAAAAGCTAAAAAGGCAACCCCCGTTTCCTCTGGCAATACCTCTACCTCTTCCACATCGACCAACTCATCATCTTGTACATCTCCATCGATTTGTTCAACCCCATCTTCATCCTCCCCAACGTCGACCTTTACTCCTTCGACATCCTTGATCAAAAGTCCATTACAAGCAATGCAAATCCAACCATTAAATGGATCCTCCTCCTCCTCTATGCAACAAAGTGGACAACAGATTTACTTGACTCCTAAAAACAGAACTACTCTACCATCTACTTTATCACCATCTATGTATTTACATCAATCTAATACCGGTAACGATAATAATCAACAAATGAATTCATCTTCATCTTCTTCCTCGTCCTCGTCTAATAATAATCCACATTCATTGATTCTTAGTTCTCCCAAACTTTCACCAGATTCATCCTCCACTACACCGCTACTAAATAATTCACCAAATATTAATTATTTTTCACCACCTCTGTTTTACTCGATTCCAACAACCGCCACCACGACAACGACTACATCTGCCCAGCAGGTTGTTGGACCATCTGGATACCCAAACAATTTTGGAAACCAATCCTTTAACAATAATAATAATAATGGTAATAATGGAAACAATGCTGGAAATAAGTACAAGTACGATGGCTACAATAACACTAGTGGTGGACCAAACACCTCGATGACAGAATGTAGCCTTTGTCACTGCAAGAAAATGTCTTACAAGTGCAAGATGACCTACTGCTCAAAGTATCTTTGTCATGACTGCCTTCTAGACACTTTCCCAAATTGTCTACCAAAGTTACCATCAAATGAAAGCGAATGGAGTTGTCCATCTTGCTCTCAACTTCAACAACACCATCAACATCAACATCACCAACAACAACATCAACTTCAACTTCAACAACAACAACATCAACATCAACAACATCAACAACAACAACACCATCAACAACAACAACAACAACAAAATGGATATTTAAACATGTTTAATAACACCAACTATGGAGTTTATTCAAATTGTACATCCCCTTTAAATCAATTTCCACCTCCACCACTTGTTCAACCACAACAACCACCTCAACAGCCACAACCAGTTAAATATGGTAAGAAACTTACAACTTTTGATGAAACCAATAATAATAATAATAATAATAGTCATAAATCAAATAATACTACTCCAAAACGTAATAACGATTCAAGAGACAATTTTTTTAATAACACTGATTTCAATAATAATAATAATTCGAATTTTGATCAATCAATTCAACAACAACAACAATTAAATTCAAAAGATTTGAAAAGATTTAAATCATCATCATCACAATCTCCAGGAGGGGATCAGTTTAATCACTTTTCCCCAATCGCAACATCCTCGTCATCGTCCTTTTCATTTGGCAATGAAGGGAATACCAATCTTTTTCCAAACCCACAATTCGTACCTCCCCAAAGACTTCCATTAAATGGATGGAATGTCAATCAACAACAACAACAACAACATCAACAACACCAACAACATCAACAACAACACCAACAACAACAACACCATCAACAACAAAATCAACAACAACATCCACAACAACAACAACAACATCAACAACAAAACTATATTCTACCAAACTTTCAGGTACAATTCCAATCACTATCCATGACAGGTCAACAACCCAACCAACAACATAATAACATCCCCAACAACTCTTTATTACTATCGCCAGTATCAAACAAATCGCCCGAAACTACCAAAACCTATTAATCCCTTCTTCCGATCATCAAATACCATAATAACAAAAATTACCAATACATTTCTTTTTTTCCAAAAAAAAAAAAAAATATTCTAATACAATACTATTAATCAAATCAATAAATAAAAATTGTGTATATAATGTAACCCCTCTATTAAAAATAATCTAAATCTAATTGTGTGTTTTAAAATATATATAAAGAATCTATATATATATTGTTTATTATTATTATAAATTAATGATTAATTAAAAATCTTGTCCTGATTGTATAGTGTCTGCTCCATCTTGATGAAAAGATGGATTATTATTACTATTTGAAAAATGTATATTTTTAGAAATGGATGATGTTGAAAAATTATTATTATTTTGTTGGAAACTATTATTTTGATTTTGATTTTGATTATTATTATAAGTTAATTTTGGTGGTGAATGTAATCTTTGTTGTCTATTATTATTATTTTGTTGTTGTTGTTGTTGTTGTTGTGATGGTTGTTGTGGTTGTTCCAAATCATCTTGAATTGGTTCAACAAAATTAACAGGGAAAAGTCCAACACGATTATTTAATTCACCTTGCCACCATTCTTCATGTGGTTTTCCAATGACATTGATGACATCTCCTACTCTTATTGGAAGATCACGTGGTGTTTCGGAATCAAAGTCATAGATTGCTCGAACCTTTGTTATTTTATCCATATCGTTTTCCCATGATCTATCCAGTGATGCATCTCTTCTTCTTCCTCTTGATAGACTTATCAATTGTCCAATAATCATTGGAATGCCAATAAATGTTACGGCTATAATTACAATAAATGTTTTAATACTTTGTGGTCCTTGTTTACCCTTTTCTCCATTGAATTTTTGGAAATCCTAAAACAAAAACAAAAAAAGAAAAAGAAAAAGAAAAAGAAAAGTTAATTAAAGCTATTTAAAATATTTCTTGATTATATATTTTTTTTCTCTACATACATTTAAATCTAATCCTACATTTTCTTTAACCTCTACTATTGGTTTCCCCAAAATATATCTAAATATTCTAATAAATTTCGAAGCAACTGATTGGAATAATCTAAACAATGTAAAGGTTTTAACCAATCTAAATATTTCATGATTAAATTGACTCATACTATGACATAATCTACAAATAAATTAAATAAATTAATAAAAGTAAAAAAAAAAATAATATATCTCCTATATAGTATATTCTAATTACCTCATAACTGATGCAAAAGAAACTCGAACAGCATCGAAATTTGAATTTAATAAAAATGTGAATCTTGAAAAGGTATCAACGATTGAATGTAAAGCTTCCATCCAAGTATGACCACTAGACATGACGTTACCCAATGGGCCTTTGCCGTCCATGTCTCTGTATCCTCCGCCGGCTCCGTATCCCATACCCATGCCGTAACCACCTCCGCTGCCATAACTGCTCATTCCACTGTAGCCACTACCATAGCTACTCATGCCTCCGTATCCACCACCATAACTACTCATTCCACCATATCCACTGTTACCATAGCTACTTCCATAGCCACTACCACTACCACCATAACTACTCATTCCACCGTATCCACCATAGCTTCCATAACTACTGCTATTTGTTCCACCGTATCCACTTCCTGCACCGTATCCAGTGCTGTCATAACTTGATCCATATCCACTACCACCGCCACTTCCATAGCTACTGCCTCCATATCTTCCAGTCATATAGTCTGATGACGATGAATAACCTCCACCGTCCCATGGACGTTGAGGTGTACGAGGTCTCGTCATTATCGTCGACGATGATGTACCTCCTCCTCCTCCTATATGACTGCTACTATTGATTCCATTGGCAGTACTACTACCAATTATGCTTGTAGATGTACCATTATTGGGTGAACCTGACCGTAAGGGAGGTCTAGGTGCCGCTGTTGATACAGATGCTGGTGGTGCTGCTGTTGATGGTGACCCTGCTCTCTCCCATGGTTTTGGTGGTGAAGGTCTCATATCTTGCTTCTATATAAATATATGAATATATTCGATTTAAATATCAAATATATCAACTATATATATATAGTTTGTATGTATATTATTATTATGTTTGTTTTGTTTTGTTTTGTTTTGTTTTGTTTTGTTTTGTTTTGTTTTGTTTTGTTTTGTTTTGTTATATTATAATATATTATTAACTATTAATCATAATAGTTCCAACTTTATCTACTATTAATTTAAATATATTTATATAATTGTTTGTATTAATAAACTTTGTTAATAATGTTTGTTGTCAATTCTTTTTACAATACCCTTTTGCCCAAACTACAACTATAGTATGTGTATGTAGTAATGGTAAAAGTTGACAAGATAACTATGCAGCTGTTGTTGTTGTTGGTCAATGTATATATATATATATTTAAATAAGGAGTGTTTTGTTTGTTTGTTTGTTTGTTTTTTTTTGTGTGTGTTCTTTCTCTCTCTCTCTTTCTTTTTTGATCTCTCTAGTTTTGGATTTCAATTGTGTTTTGTGTGGTGATAGATCTGAGTATGTGATAGCTGAGTTTTGTGATTATATTTATATATATAATGATATTGAATCTCTCGAGATAGTAGTAGTAGTTGGACTATTAACTAACTTTTTAATCGCAGAATTATGTTTGTTGTCAAAAAGAGTAAAGACTCTCTTTGTCCCCTTCAATTTCAATTTTTTAATTAAATTTTTTTTTTTATTTTTCCTTTTGAGCAAGATCCCGTCGTTCCCAAGGGTGTTTCATATTTTGACGCACATGTGCCCCAAATTCACTATCACTATTACATTCCCTTCCCATAGAGTTTTAAAACAAAACAAAAGTTATCTGTTGGGGATTTTATTCAATGGGTCTGGTAACCAAGATATATATTCTATAAATGGAGTTGTTGTTTGTTGTTGTTGTGGGGATAGAAAAGATATCTTTGAATATTTGCAGCAAGTCTTGGAATTAATTAAAATAAATGGATGGTTTTATTTTATTTTAGAATTGATTCATCATTCTCCCGATTGGATATTTTAGTTTAAACTTGAATGGCGACAGATGGGAGATGAATGATTGGTAAAAGTTTAACTGATGTTATATTATTACTGTTATTACTATTACTATTATTATTATTTGACAAAACTAATGGAATTAAATAATTATTATTTTCTTCTTTTTCTTGTTGTTGTTGTTGATGATGATTGATCATATTTGGAGTTAACCAAACAAATATTGGTAGTTGATTTGGAATTCCAGTGAGTATGATTGACCAACGACCATTACTACCACCACCACCACCATCATCTTCATGACTATCATCCCATTGTTCGTCATCTTGATTTTCATCATTAAAAATAGTCCAAAGTTGTTGATTTGATAATATTGCATAAACTTGTTGTTCCATTAATTGATTATTATTATTACTAGTTTTACCAACTCTATTAATAATAATATTATTATTACTATTATTGTCAACATTAATGTTTCCATTTAATTTGTTATTATTATCACCATGATTATGATGAATATTTAAAGTAATGGGACAAAGTATATCCACATAGTATTTAATGATAAATGATTCGAAAAAAGAAAGATCATTGATTGGATTACTGGTCAAGTAAAAGGTGTGTTGTGTAATGGTATCATTGGTTTGATCTACGTTGTTTAGGTTGGATTGTTCCAATCTAAAAACTGTGACACCTTGGAATGAATTTGAAATTCTTGTTTTAGATTGGTGTATCGTATAGTATCCTTGTTGTGGATTATGACCACTACTATTTCTTTCTCTTAGATACTTTATGAATCTAAGGAATATAACTAATGGTACTTGACTTCCGTGTACTAGTGAAGTAAAAGAAAGAAGAAGAAGAAGAAGAAGAAGAAGAAGAAGAAGAAGTCTGGTTAGTTATATTACTCTCCCTCTCTTTCTCTTTCTCTTTCTCTCTCACACTATTTCTCGACTTACAATCAACCGAATAATCATTTACACTTTTAAAAGGACTGTTTACTTTGGATACAATAGTTGTTTTACATAGCATATGACTGCATGTTGATATCATATGATTGGTATAGTTTAGAGTGTCTATATAGTATATGTGGTCACAGTGTGGACACACATGAGATGATGGTATAGTTGCAATAGTTGCAGTTGTAGTGGCAGTAGTCTCTCTCATCTCCACTTCTTCTGTCTGTGTTGCTAACATGCTGTAGGACTACTGAAATAAATAAATAATTTTATGTACAAAATGAATGAATGAACCTAATGATAGATATGATATGTACTCAACAACAAATCAAAAAGACGTTGAAAGTTCCAAAGTTTTGCAGAAGCTGTGTTCCTTCAAAAATTAAATTTTTTGAATTTTTTTTTTTTCTTATGAGACACCCCTCAGCCAAATTCGAAGGAGAAGAACAGAGAGCTTGACCTCAAATTTCAAATCAGACAATAACTAACTTCTTAACCTCAAAAATTCAATCAAACAAACAAAGAGATATATAATATAATATCATATCAGTATATATTATATCATCTCATCCATTTTATATACCCTCCCCCAATCTTTGTTGTTGTTAGTCACATGTTGGTAACACCTTTGCCGGCAGAGGATACACCACAATAACCACCGTAGAAAATAGACAACTTACATACTAGTACAACCAACAATATAGACACCAACAACACTCATCATAGTTTTGATGCAGTAGTTGTTGGTGGTCAAGTCGACAATAACAATAATAATAATAATAATCATATTATGTACCAACATCCGTTTGGTGACTTGTCATCATTTGATGAGTTCCCAACTGAAAGGTTTAAAGAGCAATTAGAGACACTGACAACATCCAAGGAATCAATTGACAAGGCCACTCAATTCGTCATTGATAATTTGAATTCATTTAGTGATCTCTTTGATGTACTATTAAATAGAATGAGAAAGGTATGAAAAAGAAAAAGAAAAAGAAAGACAGAAAATAATATAAATATTATATAAATATTAACAATCAATCAATCCTACCTACTACATCCCTACCTATATAACATATATATATTTAGAGTGCATTTAGCAAAAGACTTTCATTCTTTTATTTAATTGATAGTATATGCCAAAGATGTAGTGCCAAAAAGAATACCTTGTACAAGAGTATAGTTGGAGACTCGATCAATGAAATACTACCATTGATTCTGCCAGACGACAACATTGAACTCAAACAAAAGAACAAAGTCATCATTGAAAAGGTAAATATTCCATACACTCTATAACATTACTCATTTCATCCCTCCATTACATACATTACAAGTATCATCAAAGCAAAAAGTATCCCCTCATCCTCCTCCTCATCCACCTCCTCTTCTCTCGTATCTCTTCATATCATTCATCATTCGAGCAGCAAATTTAAATGTTTCAAAAAACAAGTACAGGTGACTCATACATTATCTTTCTTTTCCTCTCTCTCTCTTTCTCTTTTTTTTTCTTTCAGTTTCCAGTACAAGAGAGAACACAATCAATCAATCAAGATGCGGTCATTGATGTTATTGTAAACTATGGCAAAAACTTCTTCTCCTTTTGGCTTTATGATGATGATGATAAGTTGCTAGCTATTGTTGCTGATGCTGCTGCTGTTGCAATCATGTGCTTCTGCTTCTACATTGGCATACCTAGTACAGGCAACAGCAGCAGCATCATCATCACAAGGAGAAGATTTACAAATCATATGATATGATAACACAAAACCAATCAATTGGTCACACAAGACACATTTCACCAAAAAAAGATAGAGAGAGAGTGATGGAGAATAATAGAAATAATCACATCTCTCTCTCTCCTCTCATCATTGTCCTTTTCTCTTCTCTCCCACATCATCATCTTTTTGTTTTGTTTTCTTTTTGAATAATAGTAATAATATTAACATTTCAACTTTCTTGGTTTGTCTTTTTTAATATTAGGTATTAGTAATATGGGAGACTAAAAATATATTTGAAGAGGCATTGCTATCAAAGGCAAATTCGATATTGGCTGGAACGTTCAAAGAGAGTAGTCGGTTAATATGCCCACATCTATCGGAAAAGGAGTATGTCAGATTGTTTAAAAAGATGGAGGACGACCGAAGAGAACAAAAGAAAAAGAAATACGAGGCTTCGATTGGCCAAGGACATCCCCTCGATGATTTTATCGATTTTTGGTGTAGAATATGTGTGGCTGTTGGAGTACCTCTCCAAATACAACCCGACGAATCAGATTATAGTTTGTATCAATCTTTAAAGCAAACCTTTTTACTTCCTGAATGGACAATCGAACAAATCGAAGAACTACCAAAACATTATCAATTAATGTTTGATTATCAACAACAACAATTACAACAAAATAATAATATGAATAATATGAATAATAATAATGATATTAATAATTCAAGTATGGATCAATCAATGGATTATGATCCACAACAATATAATAATCATTTTCAAAATAACAACAATAATAATAATAATAATGTAGATATGAATAATAATAATAATAATAATATGAATATGATGATGAATATAGATAATAATAACAATAATAATAATGGTTATTCATTTGACCAATATACAATTCAACAACAATTAGAACATTTACAAAATTCACAGGAACCTTTAGATCCAGAAAGGTTACAATTACAACAACAATTACAACTATTATTACAACAACAATTACAACAGCAAAAACAAATGCAACTACAAATGCAACTACAACAACAAATGCAACAACAATCACAACCATTTACATTTATCAAGAGTAAAAATAGTAAACCTTATAATCCAGTACACACAACTGATTATAATTTAATTAAACAATACTTTGGCGAAAAACAAAAAAGGTATAAATAAATAAATAAATAGAAAAAAATAGATTAATAGAAAAGATAGAAAACAATAGAGTATGTACTATATTGATTGTGTATTTGTTTATGTGTTTTTTTTTTGATTGTGAATTATATACAAATAATTAATTGTTTAAATTTATTATTTCCAATAGTTGGGAAGAGTGGGGATGATTTGGTTGAACTCGGCGCCATTCCATTACATATAATATCGAGATCGTTTGTAGTTGTTTAAAAACAACAGGTTGTGTATGTTGGATCAGTAGAGTGTTTAGGCAATCCACAAACGGTCGAGGGCATCCTTGACGTTGTTGATTTGTCCCTTGAGGTTGGAGGACTCGTCAACAATGACAGAGCAAGCAACGACTGGACGTGAAACATTGCATACACGACCCAATTCAGCCTTTGATGGAACGAAAACGTATGGGATGTTCTTGTCTTCGCAGAGGAGAGGAATGTGCAAGACGATTTCGAGTGGCTCAGCATCGGCAGCCAAGACAACGAATTCGGCAACAGAACGAGATACCGACTTGGTGACTTCGTTAGCTCCCTTTTTCAATTGTCCATAGTTGTTGGATTGTTGAACAAGATCGAGGATGGTAACAGTAAGTTTGTGGTCAGCTAATGGTTTAGCCTTTGGGTTAAGCTCTGCAGAATCTGACTATAAAAAAAGTAGATAACAATAAGAGTTAGTTTGATGAGTTAACAGATAGATAAATAGATAGATAGATAAGATAGATAAGATATACAACATACCATAGTTTATAGATTAATTAATTTGATATAAATAATTTAAATAAATAAAGAATGCGTCACGCTCTCCTTCACTGCTTAGATAATAAAATATATATGTTTTGAAAAAACGACAAACGATTGTTTTTGAGGACAAAGAAAAAAACGTCAAAAAGACAAAAAATTCAAAAAATTCATTTTAATCACCTTTTTGTCTTTGGTTGCAATGAATGAAATTTAATCAATATATAGAATTGAACAACAACAAGAGACAGTGGTTAGTAGTAGAATGACAGATCAATATGATGATGATGACAATCAAGATCAATCAAAAGTGACACATAAAATAGTTAGTAGAGAGGAACAAAGTAAATACAATAGAAGAAAGGCACCAGTATCGATGTGTCAAGATGTTAGAGTAGCAGCATTTAGATGTTCAGAAAGAAATCCAAGAAATGTAAAGACTGCATGTTCATTGTTTTTTGATGCTTATCAAAAATGTAAATCAATTAAAGTAAATGTGACCAACAACAACAACAACAACAACAACCAACAACCAATAAGAAGAGAAATGAAGAGTCATTTTCTAATCACTTTTTAATTGATGATCATCATTAGGGAAAGTTTGATAAAGAAGAAGAAGAGATTAAAAAGTATATAGTTGATGCTCCACCATTAAAACGTATTACAATGAAAAATCGTTTAAAAGAGTTGGATGAGGAGAGAAGTCAACAATATCCAGTTCCAGATACCTATTAATAATGATAATGATAATAATGATAATGATAATGAAATCATTCATTTCATTTTGAAAAGAACAAGATGTGGCTATAACTATTTCTTGTTGTTTGTACATACTATAATATAATATTAGTTTGTTAGTTTATTTATGATATGAACCAAAGAAGAAGAATAAACTTTAAACTACACTAAAAAAGACACAAAAAAATTGATTTTTTTTAAATTAAAATTGCACGAAACGAGGAATATAATATAACTACTCGTTTTCTCTCTCTTTTTTTTTTGTATTTAGAATAGAATAGTTGTATAGTTTTTTTTAATATCAGATAGAAAGAAAAGAAATGTCAGATGAAGAATTAGCACCTTTGGATATTCCATTTGATATCAACTTGTTTTCAGTCAATTTCCATCCAACCGATGATCTTGTTGTCGTCTCGGATGCAGAGGGAACTGTTAAACTGTTCCGTTATTCATTGGAAGAGAATCAACAACTACTCTCCCTTAGATTACATCATAGTGGTTGTAGAGAGGCTAGATTCTCAACAGATGGAAAATGTAATAGACAGACAGACATTCAAAAGAAACATTACACGTGTAGCTAGAGTATTCTTATTCTTACATACCTTTTTGTTTAAACTATTCTATTCGATTCTATTCTATTCTTTTTAGATATATTTACAGCATCGTCTGATCATTCAATGAAAGTAGTAGATGTAAATACAGGTCAAGTATTATTTACAAGAGAAGAAGCTCATGAGTATGTAAAAATAGAGAAAAGAAAAAAAGAAAGTAGTAATCTCTCTCTTACTTATATCTTTATTTCTTTCTCTTTCTATTATTTTTCACACAGTGAAGCAATTAATTGTTTAAATAGTAAAGATTTTATGTTATTTACTGGTGATGATGAAGGTACTGTTAAAGTATGGGATATGAGACAACAGAATCTTGTTTGCGAATTTCAAGAACATGCTGATTTCATTTCAGAGATTATTACTATAGACGATCGTCACATCATTGCAACAAGTGGTGATGGAGGTGTTTCAAAGTACAACTTTGTCAGAAGAAGTCTTGATGACATTTCTGAAAAGTCTGATAATGAATTATTATCTGTTATTTCAATGGAGGTACGACATAAAGAAAGAAAAGAACATTCCTCTTTAAAAGTGTATTTATATTTATATTTATTTTATTTAGGATAATCAAACATTGGTTTGTGGATCACAAGATGGAACGGTTTATATATACGATATTAATAATTTGGAACATCCAAAAAAATTCAAAGGACATCCATTATCTGTCGATACTTTATTAAAAGTAAATGAAACATCTTTTCTATCTGGTTCATCTGATGGTATTATAAGGTAAATATATATATATATATATATAAATATTTGGGTTGATTGATTGATTTACTTATTATTCTTTTCTTTTCTTTTATTTTTTTAGATTTGTTGGTCTTAAACCAAAGAAATTACTTGGAGTAATTGGTGAACATCAAGGATTCCCAGTTGAAAAGATGGCAATTTCAAGAGACAATAGATATTTGGGTAGTATTTCACATGACCTTTCCTTAAAGTTTTGGAATGTTTTCCATTTGTACAATGACGAGGATGATGAACAACGCAGCAGTAGCGCAAGTGGTGACGTTGGTCAAATGGATGAAGGACAGTACGAAGATGACGATCAAGAAGATGAAGACGACGATGATGAAGAGGTTGATATGGACAGTGAAGATGATAGCGACAGTAGCAGTGACGATGATATGATTGATAGTGATAGCGAAGTCATCAAACAAAACAAACAAAAACTAATGATGATGATGGCCGCCAAGGGTAAAGTAAAGGTTGGTGATAGTGATGAAGAAGAAGAACAAGATGAAAGTGAAGATGATGACAATAGCGATGATGAAGATGACAGTGACGACGACAACAATACACAAAAACCAAAAAAGGTCTCTAAAAAACAATTACATCAACAAGAACAAGATAAATGGAAACAAGGTTCACAACAACCAAACAAAAAGAAAAATAAAAAAAAAAAATCTTTTTATAATGGTCTTTAAAAGAAAAGAAAAAAAGATCAATATATATAATATTAATAATAATAATAATAATAACATGTAATATAAATCTAAAAAAAATATAATGATTTAATAATATTCTTGGAACTATTTTTTTTGGTTTTGTAGTCAATTTTCAAGCAATTGATTTCATTCAATATGTCATCTGAACAACAAATAATAATTAAAAAAGGGTGTATAGATAAATACATTGATGATCATTCAAATCATGGTAATCATATTAAAGATAAAGATATAATACTTCAAATCATTGATCTAGTAACAGATGATCAAAGAAATCAATCATTGTAAGAATCAAAGAAGATGAAGAGGAGGATATTTATATAAGGTGTACTGACATTATGTATTTGTTTGTTTAGTTTAATATTATCAGATACAGATAAACAGTTTAAAGCAACTATTCATTGTGTGGTATCTACGCAACTATCTAGATATTCTATTATAAAGATTAATGATTTCATTGTTGTTGGTGGTGGTGGTGGTGTTGGTAACCCTAACGATCATAGAATAGATATTTATGGATTAGAATGTATAGGTCATACTGATACTGCTACTGCTAGTGTTCCAATTGAAAAGTTTAAACTTGAAAAGGAAAAGGGATATGATAGAACAGCTTACCAACTATATCACAAAAAAGATATTGTCACTGAATTTAGTTTTGGTGTTGCACATGTTGACGATACGATCAATGCACATTATGCAAAGATACAACAACAAGGAAAACAAATACTACCTCTTTACAAGACTGGTGGAGCAATTGAATTGTATGGGTCATCAGGTACTGGTAAATCATACTGTTGTCTACTAATGGTAGCTAAATCAATACTACCAAAACAATGGAAACAATTGGATTTAGGTGGTAATCAAATGGGTGTCATCTACTTTGATAATGACTTTAAATTAGATCTTTTACAATTAAAAAGAATATTGTATATAATGTATATTTCAAAAAAAAATCAACAAACAAATAATAATAATAATAATAATATAGAAAATAATGAAATTGGAATGGATAAAGATGAAGAATTTAAAGAATTATTTCAACAATGTTTCAAGAGATTGTTTATTATTAAACCAAGAGATAGTGTTCAGTTGCGTATTACTTTGCGTCAACTCCCAACACTTTTAGAGTCGGCTGCAAAGACTGTCGATATTCATATGGTTGTGATTGATTCGATATCGGCCTATTATTGGTTAGACAGAGATGAAAGCTTGCAACATACAACTTCATGGGCCGAACCATTGAGCAATCTCATTGATCAATACAAAACCATTATCGTCGGAGTTAAACAAGCAATCTTTAAACGAGACATGGATTTTTCTGGAAATAGAAACAAATGGTTACCATTGGTAAAACATCGTTTCTTTTTCTCTCCTCATTCCTTTTCTGATCAATCATCAAATAATAATAATAATAATAATAATAATAATAATAATCATCAAAATAACAATAATAATAATTATCATTTTACTTTATTTACACCAAATATTAAATAAATTAAAATTAGTAAATAATTATAATGTTAGTATATGTAGTTTCGATTAGAGACTTACTATTCTAGTGAGAACAAGACTTGGATTTGAGGTGACCCCTTGCGGATTTAGGTCACCATGTAGACAGTCATTGCAAAAGAATATCGGGTTGCAGAATACTCTGAACCACCGAACAATGGTGACCCAAATCCGCAAGTTGATGGTTGTACTTTTCTTGTTAGGTCCTCAGGTAGGCTTCGCGTCTTCGAGTTAGTCTTTTATAGCAATTGGTTTAATTTGGGAAATGATTTTGAATCCCTATTTGAGGGATATTTAATAAAAGTTTTATTTGTAATAAATGTTTAAAAAAACGATCGATTTACCAGTGGTTGACAAATGGTGATGCTTTGATCTAAATCTGTGTTTCTCTGTCATGATACCCTATATTGTTTGAGTTATTCTTTCTTCAGTGAGATGGCAATTTAATACTATTACAGTATCTCCAGGTTTTTGTCAAAGATGATACTTTGATGATGCTATTATAAATGAATGCAAAATTAAAATCTATTGATTGAAGTAATAAATAAACTTTCTATTGAAATATGATCATACCCTATTTTTTTGTTCACTTTTCAACATGCTGATGTTTGTAGTTTTCACCACAGATAAAATTAATAAAGGTTGGGTGGGGGAGTGTGGATTCAAAATAAAAAGTATTTTCTACATTTTTGTTGAACATCACATATTAATAAACCATCACCAGTACATTCACAAATTTATTTATTATCTCTCATTCAAATTTACTTTTCTTTTTTTTTTTTTACCAATCATTTTCATTTTAGAAATTATTATTATTTAATCATCAAATATTTTAGAATTAGGAAACTATGCAAGCATCAGTTGAAAAGATAACAACACATGCACATCATCATATGGCATGTAGTGAGAGATTTTTGTATCCATCCATCGTAGCAGTGGCAGGTGTAGCATTGTGGAGTTGTCAAGCATATAGTGTTAAACGTGCCAGAGATAAATGTGGTGTAAGGATTAAATTAAATTAAAAAGCAAAGATATGAAAAGGATTGATTCTTTTTTCATCCATTAATTTTTTCTTTTCTTTTTTTAATCTATCTAGATTCATGCACCAGCAGTTATTGGTGATGAGGAATTAGAACGTACATTGGTAAATTATCAACATACCACTGAGGCGTTACCAGCTATCATTCCCATGACCTATGTCTTTTCAGCTTTGATTTGTCCAAAGAGAGCTTTGATTCTTGGACTTGGATGGGTTGCTACTAGACTTGCCTTTAGTTGCTCATGTATTTGTGGTGGTCACAAGGAAAACAACTGCTTTGTAAATATAAATATTTTTAAAAAACAATCAATGACAAATATATAAATATATATATTAACAAATTCCATCATTTCTTAAATATTTTAGAAAAATTTGCATATGGTAGTTGGACATGTGAGTCATTTCGGTCTATTATTTGGAAGTGCCTATGGTGTACTTGAAGCTGTTTTAAAGAGATGTGATCATTTAAAGAAATGTTGTTAGAAGAAGAAGAAGAAGAGGGGAGTTATTGAAATCAAAAGAAACAAAAAAAAAAAGAAATATGTGAATTATTAATTAATGAATATCATCTTAACCATTTTAATTACAAAAAAATATAAATGAATGAATAAATAAATCAATATTCTAGGCTACTACACTAGGTTATCCTAATAAACCATTATTAATTCCTCTTTTTGGATTGTTGTTGTTTGGTCTTGGTCTTGGTCTTGATCTTTGTTGTTGTTGTTGTTGTGGAGGTTGACCATTTCTTGAAGAAATATTATTTCTTCTTGTTGTAGGTTGTTGAGAACCCTGATTATTATTATTATTTCTTTGTTGTTGTTGATGTTGATTATTTTTTTGATTAGTTTCAAAAATGAAACTTTCCTTTGCTTGGATGACCTTTAATTTTTTCAATGTCTTTTCAAGATCAGACTTTTTAAAGAAACATCTGTATACACATAATCCAATCAATGCGACGACAACTACAACCAATAGAATGATAATAATCAATCCAGATTGATTCAATACTTTTGATGACGAACCGGGCATAATAACAGTTTCATTAAATGAAACTCCATCAGTATTGACACAATCAGATGGTGTACTACTACTTAGATTTGTTTCACACATTGAACTCTAAAAGAGTGAGAAAGAGAAAGAGATTAAAAATAAATAAAAAGGTAATACTATTATTATTATTATTATTATTCTATACGTACATCACCAGGTGAAGTATAATTTAAAAATTCGGTACATGTGTTTGTTGATGGATCATAGAATCCATCACAACCTGGTACGGTTTGAAGACTACCACTTGTCGTTGAATAAAATAGTAGGTTTGGTGAAGAGTCTGGAGTTGATGGCAGAGTTGGTTTTGGTCTACAAAGACCTAGTACTGGATCGGCTACTTGATCCATTGTACATCTAGGTGTTGGAATACAATATAGTTTGGATTGTCTTGATAATGTGATCGTACCAGATGGACATGTGCCAACAGTCGATAGATACTGTGGATCAGGAATATATGTATTGGTGGTGGTAGAAAAATCAACCTTTACAGGTTCATATTGTTTAATTCCACCAATAATACCAACATTACAATATTGACTTGGATTTAATGGTTCCTAAAAATAAAAACAAACAATAAAATTAACAATCTATTATTCCTAACTTCTTATTCTTTTACATACAAAACTTCTAATTGTAAATGATAATCTCGAAGTTTTACCAGAATTGATTAATAATTGTTTTGGGTCTGTTTGATATTTAATTGGTTCACAGTCACCAAGAGTTGAACAACAATTCAACAATGAGATTGAATAGACACTTAGACCACTACCAATATTTTCAATATCAATGTATAGATTTGTGATGGTTGTATATTCATCCAAGATTGGGTCAACTCCAACATTCTTTACAGTTGGTAGGGGACTTGATTTGACGATTGGATAGGTTTGAGAATTGAACCAAATGGAATGTAATGACACTAGATCTTGTTTTGGACAATTCAATACAACAACGTTTTGAGTAGAGATGCCTAGCTGGGTCGAGAGGATAGAATCCTTTAAGTTTAGAGTACAATTGGTCAAGATTGATTCTAACAATGAGGCAACTGCAAATTGGTCATATGGATTATCAGTACTTGTGGCAACTGTATTTTTGGAGCATACATCTGACATGGGTTGATTGTTATATGTAGTGGTTGACATTCCAATCTTTTGTGGTGAGTCTCCAACATATGACTTTGCAATAAACTTTGGTGACAATGGTAATGGTGGTTGTGATAATACCAAGTAGTAGTTATCAATGAATGCATTTAACCAAGTCAAATCAGATATATCAGTGTACACTGATACATTTAAAGATGACGATTGGTACGATTGCATAGGCGAGAATGGAACGTTCAATGGTACTGGTTTAAGCACAGATAATTGTCCAGTAATATTGATTAATGGAGCTGGCAGCATTTGGTAGATTAGATTTGGAATGGAATTATTGTATGCAATTGCATTGGCAATGAGTGGTAGACCAACGGAATCACAACAAAACTTTCCAATACAATTACCTTGATACAATGATTCATTTCTCTTGATTTCATATCCATTTTTAAGTGATCCATAAAAGTTGGTTTTAATCTCTAAAACAAGAAATATAAATATAAGAAATAAAAGTATCTTTGGATCAAATAAATTAAGATAATATTACTTACCAATTTGAGCGATATTTGAAGATACAGTAAATTCAATTGGTTTAGGTACCCATACATCACTGTTACTATCAATGATTTGAATCATCTCTTTTAGAAAAGATTAGTATCACATGTGATAGATGATGTTTTGAGTATGATCTTACCGTTTGAAATGATTGAAGATTGATAGGTATTCTGATTTGATCGAATTGATAATCCCCAAGAAGGATCAACATTCATATATGATTTGATCTGTTCTTGTTGTTGATCATTTGACGAACGTGTAAATTGAACATTCGATGCAAGTAATAGTACGACAAGTAAAAGTATATCTATTCTAATTTTCATCTCTCTTTCTCTTTCTATCTCTATGTATCTCTATCTATTGATTGATTGATGAATGAATGAATGATTCATTGTCGTTCTCTTTGTTGTTGACCCTATAGAGGATCACATGATACTTTGTAAAACTATGATAGTAGGCGAACTGTAAACTCAGACTCCAACTTTATATGTACTCTAATTTTAAAAAAGTCCTCACTGAAAGATTTGATGGTGAACCTGCACACAGAGATCGCTTGTTTTATGATGCTTAAATTAAAGAAATCAGATTATTTATTTGTACAATAACATATAGCTAGCTAGCTAATTGCAGGATGGATAAAACAAGTTCATCTGCATCATCATCATCATCATCATCGACCACCACTTCAACTACAACAACAAGTAATAATAATAATAATAATCAAACATCATCATCAACATCGAATTTATTACCTCCACCACATCACTCTAATCAACAACAAACATCAGACGCATACTATAAGAATCATCTTGATACTCTAACCAAAGAGATCAAGTTGTTAAAGACTAAATTAGATACATTTGAAAGAGAGAATAAAGATTTAAAGAAATCAATCTATGATTTAACTGGAAGGTACAAAAGAATTAAAGAAAGATAGACAATACATCACAATACAATATATATATATCTTTACAAACATCTCTCTAACTACTTTTTTTGTTCTTGTTTCTTTAGATATGATCAATTAGTTTATCAAACAGGAAAGACACAAAAACCTTTCAATATCGATGCAATCTTGTCATCTCAAACACCAGAGGTTACATCATCGATTGATGCATCGACTACTATACCATCACCACCACCTTCATTGGTCAGTGATGGTTCATCATTGACAGAGGAAAGATTATTATCACAGACACAAAGATCGACCAACAAGAAAATGGATGAAAGACACTTCTTTTACAAGTTTACTCTCAAAGGTCACAGTGCCAGTGTCTACACTGTCAAGTTTTCACCATGTGGAAAGATGTTGGCTTCTGGTTCATTTGATAAAAGTGTAAAGATTTGGGATGTATTTAATCAAAGAGAAGTATGTAAAGAAAGAAAAAGAACAAAAGAACAATCAAGTGTTAATTAATTTACTCATTCATTCATTCTTTATTTTTTTTGTTTAGATTACAACATTTTCAGATCATTCAGTAAATGTTAGTGAATTGGCATGGAATAATGATAGTACAGAGATTATATCTGGATCATATGACAAGTCTGTTAAATTGTGGGATTTACAAACATCAAAGAATCTTGTATCCTATTCTACATCTGGTTTTATTTTGGATGTTATGTATTCTCCGATCGATAATAATATCTTTTTCGCTGGAAATACTCAAAATCATATCATTGGTTTTGATAAACGTACTCCAAATTCTATATTTGTTATTGAAAATGATTCACTTGTAAATGCTTTGTACGTATATAAGAAAAAGATATATAAAACAAAGCATTTGGAAAATAATTTAACAAATTACTTTCACTTTTTTTTTAGACATGTATTTAAAGATGGACAACATATTTTAACAGGAGATTCAAATGGTAAATTAAAAACATGGGATATTAGAAAAGCAACCAAAGTATCATTACCAGAAGGATTCCATAACGATAATGTTGATGGAACGATTGGTAGTTACTCTTCAAACAGTAATAATTGTTTGATTGACACTTATGAATCTGCACCTGAAAATCGTCCAATCTCTTCAATTTGTATGAACCTTGGTAGTGAAGGTGATGATGGTAGATTCTTGGCTGTTAATAGTTATGATAATGGTAAAATAGAAAGAAAGAAAAAGAACAAAGAAAATATGAATGGGATGAATATATTAATTAATTTTTTTTTATATTTTTTTAGTATTAAGAGTTTATGATAGATCAAAAGTATCAATTGTATCACATCCATATTCATTGGCACCAATGAAATTATTACATTCGTTGACAGGTCATAAAAATAAGAATTGGCCAATTAAAAGTTCGATCTTTGTTGGCAAAGATTATAGTGATGGACCTAATATTAAACAAGGAGGTGAAGTTAAATTGGAAGATGATGACGATGATGAAAATAGAAACGAAGATATCAATCAATCAGTGTTGTTGGCAACTGGTAGTGCAGATTACAACGCCTATCTGTTTGACATTGGATTCAGTAAACAAAGTGGAAGATTATTACAAAAATTAGAAGGTCATACAGATCGTGTCTACTCTGTTAAATTCCATCCATCCGAACCAATCTTGGCATCTTGTTCTGCTGATAGTACCATCAGATTATGGTCTCCTAAAAAGAAATTATAAAAATAATAAACAAAAAATAAAAAAAAGAATTCATAAAAAAAACAAAAGTTCTTCTTTTGATTCTTTTGTCAAAAGAAGACACAAGACATGTGATTTCTTTTCTTTTCTTTTCTTTTTTAGTGTATAGGTTAGACGAGGTTGGGGTTAGGGTTTGTCTTCTCTTCTTCACACCTACGAAAGAATAAATGGGGTGAATAAAAGAATAGAGAGAATATTGATATTTTTTAATTTTATTCACACCCAATCAATGAATCAATACTACTAGCTGACTTTCGAAAAGTATAAATTCATTGTTTGTACAATCATTCAAATATATATTTAATCATATATATAAATAGATTTATAAAATGGATAAAAGTAATTTAATTGTTTTTATGACTGGTGCATCTGGTTATATCGGTGGATCAGGTAAGTAAATACAAATATATTCAAACAAGAATGAACTCTTGTATTGATTCATATTTCTAATTTCTATTTTTTTTTTGTATTTAGTATTTACAAGTTTACTAAAAGATGGATATAAAGAGATTAGAGTATTGGTTAGACAAAAAGAACAAGCTGAAATCTTTAAAAAGATTGGAACCAATGTAACACCTGTGATTGGGTCATTGGATGATAGTGATCAGTTGGAAAAGGAATCACATAATGCCAATGTTGTATTGAGTACTGCTGATGCCGATCATCTACCATCTGTAAAGGCCATGTTAAAGGGGTCTAGTTCAAGACACCAAGACAAGAATTCACCATCTGTATTCATTCAAACGAGTGGTACTGGTCTATTGACATGGCAAGATTGCTTCTACACTCAACCCTATGACGACAACAACTATGATGACATTCACAAACGTATTTCAATCACTGCACCACACAGAAATGTTGATCAATGGATCTTTGATCATTGTCCATCAACCAATGGTCTCATGACTGCCATCATTGCACCATCAACCATCTATGGTATTGGAAGTGGACCGATCAAAAAGAATAGTGTTCAAGTTATGATTCTTGCATTGGCAGCTGTGGCTAGAAGAAAAGCTGGTTATGTTAATCCAGAAGGTTACAAGGCTCAATGGGATAATGTCCGTATCGAAGATGTCGTACAACTCTTTTCATTACTCATTGATGGTTTATTAAACAAATCAATCGATCATGGTACAAATGGTTTCTATAGTTGTTGTGCAAATACTCATACTTGGGGAGAGTAAGTAGAAAAAAAAAAATAATTATTATTTAATCCAAACAATTCAATTTATATTAACCTTTTTGATTTAATTTATTCTATTTTTTTTAGTGTTGCAAAAGAATTAGGAAAAGAATTAAAGAAAAGAGGATTGGTTGATACTGAAGAGATATCTGAATTTGAAAAACAGTATGTCGATCGATACTTGTGGGGAGAAAACAAAAGACAATGGATGGATAGTAGAGGTCTTTCAAATAGATCTAAAAAGATTGGTTGGAAACCATCTGGAAAGAGTCTATTTGAAACTATCCCTTCTGAATTGGATTATTTAATCTCTATTGATTATTTTAATAAGAATAAATAAATCAATCAAACAAAATGATTTTAAATTTAAGTTCAATTATTTTTATATATATATAAATGTATCTTTTTCATATTGAAATAAGGTTGTTGAATTAATTTCTTTGTATTTCACACTTTTAAATGTAATTGTTGTTGTTGTAGTTGTAATTGTATTAATACTAGTAAAAGTATCTATCATTTTATTTGTATGATGAAAAACACCGCTTTGATCAAAATGCGCACCTTGATTTGATTTGATAGAGCCAGCTGGCTATTTATTTATTTATTTATTTATGCTCAATACATTTATTTATAAATAGGAGATAATATTAAACCATCATTTACATTAAAACATAAAACCGGTTCATAATAATATCCTCTATTATTATTATTATTATTATTATCTATACTATTATTTTCTTCTTGTCTTTGTCGTTGTCCACTTTGATCTAGTGATGAGATTTGATCAAAAGGATTTAATAAACTATTTTGATTGATTGTTGAAGGATATGAAATGTCGTTGGTATTACCCAAGACACACATATTTGAATACTCGTCAAACCAATTATTGACAATGACAGTCGATTGAACAATACTGTTAAATGGACCAAGTGTACGTAATAGGTGACCATTGTTGAGATCCCATAGTCTGATACATTTATCTTCACCGCCAGACGCCATAAATTGATTGTCGCTACTGACAGACACTCTTAACAAACTATGACTATTGACGTGATGTTGATACTCTATGACTTGTTTTCCAACTCTCCGATCCCACTTTACCATTTTACCATTCATCGTAGACACTATTAAATAATTATCGTCTTGTGGTAGAAACTTTAACGAACATATTGGACTATTGACAATTGATTTGATATCTTTTTCTTTTGGATTCTTTTTTTGATTAAATTGTAATGTTGTCGTTGTTGTCGGTGTTGTTGTTGTTGTTGTTGTTGTTGATATTGCTTCTGGTAATCTAATATCAAATAATCTTAATTTACCATCACGTGAACCACTTGCCAATAATTGACCACTAGAGTTGAAATCCAAAGAGAATATATCACTTTTTGAAACAAATAATGATTTTAAAGGTTGACCGCCGCCGCCACGTAATGCATCAACCAGGTAAATAGTGCCACTTCCACCAACTGCCAAAACTTGTCCGCTAGGATGCCATTCTACAGTCCAAGCACTTTGTCGATGCTCCAATTCAAAGGAAAAGATTTGGTCATGATCAAAAGGTGATAAAACCTTGATACTACCATTACATCCTTCTCCACCCAAATAAGATATTGCCACACCTTGACCTTGAAACGATCGTATCGATGATATTAAACTATTACTCGACTTTTCAGTAGTATAATTTAAAAACAATGATAACTTGTTTCTCGATGATGGTATAGGTTTGGTTTGATCCAACAATGAAAATGTAAAACTACTACTATTAACTATATTATAATTACTTGAATTTAAATTATGTGATGAAGATGAAGAAGATGAAATAGAAGATGTTGTTGATTGTTGATCATCATCATCTGATGATATTTGTTGTTGTTGTTGTTGTTTTTGATTTTCAACACCAATCCAAAATGTACCCAATGATCCAGTTCTATGATTTGTACATATTAAACCAGATGCAACTGATATCTTGTCTGATGGTTGTTGTCCATTATTATTATTATTATTGATTGATATTGTTTGCATCAATGGTTCAATCATTGAAAATTCACTTGTATTTAAGAATTTAAATTGCAACGGTTGTTGTTGTTGTTGTTGTTGTTGTTGACCATCTTCTTCTTCTTCTTCTTTATCTTTATCTTTTTCATCATCATTATCCATTATATACAATTCCTTTAATTTACATGATAAACATTTCTTTGTACCAAACAACTCTCTTTTCAAGAGTAAAGAGTTGAATGCGACACACCCATTTAATCTCTCCTTATCATTCTTGTATTCTTTCTTTTCTTCTAATTGACCAGTACTAATCTTTAATTGTTTCATTGCCGCCTCTGCTTGTTTTCTATTTTCTCTTGTAATCTTAAAATGTCGATCTTTTTCTTGATCATAATAATATCCTGGTATCTCTTCTATCATTTTGCCATTACTTGTAGTTATAGTTGTAGTTGTAGATGAATCAGATTGAATTGATGATACTTTTCTTTTCTTTTCATTAATCTTGCTGTGATTATTGTTATTAGAGTTGTTATGATTAGTAGTACTATTGCTATTATTACTATTGTTATTAGAGTTATTACTCCCTCCAGCTCTTCTAGGTATTGGAGGAGTATCAAAAGAATTTGAGCGACGATTCATTGGTCACGTCGATTGGTTCTAATAATTTGATTGATTTAATAAATATATAAATGAATGATGATCAGTTTGTATTGTTGGGCAAAAAAAAAGGAAAAATTGATCAACATTCATTGTTGATGTTCAATCAATAAAGAAGAAATAAATATTTATTTATTTATGTTCATATGTACCATTATTAATATTATTACTATGACCAAACAAAGAATTTGAATGATATGATTGTTGTTTTGATGATGATAAAATAGTACTTGGTTGGATCATCACCAATTTCTTTTTTGTTGGAGATTCTTGGTTATTAAAATAGGTTGGTGGTATGTTTGTTGAAAATCTACCACTATTATTACCATTACTATTACTATTATGGTTAATATTTGATGGTAAAATTGATGATAAAATATTACTCTTATTATTATTATTATTATTATTATTTCTATTAGTATTATAAATATTATTATTATTATTATTATTAGACTCTTCTTCAATTTCTTCTTCTTCATCCAAATTAATGTATGAAACTATTTTACTGCTACTTTTATGACTACTTTTAGTTGGTGGTTTTGTTGATGGCGCTGGTTGTTGAATCAATTGTTTATAAATATTGGTGTTATTATTATTTTGATTATTATATTGATTTATATGGTTATTTAGATTTTGGTATGGATTGACATGGTTATTATTAAAATGATTATTATTATTAATTGAATAAACAAATGAATTATTATTACTATTATTTTCACCATTATTATTATTTTGATTATAGTTCTTATTATCAATTGAACTAGCGTTATTATTATGATCTTTAAATAATAAAGTTCCTTTTTTTTTAGATGGTTGTTTTGATTCTAATCTTTCATCTTCACCATCATCATCCAAATCTTGATATTTCTCTGTTTGTGATTCCTTCATTAATTGATAAAATGATGACATTGAGGGATCATCTCCAATTAAAGTAAAAAAGGTTTCATCATCATCAACATCTATTACAGTTTGAATTGGTTGTTTTTGTTGAATTTGTAATTGTTGTTGATTTTGTCGTTGTAGTTGTAGTTGTTGTTGTTGTCCCGTATTATTATTATTATTATTATTATTAAAATTAAAATAATTATTTATATTTACATTATTAAATGGTTTGATAGTTTCTATTTTTGTATTATTTACAATTTCATTCATTTCCAAAGCTCCTCTAAAAAATCAAACAAATTAATATAAATATATTTCTTTTTCTTTTTCTTTTTTTTCCTTTTTCTTTTTTTTTTTACCTTAAATCTAAATGATTAGTTAATAACTTTTCTTCTTGACCATCAAGAGTTTCACCTATGACTTCCAATTTGTTACAAATCATTGGCCAAATTCTATCGTCTAGGGTACCTTTGCCAATGAGATAGTGAATGTTTACTTCATTTTTCTGACCGATACGATGAACACGATCTTCTGCCTGTCGCAAAACACCGGGTGTCCAATAGAGCTCTGCAAAGACGACAAGTGAGGAAGCGGTCAATGTGAGTCCTGTTCCAGCGGCAGTTATACTGAGAAGGGCCACTTGACATTTGGGTTGATTTTGAAAACGTGTGACATTGGCCTCTCTGACTGCAGGTGGAGTCGATCCATCAATACGAATGTAAGATATTTGATGTGACCTAATCTCTTGTTCCAATCCATTCAACACATCGGAATGATGAGCAAATAGGAGGAATTTCTTGTTTTCCAAGATCAATTGAGTCGTGTAGCTTTTAGCAGCTGCCAACTTTGCCTGTCCAGTCAGCAGATAGAGATCCATAACATGTGCTCTTTCATTCTCTCCAGCCGCTCCCTTTCTCACCATTGACTCTTTGTTTGAACGTGAGAATACAAGTGCAGCCTTTTGTTCGTACAATAGTTGGTGGTCACGTGGAACATCGACCACTACCTGTGACCGATGTTTTGGTGGGAGTTCTCGTAGCACTGAATGCTTGTGTCTACGAATCATGACGGATCTGAGAAGATAGTGGAGTTCGGCAAGATGTGAGTTTCCACTAAAGTCCCAGCCATACCGACCCTTTACACCCGCACAATACCGTTTGCCAAAGTCTTCCTGCTTGTCAAAGATGGGTGCGTCCAATGCAGCCAATTGAGGATACAACTCGATGGGACGTGAAAGTGCGGGTGTGCCAGTCAATAGAATACGGATGGTTGCGCTTTGCACCAGACTGAGTACAGCCGACGTTCTCTTGGCATCGACATTTTTGAGGTAATGTGATTCGTCACAAATGATGGCTCTAAAATGTTGATTTGCCAATTTCTTTTTATAGACTCGTGTCACCAAATCATAAGACACGATATTAACCAATTGATCGGCACTATTATCACCCGACATCATGATTGAAATGTCTTGTTGTGTGATATCTGATCGAAACCATCTCTGCACCTCTTTGGACCAATTGTGACGAAGTGAACTTGGACAAATAATCAGTAGTGGCCAATACGACCTAAAGTAGCTGGCAATACCCAACGCCTGTATCGTCTTGCCAAGACCCATTTCATCGCCAATCATACATCGTCCATTATGTTGGACGCCAAACAATACGCCTCTTGCTTGAAATGGCAACAATGAATCGAGCAATGCTTTTGGTATCCTCTTTTCCAAATCCTTTTTTGATATTTCCGATGTTTCGTGTTGTTGTTGTTGGTGTCGATCGATAAATGAAAATACATTGTTTGGAATGTAACTAATCTGAACTTGGTCCATTATAATCCTCTCTTGAACAATCTTGGCTCGCATTTGATGGTATTGGCCAAGTGGCATGACATAGATTTGATCACGATCTGCACGAGCTCCAAACTCGAGCATCAATGATATAATCTTTCTTGTCCCTTTGGCATGTGGTACAATATAAGTAGTTCCAACCAAATCATGATCAATCAATTGAAAATCTACCAATATATCTCCTCCCATCCTACAAATCGTTTTCTTTGTTGTTGATATTGAATGTGAAATAATTGGTTCTATATCTATTATATGTGATGTTGTAGCGGTAGTAGTAGAAGTAGTAGTAGAGGTATTGATATGGTTTGATGTTGTTGTTGTTGAAATTTGATTTGGAATGTCTATATGATTATCCAAATCAATAACCTTGTCTTGATAAATTGGTGGAGTAGGTGTAAATATCTTTTTTTGTTGTTGTGATTGAGATGATGGTTGTTGTGATAAATAATCGCTATCATCATCATCATTATCCAAATCAATTGCAAGATGTTCTTGTTTTTTAACTTTAACATTTTCTTCATCATCATCGGAACTAATTTCAAATATTCTATCATCATGAAATGATAAAGATACATTTGATGTATCATCATGATCCTCTTGTTTTACCACTACCTCCTCCTTTTTAACAACATTATTATTATCATAGAAATTATAATTTAATGTATGTCCATTTGTTGTTGTTGTAGTTGTCGTTGTAGTTGTTATTTCTTGTTTCAGTTCTTCTTGTTTTACTTGTTCTTGTTGTTCTTGTTTTACAACATTTAATTCTTCCTCTTCAAAATAGATTTGACTTGGTTGACCAAAGGTTGTTTGATAGGTTGGTTGAGATGGCTGAGAGGTTGTTGATGGTTGAGATGGTTGACTTTGTTGTTGTTGTTGTAGATTATTGAACATTAAAGAGTAATGACATTCTTTTATAGGACAGATAAAGATGGTTGAATCTTTAAAAAGTCCATCTCGTGAAGGTTCAATTACTTGACATGGAATACCATGATCTGAACATAAAATTGAATCATCTATCAATTGATATTGTTGTTGAAGTTGTTGGTATTGCTGATATTGTTGTGGTTGTTGATGTTGTTGACTAGTATGTTCTTCTTCTTGTGCACCTCCTCCTGACATTATTTGAATGAGCAGCAGCAAGACAGATAAGATATGAATGATATAAGAAGATTTGTAGATGTTGTTCTCTTTCACATGTTGTAGAACATCAATAATAATCCTATAATTAAATTAATCTATCTGTTTATAATGAAACAAACTATTTCCCCTTTTTGAAATTATAGAACACACGTAGATAGTATTGAAATTAAAAAAAAAAAAAAAAAAAAGAAGACAAGACGAAAGTAGAAACTATAGTACTATTGATTTCTTCGAAATTAAATGATTAATAATAATAAATAAAGATTAAAGAAGAATTTGATCAATTACAAGCAAGTTGGTAATGATGATCTATTATAATATTATTATTATCTTTTCTCCGAGAAATAAAATAATAATAGGTGTAACGATTGTTTTTGTTCTGGAGCTTAAAGATTTATTAACAAGACACTACTACTCTTCTAAATTTAGAATGACTTGAGGAAACCCTTTTGTTGAGCGAGTCTGTTAAGAGCTTCGTCGGATTGGGCGTTGTTACGGAGGAAACCACAGAAGGCGAAAGTGGTTTGTTCACCAGTGTAACATCCTTCAGAGTTGACGTGACCAATGTTGATTTGGACGGAAGCGTGATCCTTGGCAGTGATCAAACGGTTGGTGGCAGAGCACTTACGTGGGATGTATAATTCAACAAGCTTTCTATCAGCGTTCTCCATTGCTATAAAGTGATAGTGATGAGATGAGAGGTAGTTGTGGTAGGGTAGGGGGATAGTTGTTAGTTGTGTTCTGTGTAATCTGCTGTGTCTTTCTCTTTTCTCTTTTCTCTCTTCTATCTCTTCTCTCTTTCTACATACTTATATTCTTTGTAGGGGGTCGACAAAAGATCTTCTTCTAAAGTTTGAATCCATCATGTAAACTCTGCTGTTGGTCAGTGCCAAAGCGCAGAGAGCTCAGAGTTTTTTTTTTTTTTTTTCGAGCAAAATTTCATTTGAAATTAGAGAAAAGTTTGCCCGCTTCAATGGTCATCGTCTTTATCATCTTTGCAAAAGAAGATATGATATCATTTCTTATTATAGTTATTTGTTAAAGATGAAACATCTTGTTATTATAGGTGGAGGGATTGCAGGTATTACATGTTTAGAATCCTATCACTATTTGAAACCAAATGATAAAATTACTTTATTATCTTCATCACCTCTTTTAAAAGTAAGATGAAGATAAGATAATAAACATGATGAGTACTATAGTATAACATTACATTCATTAACAATTATAGTCAATTAAACAAGTAAATAGATTAACAAAAGTATTGGAAGAGATTCAAGTTGAACAAGTTACAATTGATGAAAAGATTGAAAAGTTTACAACAAATGATGATAATAATAATATCACTATATCGATTAGTAATGTCTACAAAGTTGATACTGTAAATCAATTGATTTATTCTAGATCTATTGATAATAATGAAGAGGTAGAATCAAAGATTCATTATGATTATCTTTGTATTTGTACAGGTGCAAAACCAAATGTATGTATCAAACAATATATTATAATCAATGTCTTTGTTACTTATATTCTTCTCTTTACTTTTTTTTTTTTTTAGATTATACCAATGAAATCAAATTAAATGTTAAAAGAATTTATTATTGGAATAAGAGATACAGATTCAATAAATGATTTACATGATAGATTAAAAGGAGCAAAAAGGATAATGATTGTTGGTAATGGTGGTATAGCAATGGAATTGATACATGAAATTAAAAGTTGTCAAGTTGTTTGGGCAATCAAAGATACTCATATTGGTAATGCATTCTTTGATCAAGAACCTTCATCTTTTCTTTATAATCATTATTATAAAAATGGAGAGGATAATAATAATAATGAAGATGAAGATGATAAGAAAATTGATAATGAAATTGATAATAATCTAAGTATGTAATTGATTAATGAAATAATATAATCCATTTACTTATTATTATTTTAATTTTATAGAAATTTATGATTCTAATAATTTAGATATTTATGATAAAAGTAAAGTATCTAGAAATAGTTCAATTGGACCTCAATGGTATAATAAATACAAGTTTATTGGTAATGTAGATGCAAGTAAAATCAATCAAAAGAATGAAAATATAACAATTGAGTATGGTACCACTATTAAATCGATCGACAGTGATGACGGTTGTGAATGGAATATAATGGTTGAACTGGAAAATGGAAAATCATATGGTTGTGATTTTGTGGTTTCTGCAACTGGTGTTTTGACAAATGCAATGGAAATTGATTTTACTCCACAAATGCCAGATGCCACCATTCAAAATGGTTATACTGTCAATGGTGAAACAATGCAAACTACCATTCCAAATATTTTTTCAGCTGGTGATGTTTGTAATATTCAATGGAATCATCAAACCAACAACAACAACAACAATCAATATCATCAAAATTGGTTTCAAGTATGAAAATTAAATTTTAAATTATATATTCAAAACTAATGAATTAATTTTTTTAATTTCTACTTTTTAGATGAAATTATGGAGTCAAGCACGTATAATGGGAAGATATGTTGCACAATGTATAGCAAAAAAATCTGTAGAAAAAGAGATCGATGATATTGACATTATTAGTACAAGTTTTGAATTTGAATTGTTTGCGCATGTCACTCGATTTTTTAATCTAAAGGTTGTGATGCTTGGATTTTACAGCTTGGATCTATTGATTCAGAATGAACCAAATATAGACATGGATGAAATTAAATCATATAGTCGAACAGATTATTCGTCATCTCAATATGTTAGAATTTATCTTTACAAGGGAAGGTTAAGAGGTGCCATTTTAATAGGTGAAACAGATTTAGAGGTATGGAAAAAAAAAATCATTTTTTTTATAAAATTTATTAACAATAGATCATCATGTATGTATTGTATACAATATATATATAGGAAACATTTGAAAATTTAATTTTAAATCAAATTGATTTATCAAGATATGGTCAAGAATTATTAAATCCAAATATTGATATTGAGGATTATTTTGATTAAATTTTAAATGTAAAGGGCAATGCATAGTATTTGAATAAAAATTGAATTTTATTTTTGTCTTAAGCAACTTCTACTCATAGACCATTCGACTCACCATGGTGACATTGACAATAGAGACAACAGATACGACATGGACTTGAGGGACTGGATCATACAAAACTGACAAAGAGAGTGAGTCACTACTTTGATGATCTACACAATTAGCCAACAATCCTCTCATCACACCATTTCCGACTAGACTCTTGACAAATGTAAGCCCCGCTCTAGTCATTCTATTATTTTTGCTAAACATTTCAAGAGGACTTTAGTATATAGGCAAAGAATTATAGATGAGCAGTTCTACGAGTTTTGTAGGTCTCTAGGTAGTATTTACAAATTGATGAAAAAAGAGGGGCACTTTTTTTTTTAAAGTAATTCTTTTCCATAAAAAAGGAGGGCCTTTTTTTTTAAGTAATTCTTTTCCTGGTCTCTCCTATCGGGAAGAGTAGTACTCAGAAGTTACAAAGTTTTATTAATTATACATTTTAATTGACCAGCAAGAAATAAAGATTATCTCAAGAAGAATTAAAGTTAATTTGTTCTGTGGGATTGTCCATGTCTATGATGCATGTTTTATGGGCGTTGATCATTTATCAAAAAGGATGGCCGTTTTTTTTTTTAAAGTAATTCTTTTCCTGTTCTCTCCTATCGGGAAGAGTAGTACTCAGAAGTTACAAAGTTTTATTAATTATACATTTTAATTGACCAGCAAGAAGTAAAGATTATCTCGAGAAGAATTAAAGTTAATTTGTTCTGGGGGTTGTCCATGTCTATGATACATGTTATATGGACGTTGATCATGTATCTTATTGTATAGTGTCAAGCATGTTGGATTGTTTTGGGTTGTTGCTTGTTCTAAAAATAAATTGGTTAAAGATATCGCTTTTTTTTTTTTTTTTTTTTTTTTTTTTTTTCTCAGCACTATAGGCTGTAATATTGTGTTATATAATTATTCTATGTTATTATTATTTAGTAAATTATTATATTATTAATATTATTATTGATAGATGAAGAGAGAATAGAAGAAGATGAAGGTGTTGACGCAAATATGGCACCCATCTTCTTCTAATTTTAGTACCATACTTGCGGTGAAACCTTAAGCCTTGGGTGCGTCCAAAACCGACTGCCGCTCTCAACTCTCGCGCCGATTTACTCCCCATTGGGGACACTCGTCTTTACGTGTTGCATATTGTATTTGAGATGTCAGATGGCTTTCTATCGCGACGGCCCAGTAGGTCCTCCACTACCTTCCCGTTACTTGTTGCAGTCTGGCTACCCAATCTCCTACTGAGAAGGGGAAACTAACCCGGTCATCCTTCCGTGGGGGTGTCCTGTCTCTAGATCCCTAGAGTCGGATTCAAAAAGGATGGCCGCGGGTGTATTTTTGTGCTGCGCTATTTATTTCGCACATCTAAAAGTCAGGATGGTGTAGTTGGTTATCACAAAACCTTAACACGGTTTGGGTCATGGGTTCGATTCCCATTCTTGATAAAGTTTTTTGTTTGCTTTTTGGTTTTTTTTTTTGCTACAGGGGGATCAGAGTTTTTTCATCATATTCTTATAGTACTCATTGTTTCCTACATTTCTATCTCGGTTTCATCGATTTTGAAGAAAACTATAAAAAAAAAACAGTGACAATAAAATTTCCGGAAAGAAAAAAAACATTTTCCATATGAAAATAATCCAAAACATCTTTAAATTTTCATTTATTTTATCTATCAAATTTTATTTCACTTTTATTGATTCATCAAAACTGCACCTTGAAATAAAACATTTCCTCTTATGTTGAAAAAAATGGGTTGATTTCATTTCCTACCCTTGCAAATAAAGATTGGGATATTATCAAGATAAAAAAAGAATTAATTGGGTTGGATAATCCTATTGATCACTATTAATAGTTCTATAATCCATTAAAAAATATTTGATAGAGTTGTCCAAGTTTTTTGGAATGGGAATCCAAGTGATGTGAAAATTCAACAGAGAAAAAGATTTTCTTTTTTTGTCTCGCATTGATGATCATAGTGTTGTTCATCAAACTTTTATATTATTCATCAATCAAATAAAATGACAGATATTTTTACTTGTATTAATACAATTACAACAACAACAATCACATTTAAAAGTGTGATACAGTCAGAGTATATCAAAAGATTGATATTCAATCAAGTCGAGTTGATATCAAAACAATTGGCCAGTCATGTAAAAGAAAAGGGACTAACCTCATTTGATCAAGGTATAATCAATACATCGTTAAAGGGAAAAGATATTGCAAAGTTGCCTAGATTTGAAATGATTTCAAGATTTGCAATGCCATGGAACTTTATCAAACATTATCTTTCATCACCATCAGAACAACAGAATGTTGTTGATGGCACTGATGATGATGACTCGACAATCAAAGCAAGATTATTTGCAATCTCTCGCTATTGTGCACATCAAAACGCAACATTGGATACACTCGAACATCTTGTTGAATGGACTCCTGCATTTAATCCTCAACTAGACGACAAGAACACAAACAGCTGTTACAGACACGTTCGAAAACCATATCAACCAGGAGTAAGGAATTGTGGGAGACCTTCTTTTAAGTATGAATTTGCATCTAATATTGCATCGGTTGGAAATATTGATATTCTCAGATACCTTGTCACCAGATATCCCAATATCAATCTTGCTGGTGCAAAAGATAATGCTGCCAAATTTGGATATCTCTCGATTATGAAACTATTGGAACCATTTAAAACACCATCAAGCAATCACGGTGAAAGAGAATACACTTCAAGTACCGTTAGCGATGCAGCGGGGAATGGGAGTTTTGATGTTATCAAATACCTGTTTTGAAATGGATACACATCACTTTTTTCAGACTATACTCTTTGTCGTGCAACTGGACATTTCGATATTTTCAAGGTAAATACCAAAACAAAACAAAATAAAACAACCAACAAACAACTAATTATTATTATTATTATTCACAATTATAATAGTATCTTGTAGAGAATCTAACCGATAAAAGCTATCTTAAAGATACCTATGGATATTTAGAGAGTGCAATCAGTAGTGGTAATTTAGATTTTATAAAGGTATGTTAATTATTATCGTATTATTATTTAAAAATATATATTTATGCAACGTTGATAATTGTCATCCCAAACTAATCAACGATCAATACCAATTAATTAATTATCACACATACACAGTATGTTTATGAAAATGTGACCAAAAATCCACGCTATTCAGGAATTGATAAAGCTGCAGACAAAGGATCCATTGAAATTATTAAAGTATGAATTATTATTATTATTATTGTTAGATCATATTTACACTAACACACATGTATATATATTTATATATTCTATAGTTTCTTCATGATAATAAAGTTGGTGAATCTGATCAATGGGAAGGGGCTATGTCTCATGCTGTAATGAATGGGCATTTATCAATGGTTGAGTGGCTTCATCATAATAGAACTGAAACAGGCACAACTGATGAAATGGACTATGCTTGCCGAAATGGTCACATTTCCATAGTTGAATGGTTACATTTTAATAGAACCGAAGGATGTACAACCAAAGCTATGGATTATTCCAAAACTTTGGAAATAGTTCAGTTTCTTCACATCAACAGAACGGAAGGTGCAACAACAGATGCCATTGACAATGCATCGTCGAGAGGCAATTTAGATATTATAAAATATCTCCACTCTAACAGAACTGAAGGATGTACCCCCAAAGCATGGGAAAATGCTATAAAGAACAATCATATCGATGTTGTAAAGGTAAATTATAATATATATTATATACCACTGTCTTGTCTATAGATAATATTAATTATATTTCTATCACGTTTTAGTTTTTGTATGAACACAAGATTGGACAATGGACAGAAGAGGTAATGAATCAAGCAATTACATATAATTGTTCGATAGAGATGATATTATTCATTGACGATAAATTAAAAGTTGGATGTACATCACCTAGATCTGTTGAAACTGCTGCAAAAAATGGAAGATTAGATATCATTCAATATCTTCAACAACATCACAATACAACATCATCATCATCATCATCTATTTGGACATCTAAAATAATGGATAATGCTGTTGAATATGGACACATTGATATTGTAAAGGTATTATATTTTCAAAAAATATTTTATAATTATAATTTTATATATATTTGATATTTATTTATTTATTCTTTTTTAGTTTTTACATGACAATAGAAGTGAAGGATGTGGAGGATGTGCTCTATCCTCTGCAGCAGGAAAAGGTAATTTAGAAATGGTCGAGTTTCTTTACAAGAATATTGTCAACCAATCAAATTGTAAAGTGGACACATATATTTCAAACGTACCTGTTATGAAATACCTTTTGGAAAACAATTTGATTGATATCAATAGTGCCCAATATAATTGTTGGGATGATGATTACGAAATTCAGGCACTCATTAAGAAATATGAAGCCGCTGCTAATGAGCAACCTATCAAAAAGATCAAAAAAGATCCAGCCTATTTTGATGACCAAATGCTTCTTCGTCTCTTTCCCAGAAAGTAATAATAATAATAATAATAGTTGATAAATACAAATAAAGCTGTGGCTCACAAAATATAAAAAAAGGTTAGATTTAATAAATGATACTAGAAAGATAAAAACTTTCTAATTTTATATTACTATAAATAAAAATATATATTACTTTTTTTAAAATTAGTACACTGTAAGGATCGGTATCCTTACCACGCACTTTGTCAGCCTTAGGAGGTACACTTGCTTGAGAGGTACTCTTCCTCTTTTAGGGATGTTTTTAATAAAAATATTAATTATTTTAAGTTCGTTGCGTCCTTGTCACAAGTCGTTTCTTCGATACCATATTCTTTCCATTGTGGATGCCATCGCGTTGGTTACCATTGGGTCTGTTTTGCTGCTGTCGAGGAGGTTGGATCCCCAATCGATCTTGGGGAGTCCATGTTGTTGGGCCACCTCTTTCATCATGTCAATTGTGTTTAGGCGGGAAGTGGGGTATTTTTTTTTTTTTTTTTTTAACATCTATGACTACCACCATTCACATCCGTGAGAGTCTTTTTTGTTTTATTAATAAGAGTTTAAAATACAAGTTTTAGAGGTTTAGAGGAGGTTATATAATGGTTATCTACTAGCAAGAATGAAGGGATAGGGTAGGGAGCCGCGAGTTTTCCCCAGGTGACAGAGAAACGTTTACATTGCGCGACTAGTTCGAGACTGGTTAGCGGCCAACGATTAGGTTGGCATTTAGACAGTTTAGACTTGCAGTGATCAACTAGCTTTAGGTACTCTAGGTATATTACAGATTTGAAACGACTGGTGACGATTGCGACTTCATTTGTATCGATCGCATATTGGTTGTTGGCATTGTTGGTGTAGAAAGACACATGCGCATGGTGGCACCATGCGCGATGGAAGAGAATAGCGACAGCATTAATGTAGCGGTGTGGATGTACCCTCTGTTTGGTAAAGTCCAGGGCATGAACATTCCACTGTACTCGGTTATCGGTCCAATCGAGCAGCAGTTTGCTAAACAGAGGAGCACGAGATTGGATGTGGATACAATCAAACAAATAATGTACGGCTATAGAGGAGTGAATCGAATCGTCAAACACGGTGTGGCACGGGTGTCTGCTGGATTTTTTTTAAGCATCTCATTTCGTGGCATCCACCTGTAGGGTGGAGCACTACTCTTTCGATTGCGAAGTTTTATTGATTGAAGTCTTTGTTTGACCAGCAATGGGAACTGAGTTTCCAAAGAAGAAACAAGTCCAATCTGTTTTTTTGGGTGCCAAATGTCTGTTCTATTTCCATCCAAGCAAAAATGGCAAGTCTTGGTGGGAGCTATTAGTTCTATTTGTTCATCAATACGACGGGAAGCTTCTTTACCTGTTGAATCGAGGGGGGCTGAACGGTTCTGTGAGTTACGATCCATAGTTCTTTTGTCAGATTAGTGACCAGATCGTGACTGTTGGAGGGAGTGCCAGTGTCACCATCCATATGTATGTGTGTGTGTCGAGTAATGGTTGGTGGTTGTGTCTACACCATGATTATCTATCTTATATCGTTCTGTTGTTCGTATTGTTATGTTGTTGATTGATGTTTTGATGAGATGTTGATGATGTTCATTTCCAATTGTAATAGTAATGTGAATACTGTTTTCAAACTGTATTGACTTGTTGTAATGATAATTAAATTCCACCTATTAATTATAATTCCTATTGTTTGGATACTGTTTGACTATTGTATTGTGTTGATTAGAGAAGGAGATGGAGGAAGGAGCGAGATATTTTTTTTGTTATTTTTTTTATTTTTTGTTTTTTTTTCTTGTTGGTGATCTTTGAGAAAGGCAGTGCTTGTGCTCGCTCGCGCCCCTTATTTTTAATAATGATAATGATATAAATAATTGAACAAAGGGGGCACACTAGGGCAATTAGTTGTGGCTTTTAGTGAGTGTGAAAAGAAATAGTACTGTTGATGAAAGATAGTTGATGATTGAGTGAAGTTCTATAGTAGTCTATACTTAATTCTCTGTTTCTATCTCTTTCTCTCTATTACAGAAAAATTCCAAACTAGGGTGTCTGCTGGAGTGCGTATTTTTGTGCTGCGCGATCAATTTAGCACATCTTAAAGTCAGGATGGTGTAGTTGGTTATCACAAAACCTTAACACGGTTTGGGTCATGGGTTCGATTCCCATTCTTGATAAAGCTTTTTGGTTTTTTTTGCCGAAAGTCGTCTTTTTTACCTTAATTTACTAAACTATGCTCTATCTTGTCGAGGGCCCTACGATATAGATAGTAATAGGATAGTTATAATCAAGATCTTATATAAACTATGGTTAGTCTTATAGATTGTATAGTGTTATATAAAATGTAATAATCTTTATTATTTAGTTACCTTATATAAACTATGGTTAGTCTTATAGATTGTATAGTGTTATATAAAATGTAATAATAATGAATGATGAGAGCTGTTGCTCGT